TAACATATTTTTGTTTGGGAATGTAATATCCGTTCTATAAAAAAAAACATGTCTACCAAAATATCTGTAAATGACAGAGCTTTGATTGGGATGTATATTGCCAATTGATATCAAGGTATAATTTACTCATAATCGCTATTAATATATTCAGGAATATATAGTATAAGGGAACACAAATTTTTAAAATATACCAGTACAAAATTTTACGTCTCTAAATTTTGATAGGATATTTATAATGATTATACATTTTAACACGCTTGGCTTAATTGTAGAAGACCATGAATGTTGATCTCTTGATGTCTTTTAATTTACTTATGTCTTTACGATTGCTGTCTCTTTGACATTATATATATATTTTATATCTCCTTATATTCATCGTCAATACCCATTGCTTTCTATTATATATAAAATTTTATAAAATCTATTTTTGATTCATTTGACAAAAAGGAAATCAAAAACTCGTTCACATTTTTTTCATTAAAAAAATACTAATTTGCTTAAATGGCTGTGATAAAACAATAATAAAAAAAACTAGAAGTTAAGAACTGTGATTGCATCACACTGTCGTGCCACTTGATTGACAGGGGGAGTAATAAAGTGTAAAAATCTCTTCCTTTTTACCTGAATCCTTATTACCAAAAGTTAATAATACTGAACCACATAAAACACCATTACAGTCATTAAAACAATGGTAACTAGGCCTAATCCGTAATCTTTCCTTTACTGTGATTTCCCCCATTGTTCTCGGACAGACTTCGGAGATGGGAGACAATGATGACAGTCTCTCGTTGACAAATTGATTCCATATCTAATGGGGCATGTTGTATTGTGAAATGGACTTATTTGATCTAAATTATTGTTGATTAACTCTTCTTTGTTCTCATCAATGGATAAAATTGATGGAAAAATTCTCACAATAAAATAAAACCTGATAATATTTACTGAAAAAATATTCAATATTCAATCTAATTTTTTTATTTCATTTTTTTTGCAAAAGGCATTTATCAAATATTTGCTATATTACTGATATCTTTTATTTATACAATGATTATTTATCTTGTAGCTACAATGAGCAAATATATTCAATTAACTTATGGTAATCTTTTTCAAAGTATAAAGACAAAACACTTCAGCACTTTAGCTAGTTACACAACATTTAGGAGTCAGGAACATAGATCATTTAGGAGTAGGGCCAAAGTAAGAGTGGTTAGCTTAGAGTATGGGTAAACATAATGTTGGGATGTGGGTTATGATACATCTCTGTCTCTCGGTCATGTTCTGTAGATTTTTTTTGTAGCAAGTGGCATTAAAGTATTATCCTGCAAATAGTAAAAAGATTATTGGACCTAAATATGGTTGAAAGATTACACACTGGAGTTTGAACCTTCATCCATAAACAACATTGCCTATTTGACTATTCTTCACTAAATGTAGAAGACAAATTGTTCATGCACTAAAATATCAATGGGACTGTATCATAAATATCAAAATATGACATCAAAATTCATTTCTTCCACATAATTCAATATGTCACAATCTCCAATTAGCAAATGGCTGCAAACCAATTCAAAGCCATTTTCAATTTCTGAACCAATATAAAAAATACCCATTCAATGATTCATAGTGCCTTTTGTCTTAATTTTCTATAATTTTTACAATCTGATTCGTTTTGTTTGTTCTGAAAGGTATCCCGCATGAATTAATTACAACAATGGGGACTTATATAATGAAGGATCAATGTTTATTGTTCCCAAGCTTAGTTTCCATCAGACTGTGCTCTGGCGCTACTTTTCTTTCTAATGACATAATCCTATCTTTAATTGCAATTGCTTTTTTATACACCTGAGATGACAAAACTGAGAAGTGTTGTCACTGCAAGAGAAGTAATTAGCTACCTGATGTCTGTCGCACCTGTGTAACCTGTCTGTATCACGAAGACGTGCATCGTGACTCATTACGCACATGAAAATTATTAAACACAAGATTCAACATACGGTTAAAAAGCCAATTATTTAAGTAATGGTTGGCTCTTTTATTTCTGTAATGCATTATGCAAGATTAAATCCAAAAACCCATTTTTCTTTTGAAGACCTCTAAAATATGGAAAAAGAGATTAGAAGGGATTATGTCAATCATTTCACATCAAATAACATAAACAATCTCGTTATCATTTTATATCCAAATAAATCAATATCCTAATTGATATTTTTTAATATTCTACATTTCTTCACCTCAAAAAGATTGTTTTCAAAACAGACAGGCTGACATGTTTACATTAACGACACCATGAAAAGGTGGTTGTCTTTACCCCTGGACTTGTTGCATACTACTATTCAAATTGTAACTGATTGGTTCTAGAAAATAACAAACACCATGTACAAGCTCATTCTCAGACAATCGAAAATTTCTTTCAAAAATAAATATGAAATCACATTCAATATGCAAACAGCTTCAAAACTCTTCAAAGTACTGGTTATTTTGCATTCTGGTTGACAGACAGGGATACAGAACAACTGAAAGACACCATGGAACCTGTCAATCAAAAGTCATGGTTCCAGACATTAAGTGTAGGATTAAATAGTCAGACACATTAATCTCCAGGGATTGCAGGAATGATTGATGCTGATAAACCATTATTAAAACAATTGACAAATTGGCTGTGAAATATTTGGACAAGTATAGTGGTCACTAAATATTTCATAAAGAAACTTGTATCAATCTGAAAACACAAGGGCCTTTATCAATGATATCATTCTGACTGGCAGGAGTCAAATTGCATGTTCTTTGTAACATTGATTCTGATTGGATAAAAATCAAAATTTTAATGAGGGTAAAATCCAGGTTTACCTTAGAACCAACATTGACAACATCATGACAGTGGCACCAAACAGACTGCTGTATTTTAAAAACCAAAATATACATATAAACATCCTTTTTTGGCTTATAATATGATAGAGATGACCATATAACATCTGAGTGCTTTACAGCCTTTTGATGCTTTAATTAGAATGATTGGTCTACAGCTATTAGAAGAATACTTATAGATTATAACATGCCCTTTTCCATATTGGCCCTGGTATCATCCCCAGACTCCCATATCTGCCTGAGGCTTTAGCCGAGGGTCGATATGGGTCGAGGGATGATACCAGGGCCAATATGGAAAAGATATGTTATAATCTATTTATCACATATTTAATTTCTGCAGAAAAGAGAAAAACGTTCAATTATAACTACTTGATTAACCACAACAGGTAAAATCTAAAAAAGATTATCACATTTTCCATTATTTTTTTTTTTCATTTACTGCGTACAAATTTATTGTAACATTCCCATTATTTATGAATATGGTGATATACAAAAGTGATAATTTGCCATAGCTAGGGCTAAATCGACAATAGTTGGTTGGACATTGTTACTAATGGCCATTGTAGTAGAATTCTCATAATTTTCAATACAAACACCGTCATTGTCGTTAAGGGTGCAATGACGTCACATCATTTGGAATCGGGACACAATAACCAATAACCACTTTTTTGCCCCGGGTAGCAATATGAGTAGGACAATTTTGCGGTTATTACATATGCAAAACCCAATGTTTTCATAACAAATATGTGATAAATGTTATTATAAACCATATACATGTATTATTAAGTAAATAACTTTCAAAGTCACATTTCACTTAAGCTAAACACATATTTGCACATAAAAATGATAGAGCAGACATGTTTTGGCTGATTTTTTTTAAAAGACAATCACTTTGAGCGACTCCTTACTTAATTACTACAAAGAATCTTTTATCCTGGGACAATACTTAAATGTGTTTTAGTATGTCCAGCAGACTAATTTCTATTTATTTATTTATATCTTGTCTGGACATTAAAGGTGGTCACTTCACAAAGTCTGTTGATGGAAGTACCCAGACAGAACATATTAAATATCTAATGCAGGAAGCACCAAAATGTCACAAGTTTGGAAAAGAGTCAAGAGTACGGAGAAGCAATGTCTATGAATTTATAAAAAATGATTTTTTGATAATACTCAAAATGATGTGCAATCCGATCTATGCATTATGTAAAATCCAGGGGAAATCCTGCGAGAGCAATGATAGGACTTCCACATGATAATGGAATAAATTGTCCACAATTGCTTAAGTTGACGTAAATAGCTTATACAACCTCCAGAGAATACCAGACAAGTTGATTAATGCATGAAGCTCTGCTCTTTTTGTATATCTACTAAGTACAAACTCTATGTAATATACAATTCAATACAACATAATCTATGATCTCCCAATGCCGTAGAGCAGCAGAACAATTTCTTGTCCCTGTCATTGAAATTGTTGTTAAGAATAATTCCGTAATCAGACATAGCGGAATTGTTTGGGGTGTGATTTACATTACAACAGAAGGATGTTCAGCTCCCGTTGATAAACATGTCAATATAAAAGCTACTTTTTTTAAATTCCTCTTTCTGTTCATTTGGTTTGCTATGATTATTAGAAGATGAAATCATTCATGGAAAACTTCATGTTTTCCACAACAGATTTAAAAGTTTCTGTATTTTACAACCAAATTACATAAGAGAAGGGTTTCATTCATTTCCTAAGTTTACGTTTTTACTATCCCACTATAATTGCAGCACTGTCAAAGTTGTCATCATTGTAAAGGTTGATTGAAAGAATGAGGACAAAAATCAATATGAAGTTTAAAGGAAGTGTAACATTTTATTACAAAACTCTTCACTGTTTTTATTAATAAAGATAATTTTCCTAAAATGTTAAAGTTTTCAGAAATGTATACAGAAATTGAAAAATTTGTTTCATTAGATTAATAACTTTTCTCAGAGCATTTAAGTTCAAGGGTTTATCTTCCATGCAGTTTCCCAGTAAAATAACAAAACATACAGTGTCTATTGAAGTCTAAAATTACAAAAAAACAAAGCAAATTAAATCCACTTTAATGAAGAATATAACACTTATATCAATATTTTCTTTCTTGCAGCTAACCAATACCATGGGTTTTTGTATAGAAGATTAGGAGATACAAAAGATATACCAATATATGATTTAAATGGCTGGATAGCTGGAATTCAAGCTATGGTTAGTACACATTTTAAAATTAGAATGGATGGGTTGTGAGAAATTAGGCAATGGAAAGACTCTTGTTTATCTCACTTGTATGCTATAAAATCTTAGGGAAGTCATAAAGGATACTGTGGATTCATATATTTTCATGTGGACCAATTTTCATGGGATGAGGAAAAACTTGCTAATATTGGCCTATACCCTCTAAATCCACCGGGAACTGCAGCTTTTTCCACCAATAAAACTGGCCACCACAAAATAGCCAACAGTGCTGAAACTGGTGTTAAATACCAATCAATCAATCCATCTAAATCCACAAAAACTATAATTCTAAGAAAAATAATGAATCCAAAGATGTAACAGTTTACCATAACAAGAACAGATTTACCTTTTGGTACAGTGTATTTTAACTCTTATCACTACAAAACAGCTTCCAAAAAAATAGACAAAGAGGCCTCTTTTACACTTTTTTCAAATCTATAAATATGAATTTAAAAAAAAAACAGAAATAGCTTTAACATAATAAAAAGATCCATAACTTAAACCATGAAAAAGTTGCATCAAATAATTTGACAAAAGAGTAAATAAAATGAAATCTTCATAGTGCTGACTGAAATAGAAATAGAAATACAGTTTCTGTCTTACATATACTCAAAGTCTCCTTTTATACATATACTCAAGTCTCCTTATATACATATACTCAAGTCTCCTTATATACATATACTCAAAGTCTCCTTTTATACATATACTCAAGTCTCCTTTTATACATATACTCAAAGTCTCCTTTTATACATATACTCAAGTCTCCTTATATACATATACTCAAAGTCTCCTTTTATACATATACTCCAAGTCTCCTTTTATACATATATTTATTACTCATTTTTTTACTCTGGGGGGAGAGTAAAATATATCCTATGCTTTTCTTGTTTTGGATTTTGAATTCATGTGTTGCTGTCTGATCGACATATACTCCAGTCACCTCCTTTTATTCTTTAATACAACAAATTATACAGATACAGTCATTTTGATCAGATTGTGAGACATAGTATCTTAGAGAACCAATACTGGAACCTTTAATGTTTTCTAATATCAGCTCAATTTTCTATACTTTATGTAAATTCAATCTTTGAATCTTGATAGAAGATATCGACTTGAGAAGGAAACCCATATATAAAGATACAGATAAAGACCATAGATAAAGCTAATTAAAACTAATTATAGTCATTTTCAAGATGATAACATAGAATATATATTTTCAGATTCTTTGAAATTTTCATAATCATTATTGAATGGTTGATATATATTCTCTTTGATAGCACTATATCATTGATCAAATCAGAAATAATATTTAAATATTTTATTAACCCCTATTTTGTTACCCATCATGCGAAGTCATAAAAGTCAATGTAAAGATAATTACTAGAACCATCAATTGTAGCATTAATAAAATTACCGTTAACTTTTTGTCATTTTTATACCCTTTTATATCAATTTTTTGAAATTTTCTTAATTTATTAGACAAATATTTCTTTATTAGTCACAAAATTAAAACTTATCCCCTGGATAGAAAAGGATTTCTATGAGGGTTTTTTTATGCATGTGTTTTTTTTTTCTACATTTTTTTTTTTACAAAATACAAATACCAGGATATTTGAGAAGTTTGATTCCAGAGAGTCTGACACTGAAGTGAAATTTTCAATATTCTTGTCATTTTATGTTGGAAGCAAACAAAAAACAATGAATCAATAATCCTAATGTACATCATGGAATGAGTTATAGCTTAATAATAGATACAAATTTTATATTTTTCACAGAAATTAGCCTTGACCACTTGATCTTAAATCTAATACTTAATAATTCAACTGTTATTTTGTAAGAAATATGGAAATTCCATGTATGCAAAAACTAAAAGTGTTGGAGTATCATACTGACTCCATATCTTTGTACATTATTTTGTTAAGATTAAAGTCAAATATCATACACTCTAGGAATTTATAGTCAAAACAATTGTCAAATCGTGGAGGCTTCTTTGATGATTTTTATCTGTCTCCTTATTTGGACAAAATACAACTGAACATCCTAAGATCCAGACTAAAACTTGAAATTAGTGATATTCAATGTGAAATTTTGAATGCCTTTTGAGTTTTATTGAAACTAAAATTTCATTGTACAACACTCTTTATGTAAAGGAAAGGTGGCACATTGTTAATCTTCTAGGATTTATAATGAAACCATATACAGCAGATGAATTAAACATATTATGAATTAAAAAACTTCAGTTGTAAAGGGATTCTGCACCATAAGGATGATTTGTGGAAGAATCAAGTCATAACTTCAATTAATTGTCATGAAACAGAATATATGAGATAGTTTAAATGGAATGTTCAAGTCCCTAGGAAGTTACAAACTCATTTAAAACATACAATGTGAGAATATAACACCACATCAAATAAAGGAATCCCCTTTAACAGCTTTGTTTTACTTTCTTATCATTATATCAAAACACTTATTTTTTTCAAATTAAATTCCAAATTTAATAAACATTAATATATTGAACTATAAAGCCATGTTATTTTTACTGTATGGTTATATAGGTGGCTACTACTTTATGCGTTTATTGTTTCTATAGCACTTGAAAGTAATGTGAATGTTGGCAATTTCAATTGTGAAAATTGTACAAAAGATTGAATCTACAATAGAGAAAAATTGTCTCACCATCAGATAAAACAGGATACATGTGTTCATATATTTGGTCCTTTTAAACTCTGACCTTATGAAAAATATAAATATTTCAGATAAAAATTTCTTTATAAGTTTAACACCTATTGTGGACCTGCTCATCAATTTTTTCAACATCAAAATTTTCTAATTTCTAAATTTTAGCTATTGAAGTCATATAAAAGTTGAAAACCATATGAACATTCTTATTACAGAAAATGAGGGTAACAGTCACACTTTTCAAGACACTGAATGCCCCATAAATCCATTTATTTAAAAAAAAAAAACAAAAAAAAACAGAGAATAAATTTTTACCCTACAAACTATTACTGATAGGAAGCCTTGTGTAAAAAGCTTTTAGCTATACAACATATCTGATATCATTCCTATCTGATGAACACATTCAACCACAAACAAAAACTGAAGGCTATTTATATAATATGGATTCTATCAAACTTGCAGAAAACTTTAAGAAGAACAAAGAAAAACTTTAACGTTTTGCTCATTTAGATGAAAGCAAGTATGAAAAAATGTGGACTTTGTGTTGATTCACTGTCAAAATGTCACGTTAGCCTCAACGTCCCTCTGAGAAATGATGCTAAAGTCATCATCATTTTCTAAATGCATTTTGCATCCATTAAACTAATTATCAAAATGGCAGCTCAGCAGTACAAACCAAAAAATGATGCTTGGGGACATTTTAATGTAAAAATTTCTTAAGAAACATTGACACCATTAGACCATTGTCACTGAATAAAAGAAACCTAAACAAATCATTAGGAATCTAAACAACAGCACATTGTGAGCACCGACCTCAGAATCTTTTAGAATGAGATGACAATTCTGTGTTTGATGTGATAATACGACCCATGATACCAAATCTTGTCCACTTCTTGGTCATTATGATGAATTCTTGACCGTTAGATAGGAACTATAGGGACAGCAGCTAATGGTGGAGCATCTGTTTATAATTGAATAATTTCTGAAGAAACTTAAAGAAACATAAATCTTACATTATTGGTCATTTTATCTTTGATTCCCCATTGAGTTTATCAATCCCCCTGACATAAATTGTCCTTATCTTCTGCACTTTAAACATGAGAAAGGAAAAAAAAAACTGATTTTTATTTTGATAAATATGAATTAATGTTGATGTTCATCTGATATATCAATTGGTCAGTTTAGCAGCAGATAAAAAGCTGAGTAAACAAGATTGTATCTATTTAATATGTCATATCTTAGGTTCATTTTTACCACATACTTGAGAGTTCATCAAATTCTATCAATCCATAATTCAACTGGTCAGTTTAAAAATGAAGACTGATAGGTTTACAAGATTTATCAGGGTTTGTAATACAGTATTAGATAGACCATTATAGATAAAATCTTCATCCCTATACTGTCACAACCATAGACTCAAAACACTGAAACACTCGTATACTTAAGGTCAAAAGGAAGGAAAAAATCATTTACTTGGTTTCAAAGTGACAGCTTTTTATATATATATTTAAATAAATATAAACTAGACATATTTTGGGATACAAATATCAGTGATTGACTAGTAATATTATTTATTTTTTTAGTATTACATGTAACTACACGTAATGAAATGTGTACCATTTAATGAGAGTGATCAATGTTCTTGACTACCCAAAATGGAATGATTATCTTCTATATTTGGTTTCTAAGTTAAATGTGTGATCCACAAGTATGATTTATTTAACAAATTCATTGTAAGAAAGGAATAAAGTCTCAGAGAAAAATATGCCATGCAAAGACCAGAAATACAGCACCAAAAAAAACAAACAAAAAAACACTATCAATAAAAGTTTTTACATAATCATTCTATATTCTACAGATCTGAAGATCGGCATAAAATCTCCACAATAAACCCCTGTAATACAGAGGATCGTCTACAATAATTGTCTCTTCTGTTATTCAGATAAAAAATAAACAGGTTCACATTGCAGAAACTAAACTCAACTCATACCACATCTTCTTATTTCTATCAAGCATTGTCTGGTAATAACAGAATTTTTCCTGAAATCTGCTTTTTAATAAATACACATGCTGTATGATAACAATACTCATTAAATAAATAAAGCATTTAATTTGATATCATATGACATTGATTTTTTGTCATTAGGATTTGATGTTTTGTTACGGATCTCAATAAAGCAGACAATTCTTTGTAATGTATCAATTAAACATCTAAATATATCCTAATTTGTGCTGCCTATGGCTTCTCTGGAAATAGACATACATGTACTTAAGATATAATTACTCTATTATATGAAACACTCCTTATAGATTTGAAGTAGTACGTAATATAATAGTGACTGGTTTTCAGACATACCGACAGATGTGACTGATAAGGTTTTTTTTCCATTTAAAGACATGGATAAAAGAAGATGTGGGGTATACATAACATTTTTCAAAACATGCTTTGAAATTATTTCTTGGTTTTGAAAGAAATGCTCATAGATATTCAATATTAGGTCAATGTACTTTTTTTGTATCAGGCTTAGAAACTGGGGAAGGGTGAGGTTTACCGAGCTCTTCCACTGTTTCATGCCGAATATAAAAAAGTTGACATTTTTCTGACATTGACCTAATATTGTTTTTTACTGCAGCTTAAAATGGCTACAATTATAATTATGCAAATGTCAACACAAATTTAAATCATATTTTTCATCCCAAAACGAACCTCAAGTTGTGAAGAAAAGTGGTGTGGTATAAAATCAACACTGCACGAAATACCACTTTGTTACTATATTTGGAAGATAAAGACAACAGGAAGTGTTAATAAACAGGCCGTAGTAATGCATTTCATAGTCATAGTCACAAAGGTACAGATAAGTGTTACAGGGAACACTGTACATTTATTTCCCGTGCCGGAGGGAGATATGAAGATTTGTTCACCCAAGAATATTCATATTTCACGAGGGCTCTGCCCGAGGGAAATATGATTTTTTCGAGGGTGAGCAAATCTTCATATCTCCCGAGGCAAAGGGAAATGAATGTTTTATTCCACTGCCTATGCTTTGTTTACTATCAATACATTAAATATTATTTTTGCATACATTTTTTTTTCTTATCCGCTTGTTTTTGTAAGTCAAACTAAACACGACATACCCATTGAAAAACAGTAAGGATCAAAATTTAATTATAAGTCTTTTTGTTTTATCGTATGAAATAAATTTGAACATGATAATGATTTTTGCTATCGCTATTTTAAGAAGAATAAGAAGTTCAAAACGTTATGTACATTAGCCGCGCGTAACGTCGCACGAAGTAATCGCGACATTTCAGAGGGGAATATGATCCTCAGAATGGAATATGAAGATTTGTTCAATGACATGTGGGATAGTCTCAACCAATCAAATATTGATTAAACTATCAATATGTTTAAACAGTGGAATAATAACTTTTAGAATAGGGACCTTACACAATGATGACTGGTTTACCCCTTATTCTTTTAAAGCCTTAAGTTAAAAGAAGCAAAACTGAAGTGTAAGTGATTGGTAGAGATTGTGAAGATGACATTATTAAGCATCAAAATCTGTCAGAATTCATTCTAAATTTAAAATCAACAAAACCTCAATGAAAAGCTTTTAAAACATGAGTATATTTTATTTCTTATTCACTGCATTTTCTTTTTCCCCCCCAAAAAAAACATTTTACTTTCAACTCACAAACGAATTCCTTCGCACTTAACTTTATTCTTCCATGTAAAGACATATCACTCCTAAATCAGGCCACAAATTTAATTCATTTCTATTAGCAGTTTATAAATATCAAATCCTCTCCTCACTATAATCAGCAGAGGAAGAAACTCCTAATCTAATGAAGAAATCGTAATGAATATCTGTTGCATGCAAACTTAAAACAATCAACTGACATTTATAAAAATATGCTTTAAAACAAAAAGCAGCAATTTCTTGGATTGATTTCTTAAATGAACGTTCGACAGATGACGAGAGAGACATGCAATCCTGTTTACTGATGGTTTGTGAAAATTGAATGAAAACCGATTCATGACAGAATTTGTTTAATTTTAAAAGCTTTAAAATGTTGTTCATTAAATTTACACCAGAAGTTGAGTGGGATAAAATGAAAAATCTATCACATTTAAAATATCCTTAGAGAAATTATTGAAATATATATTCTCAATTCAATGTTTGCAAAGTAGATGCATTTTAATTGTGTGTTAACTTCATGAATGTTCTTCTTCATTAATATACAGTCCTATAAAATAAAATAATAATTATCTTCTGAAATATTTATAACCAATATATATGTTCAAGATCTTTTCTGGAAATTTATTCATTATTTATTGGAAATTTTAAAATTGCATTGCAAAATTAATTCTAATGTAAATTTTTCTTAACTCCTGCAAACTAATAAAGATGCCAAAAAGGGCTGCATCAGGCATTGTTTGAGACAGACAGTCAACTGTTTATTTAGCTGTAGAATGTAGATACTGCTATGAGACACAAACAGTCAACTGTTCACTTAGACTTAGTCACTCACATTAGCCACAAACAGTCAATATATACTTAGAGTTAGTCACTGCTATGGGCAATAAACAGTCAATTGTTCATTAAGACTTAGTTTCTGTTATGAGCAAAAAAACAGTCAATTGTTCACATAGACTTAGTCACTGCTATTAGACAATTGCTCATTTGGACTCAGACACAGTAATGAGACAGACGGTCATTTGTTAAGTTAGACTGGGACACTGCAATAAGACATTGTTCATGTTCATTTAGAATCAGTGAAATAGAAACAACCATGTGCTTGGTTAAAGGATTTGAAAACTAACTTAAAACAATACCAATGACTTTTTTTTCTGATTCCCTGGAATACAATTGAAGAATAGTTAACATACAAAGGCATCAACATGCTCTATCCATTTCTCATAGCAATGTTGTTGACTTTAAAAAGTCAGTCTGTCCTGTAAAATTTATTAAATTTCTATTAATTGATCAAGTCTTCCAATTTTTTTATTTACCCAAGTAAATATTTGATAAAAAATAAGAGCACAACATTGTTGTTATGAATGGCTATATTTTTATGTAAATTTGTACAGAATACTATATGTACTTTTGGCACATTTTAAATATTTATACAACAAAAAGTACAAATAGAAGGACTTTGCTTCTGCATACACTGTCAATATTTAAATTAAACAATATACTAACAGTAACTTTAAATATCTATGTTAAGTCCACAGAAAGGTTGTTCATACAGCAAAGGAGCCTTTTACTCAATTCAGCTGCCGGCATTTTCTGGATAGATCATTTCTTTACATGATTTTATGATAGAAACAGATATTCAGAGTTTAACCTTTCAAGGGATAAACTTTTAAAAAGTGCTAATCAGAAATTAGTTTGTCTCATTAAATGCATTTATCTCCCCTTGGGGACACTTCCTTTCTACAGAATCTCTCTAATCACTTATTTCTTTTTATACATACTTTGATATGGAAAAGATTTCTCCATATTAAGACACTCTCTGCCTGACATTTACTGGCTGTTTTACAGCTTTACACTCAGAATATCAATGTGTTCAAAGTCAGAATCAATGTAGGATTTAAAAGATCACAGTTTTATGATTTCATCTTAAATTTTATGCGTTTCTCACACTACTGACATTTGATTATTCTCTTTTACATGTACTTTCTTTCTTCATTATTGTGGCATATATGTCCAACCTTAAAATTAAGGTTAAAAATGTTATATTCTTGCTCTCATTATCAACAAAACGTTATACTAAATCTGATTTGGACCATGCTAGATAATACTATTTATCAGAACATTATATTCATATAGCTTGAAACTGGCAAAATTTAAATATAAGCAAAAGACCATGAAAGGTCATGTGACTTGAATGTGACTTCTAAGTATGATGCATTAATTCATAACTAGTATGTATAATTTCAAATCAGTATCAAATGCATTATAAAAATGTTTGTATTGTTCCTATAAATTCCTATTTTCATCTAAAATTAGTAAAAAAATTAATAAAAAAATATTAATGATTTATGGTGAACTTTGGTAACTTTTGACATCCATCATTAACTGTAATTACTTAAAAGCCTATCTAGAATCAATAACTGGTATCCCAAGATGTACTTATAGGGACAAGGTTTTTATCAAGGGTAACACATAATTTGAATGGAAACCAGTCCCTAAGGTCATACTCATCATACCATGACCTTTTTCTCATATTAACTATAGCAATAATCATAGTAATACATTTTTCACTTGTCATGTACCACTACACATTTAATCATCATCAAATGTATTTTCAAAGGTAGAAAGTTTTCTACATTTGTAAAATGCCACATAATACTAGTGGAATGTTAGTTCAGTAGTGTCAAAGTGTGTATTTACTGTGCATGTTAATTTTAGACAAAAAATGTAAAAGATAGTTTGCTCAACAATGAAATGAATACATTGAAACAAAATATAGGGAACCACATTTTAATCAAACCCTGACTAAACAAGAAACCTGTCTAATTCAAACCCTGACTAAACCAGAAACCTGTCTAAATCCAACCCTGACTAAACCAGTAACCTGTCTAAATCAGACCCTGACTAAACCAGTAACCTGTCTAAATCAGACCCTGTCTAAACCAGAAACCTGTCAAAATCAGACTCTGACTAAACCAGAAACCTGTCAAAATTAAACCCTGACTGAACCAGAAACCTGTCTAAATCAGACCCTGATTAAACAGAAACCTGTCTAAATGAAACCCTGACTTAACCAGAAACCTGTGTAAATCAAACTCTGACTAAACCAGAAACCTGTCTAAACCAGACTGGCTCCAACATCCCTCTGTGATAACATATTAGACTTTATTTCTATATTAACATATTTTTGACAATTTGTGTATAATTTCAGATTCCAGCTTATATGAAAGGTTATAACTCACTAAATGAAACAATAGCTTTACCACCGTATGATATTATGCCTCCGTTGTTATATGGTCGTGACCCACATGAACCTGGTAGAACATTTTATACAATAACAGGTAAGTTATCTACCTTTTATCCTAGAGTTATCTTTCTTTTTTTAAGTAGTGATATCTTTCATCTATAAATTGTGTTTATTTTTTTCTTTATTAGCACCAGTAATTCATCTTTAAACATTATATTTTTCTTTAGTTTCATCAAAAGATTCACTTTTAGTAAATGAGATTTTGACAAAACTTAGGGTAGTTCAATGTATTTCAATTTACCTATTTGTTAAATACCAATACAGACTAACTTTAATATTGTATTTTTTTTCCAGCTTATTTCAAACATCCCCAATTAGTGTGCAATCCAATAGCAAAACACCATATACAGACAGGGAAAGGGCTTTATATACAAACAGGAATTGACCCAATAATTAGTCATATGTCTATACCATTAGAATCAAAACAACTTGGTCCAATGTGGGTCCAGGGTCCATGTGTACCTAGGATGGGTAAGTTAATATTTTATAAACAATAACAATATTGTATCTATGTGGATAAAATATGTCTAAAACAGCACCTGTGAGTTGTCATTGTGCACAAAGTATAATTTCTGACCATCCTTGTTTTATATTTACTGGTATACAGTCAGGTCCTATTATTTTGTTAATCCAGTCAGTCATTGCATTTCCTTGATGTGAAACAAAATAACCAGCAAGCATTCTGTTATTTAGAGTAAGGAATCATGTATATTCATGCATTTTCATTTTCTAACAGTAAAATGTATAATAAAGTATAATAAACATCATGACATTAATTAGCATGGAATGTAGTTACACAGGTTAATCACAACCTTCAAATAGATGCTTTACAACCCACATATTCTATGAACTTTGTTTTACCTTAATCAATAGCTTTAACAGCACAATGTAATCCTATGTCTAGACAAAGCCTGCATATAATTCTTACTCTTCTTAAAATTTAATTATCAAAAATAAAATAATGACTGGTTTTGGTTGGTGACAGCTTTTTTGTTCCTTAAGAAAATTTAAAATACATTAAGAATGGGAAACATTTATATCCATTAGGACTAGTTGATTGAAGTCAAATTTCTACTGAAAGAAGAAAACCACAAATGCTTTTTTCAGCCATCTGCAAATAAGGACAGTTTAAGACCATCTGTTATAGGTCTCTTACTCAATAAATAGAAACATCCTTTACAATCCACACCAATCTACATTATTTAGTTAAACATGACTACAACCTACTTAAGTACTAATTGAATAAGAATATGCCAAAATATGAAAATGTATTCACTGCGGTGCAGAAAATGAATATTGAAATAGCAGTAGATGAACACCAGGGGTGCCCATTATCTCCTTTGTTGTAAGATAATTATATTGACTTTCTATTGACTTGCTCCTGATAGGCTTTACCTGTATAACATCGTTAGAGAGCCTAGGTAATCAGTCTCTAAAATAACTCATGCAAAAGTACACAAATTGAAGTGATTAGTGTGTAGTTATGATTGACAAAAGTCACTATGCAGAAAATAAATTGATTCAGTTGATACAAGATGACCTGATGTAACTTAGAATAAATTGATTAATATCTCAAGTGATGTCATCAACTGAATATCTGGTTTAAAAAGATATGATTATTTACTGATTTGAAGAAACATGTTGACAATCTCAGATGTTGATTTACTGGGACCTTGCAGCAATTTATCATGTATCATGCACAGACTTAATAAAAAATATATAAAACATTCAACTTGAAGCTCCAGACCACCCTGATATTTGTCTGTAGTTTTCATATAAACATTCAGTTATTAAGTAGTAAGTCTATTGGTTTTCTCATTTCAATTGTTTCACATTTTGTCATATTAGGGCCTTTTATAGGGGACTATATTATATGGGTTATGCTCATTATTGAAGGCCCTACAGTGACCTATAGTTGCTAACTTCTACATTATTTGGTCTCAGGTGGAGAGTTGTCTCATTGGCCATCATACCATATCTCTTTATTTTTATATAAAAAATATTTGCAAAAATTAAATTTCACAACATCTTCTCAGTACCCAATAAAGTTCTTAAATCTATGGTACTTGATTCTTTTAAACAGATGATGCAATGCATGAACTAATTATATAGTACAAAAGCCAACTAAATCTGCATTTGTTGCATGCTAAATTTACTTGAAAATCTTTCATCAAAGAAAGTGTGAAATTCTGATGTAAACTGAAGCATGTTAAAAGTACAAAACACATGATCATAGTGTTAATCAAATTAAAAATCATGGTAATGACACTTTTACATGAAATTAACACTTTAAACTGAAAATTCAACTGTTGCCTTTAGGTAACACTTCATTTTTCTAAGTAAAATTTAATCACCATTAGTCAAACTTTATTAACTAAGATTTACAACTTATTCTGAAATTTAATTAAAGAAGAGCCCATTAGTTTTACAGCAGTCTTGACGATGACAACATAATTCGCAGTTAATCTCCATTTATTCTTGCATACAACAACAAAACTTTAAATAAGTTAATTGCACAAGCCTTTTTTTTTACAGGGAAAGAAAAATATAATACTAATATAAGGGAACTACAAAGCAAAAGTTAATGAGAAAGCAACTCAAAAACAAAAGTTCAGCTTAAATTGTATTCTAAGATTAAATAAATTTAGCTGATTTTATAAAAGTTGAATTAGAATTTGCTTATCCAGGTAAAGATAACAAATTTGGCCTAAAATCATAATAATTATAAAAATCTTGGTCAACACTTGTCATATTCCTCACTATTAACATATGTTTTTCCTTCCTTGTTTACATTCATCCAACACTAAATTGACTTTTCAAAAATTATTAGACCCATAATTAATAACCTTAATGAAAGAAAGTGTGCCTATGATACTTAAATGAATGGCGAGTTGACAAGATACGTCCAATGCCCAACAGCAAATTATATATCGCTACTAAACACTCGACGTCAAATAGACATTGATGAATACCAATATGATGTTAAATCTAATTTACAAACCGATTGGGGTGGTCACTTTACAAAAATTAATTCAAAAGTTTCGTGGAACAAAAGGTTTAATAAATGTGCCCTCAAAACACAAACTTGATGAAAAGAATAGAAAAGTGATATGAATGACTTCTATCAATGTTTTAATAACAGTTATTAGACCTGATAACACCTTAAAACCAATTATCAACATTTCTCACCCAATCAAAAATGGAACGATGTATCAATTACAAACAGTACAGCTGGTTCACCATTACCATTTTTTAAAGTCATCTTTTTCGACGTTGGTCATACTAAGACTTAAATTAATTAGCCTCATCCAATTACGGGGCAAACCATCTGCCCAATGTAATCAGCCGCAATTCAGAAATCATATTCCTCCACATAATTTTTCATTTTCTACAATCGCTGAATGTGAGATGCATAAAGACCTTTATAATGTTATCAAGTGTTCCCAAATCATAAAGATCTTTGAAAAAATTGTCTAAATATTTCATTGTTTTGACAACAATTAGAGAATCATTTATTAATAGAAAGGAAGAAAATGTCAAAATACTTTTTATGAAATGATGTAATAATATCAAATTTCATCACAAATCATTTATCTGTCTTTACACATTAGACAAAGCAGACATCTTCGTTCTGTAAATGTGTTTCCTGTGATGAATTTTTTGTAGACTCCTAGTACTGATCTTACAACATACAGTCTGGTATAATGTTTAAACAAAGTAAAATTATTGATCATTTTAGAGACCTGCTGTTTTCCGTTTCTTTTCTTTTTTACTTTTGAGGGTAAAAAGATTAACAAAGCTATGTAAATAGTTTTGTGGATAATGACTTCAAAAGCAAATACCAAAACGATGTATAAACAATTCCTAGGATGAATTTCAGAAATTAATTTTAATATTTCATGAAGCTAATTATTCGAAAAAACTAATTTAGTATCATGATGACTTTTTTCTAGATCATTAAAACTGGGACCCAGCAGACCACAATAAATCAGTAGATATTTAGAGGTTGAAAATAGCAATATAAAAATCTTTTCATACTCAGCTTTGAATGTGAATAACTTTCGTTGAAATTGGTCCCATGCTAATACAGATTTATATAGAAAAACAGAACCTTGACTATAAATTCAATTCTTGCTTTTTAAATAGGAACTTTAAGATTCTAACACTTGAAGGGGGATTTATCATGATAAGTGCATGTAAATATCTGTCAATATATTTCTTACTTAGTTTCAAAATTAGGCATTAGTAGTGTGTTGCATGGCAAAATTTTTGCCCATAAGGCCATCTCAAGCTGATCATTTTATCCACAGGCAGTTAAAATTTCCTGCACGTCATCCCTGTCCATCAGCATTGAGTGTATCTGATGAAGGTAAATCCAGAAAAGCACTTCCGACATTTACACATGAAATTTTCATTTTTTTGGCAGAACTGAACAATGGGGTTTTGCTGACTAGAGTGAGATTTGCCTACCCAATTTGAACTAGAGTGATATTTGCCTACCCAATTTGAACTAGAGCGATATTTGCCTACCCAGTTTGAACTAAAGAGATATTTTTCTACCCAGTTTGAACTGAGAGAGATATTTGTCTACCCAGTTTGAACTAGAGAGATATTTGTCTACCCCAGTTTGAACTACAGATATTTGCCTACCCAATTTGAACTAGAGAGATATTTGCCTACCCAATTTGAACTAGAGAGATATTTGCCTACCCAATTTGAACTAGAGAGATATTTGCCTACCCAGTTTGAACTAAAGAGATATTTTTCTACCCAGTTTGAACTGAGAGAGATATTTGTCTACCCTGTTTGAACTACAGATATTTGCCTACCCAATTTGAACTAGAGAGATATTTGCCTACCCAGTTTGAACTAGAGAGATATTTGTCTACCCAGTTTGAACTAGACAGATATTTGCCTACCCAGTTTGAACTAGACAGATATTTGTCTACCAAGTTTGAACTAGAGAGATATTTGTCTACCCAGTTTGAATTAGACAGATATTTGTCTACCCAGTTTGAACTAGACATATATTTGCCTACCCAGTTTGAACTAGAGAGATTTGCCTACCCAGTTTGAACTAGAGAGATATTTGCCTCCTAAGATTATCTTTTTTATGTATATTACAATAATGCAGACAGTTGACAGGTGATATAAAAATTTCAAAATAGCAGCACATTTCTATATTAAAAAGGTGCTACACATATTTCAAATTTGTCTTGAAACCGTTTTTCTCCATTTACTTATAATTTAATTTTGGTTGTAACACTTCTTCTGATTGGCTGAAAGTGTTTTGTCTATCAGCTCATAGACATAATTTTGTCATGTAACTGTGACGTCACCAACATTTTTTTCAAAATTTACCCCTAAAAAATGGAATTTAGAATTAAATTATAAGGAATGACTGTAATATTTTTTCTGTCTATTCGAAATAACCTAAAAAATGTGGTGCACACTTTTAAATAACTCGCTACGTGGGTTATTCAGTATGCACCACATTTTTATGTTATTTCTTCATAGACAGAAAAAATATTACAGTCATTCCTTAAGTAAAGATAATCTCCATACATAAGAGACTTATCAAAAACCCATTCTTGACATCTAAAGATTATCTGCACAGTGAGGGACTAATTAGATATAAAACACCTGAGGCTACTAGAAGTCTTGTCCCTCAGTGCCCATTATTTTACAACACTTTCTAGAAGGCATTTGTTATTTCTTCAAGTTTTGATGATTTTATTTATATAAATGCAGCTATTAAAATCCAGATTTCAGCAGTGTAGTGGATTAAAGAATATTCCAATATAAATCTCTAGGTAGATTTTGGACAGTTTATAACTATCAAGGGATGATAATGTCACAAATTCTAATCATGTACTTCTCTCTGAAAGATTTTACCTCAGTCCTTTTAACTGACATTAACCTTTCTTCAGCGACCATAAATGTCTCTGATTGGTAGACTTATTTTGTAAAAATCATAAAGATGATGCTTATTAACCATCAATTATTTGCCGCAATATGAAACTCTATCATAAAATTCAGATTACATGAAAAATCATTAAAAATTTCTCAGATTTCTCATAAAAGCAAGACAATACGAAATCAAATGAGATTTGAACATCATAACTTCCTTAATTTCACCTATTTTTACAGCCACGACACAAAGAAATAAACTTTTCAACATATGAAAAAGTAGACTGTAATCATCATCAGATAAAAGTTTTCATCTATATGTCTTCATCAATAAGTAATAAGCATCTTAATGACAAAGATGAGTCATATAAAGTACAAAGATTTCATTATGATTTCTAAGATTGTTAATTAGATGTGACATTTTAGAGGAATACCATATATATTTAATATAGATGTCTTTAGTCTAACACGGTTAGACATGATATTTCATTGTTAGGCTATATCTAATTTAGACCTAATACAGATCATTTTAGTATCACTTCATTTTAGAACACCTACATATATGAAACGTATAACTTTAATATTGTGGATTATGTCTATATCAAATTTGTAATTTACAGTTTAATAAATACTTGAATAGTAAGTTCCATAATTGACTTCTCATTAGAGAACAAATTGTCTATTATGAAAAATCATATACCAATATATGGAACCCGATAGTACTAATTAAATGAAAAGGAATGAAAAATTATGTTTCTAAAGTTTGTTCTTCAACCAGGAGACAAAATATTTCATGGTACAACTAAAAAGAGTAATAAAACTTTTATTTCCTGTCTCCATTTTGAAACGGTATAACTTTAATATAGAACAAACATCATACTAACGAGTAAAACTCAAATGGTATGAAATAAGTTTTGGCTCCACATATATATCGTTTTTGTTTAATATTTATACACAATGATATATTGCACAGACTCATACTTTTGTTACCATACTTATTAATCAGTCTACAGTGCAAAACATTTTTTATAATTTCTGAAGGAAGTATTAAATTGAGTCTTTAAAGGACAAATCTATGTAGTAAAAAAACTATACAAAAGGTCATTTTAAGCTTAATTTAAGTTACATTTTTGTATAATTCTACATGGAAAATTTATTGTGCATCTTCAAATCTTCAATAGACATTTCCAGTGTTCAGTTTATTATGTTCATATATTGTGCGAGTTCAACCAATCACACATGAGAATTTGTTAACTACAAGCTTTTGAGATAAAATAGACCTGTTCATTTTGTTTATTTTATATTTTCAATTCCTTATTCTCTGTAGAATAATTATCAGGAAAGGCAGAAAAAAATGGCAGAAAATCATAAAATGAAAAATACAGTTTAATCATTTTTAAAAGCTTTCAGCCAAAGGCCATAAATAAATAATTCAAACCCACAAATGACAGAATTACCATATGTTTTCACTCTTGATTCATCCATACGGCCTCAAGTTATGTAAAATCAAAAATTCAAAAAAATAATGTGATCATTTTCAAATCAGTTGAGCTGCTGGCTATGTATATGTAGAATTTAAATAGATCATTTTCACATTTAAAACCTAATCACAGAAGCAATTTTAGAGAATTAATATATTTAGTATTTATGCAGTACTTAAAAAGTCAAACGGATTAAATTATTCTATCATTAAAAAGCCAAAAGCATTTGTAACAGTATAATGTTTAACATATTTATTACAATATGTGTGATATTTTTTCGTTTGAAGTGATTTTTTCAATTATGTTCCCGATGAAATATTACAATACAAGTAGTTTTAGCAATTGTCATTGTAATTAAGGAAAGCTGGAAAAGCTGCCTAGAAGCAATTTTGTTGATAATTTCAATAAATGCATTGTTTTCTATATATAATCTATAGATGTTTAGGGAATTTGTAATATAAAATCTTGTACCTTCCACTACAAGTCATAAATCTTTCTATAAGTATGGAATAAATTGTTTTTACCCATTTGCCTTTGACAACTAATGAATTATTTGACAATGTTTCGAAATAAAAATTTACATTATCTAATGAAAATGTAAGTGATCCATAATTTTTCAATATTTCATAACTAATTTTCTATGCCATCACATTTTTCCCCAAGGACTTGTGTAAAGCCGTTAACATTGGATATTCTGATGTCAATAGAAGCAGTGTAAAGTACATCTTTCCCTTAAAGAAACTTATCCAAACATTGGCTCAATAATTATACTGTATCATCAACAAAAACAATTCACAAAGATTTTTTTCATTCTGTACATTTTCAGTTGTTGTTTTTTTTGTGGGTGGGGATTGTAACTACGTTTAAGATCATTTAACTTGTTGATAATACTCTATTTGTGATGTAAACATTTTTAAGAACAATAACTCATCCTTAATGATCTTAAAAAGAGATTAATGATGTTTTCTCAACACTCTCTAATATGTTTGTTTAAAGGTCTTCTTTTCTTTCTCTCTCTAAAACTATTTTTTATCTTCTTTTTTTTTTTCAGGTACTCACTATTTCTATAACTTATCAAGAAGTTTACCATGTGAGAAAATTTACCCGGTATTCCTAATGTACGACAGTGAGGGCAAACTGGGAGCTTTTGGTTGGTCATTCCAAGGATTTGCCCTAGACAGTAGCCAATCAGATTTGTCTTGGTTTAAACTACGTCCTGAGACATATCAGGTATATATAGTTTTTTCCTAAGATATTTCAAACTGCCTTTAATTTCAGAGTTGATTATATAATATAAAAATATATGTGGTATATGTTATAAAGACAGCAACCCAACAGCAGTGTAAAAAATTGAAATCTACTGAAACTTTGTGTTCAAATTTTTTGGAAAGTTTACTTTGTACATGTTGTAAGTCGCTGATTTTCTGTGCTTTTTGTCAGCAATATTTTATTTTAAGAGCTATCAAATATTCAAAATTCTTTTTTTTTAATTTAGAATACATCTGATAAGTGGTAAGAAAACATGTATCAGTATAAGATTAAAGTATTTTGATACAAACTATTACTTCAGATTAACACAAGAGTGATACAAACTATGACTTCAGATTAACACAAGAGTGATACAAACTATGACTTCAGATTAACACAAGAGTGATACAAACTATGACTTCAGATTAACACAAGAGTGATACAAACTATGACTTCAGATTAACACAAGAGAATATCAGTTATACTCAGTTACTAGCTTTCTATATCTAACAACGTTTTTTTCCTTTTCAGTTTACCTTCGACACAAACAAGTTACCACCGTGTATGTTTAACGAAAATTTCCAAGTTTTTGGAATTCATATTTGGTTAAAAGATCCAAATTCTGATACAATGTTGTGTAAAATTATACAAAGGCCACAGCAAAGACTAACTTCAACAAGAAAGCCAGATAAAATAACTTATAAAACTGGTTACAGAGACAATCATATTATAAACGCTGATAGAAATACTGACAATGTTTCCAGTCGAAACACCTTACATTACACTCTTATTGTTTTAATTATTTTATCTTGCTATCATATTTTACAACTGTGACCATATAAGCCACTTTTTATCGCTGTTTTCTTTGTTAAAAAATTATATTTTTATTGATGACAGAGGGGGAGTAACTCTGAATTGAAAAAAATCATTGTCAGGTTCCATTTAGAGTGATTTCCCCTTACCATTATGAATTCCATTTCTGACAGAGAGAAGAAAACTCAGTTTTCAAGATGTAAAATTTATACTTAATAAACTAGCAAGTATCAAAATGCATTTTTCATTTTCTTAACATAACAAGTCAAAACTGTGAATTTCCCAGTGATTATTCTACTTAACAACCATCACAGTCTCACTGAATGTTTTTAAATATCTTTTAAACTCATTTCAATGGGTTGGTTCTTAAAAGATTTTGGTCCAAAATGTTTTTTAAGTTGTGTGCAATTTTCAAAAAACTTATTCTGGAAAGGGGATATCTTATGAATTGCTTAATCCATTACCTGCTGCAATTTACCAGTAAATTTTACAGAATTTCCCCTATCTGTTGTTTATAAAAATGAAACCTACATTTTCATTATAATTTTTTCTCATTTACTTCATTCATTATATTTTTCAATGCACATACTGTGTGTTTAAATTTGTTGACAGTTTTTAAAGTAACTTTTTCTCATTTTCCATCTGATTATTTCTTATATAATAAGCCACACAAGGAAAAATAATCTCTAATATCTAGAAGTTTGTCACTAAAAGTAAGCTTCTATATTAACCATCCACAAAAACTGAGACATAATCTAACATACTGTTTGAGCTTTAACCTTCATTTCATAAAGATAACATGGTGCTTCTAAATGTATTTTCATAACTGTTGCACATCATTTTCATCCATTCACTGTCAATGTCTGTTTAATTATGTTAAGTTATCTCCCTTTACATGATATCATTTCACAGAGTTATCTCCCTTTACATGATATCATTTCACAGAGTTATCTCCCTTTACATGATACCATTTCAAAGAGTTATCTCCCATAGATCATTGAATTCATAGAAAATATTCAGGGAGATGATCTAACTACTGTACAATTTCTGTTCTGTGTAAAATTTTATCATAGTATGGTGCAACTTTTTTTAACATGTATTTTGTACTCCTCAAGTGCCCTATAATGTTTGTTTGTGCTCACTTTTTATAATTATTAAATGATACATGGTTTCTAATCCTATGCATGATTTTGTTCAAATCATCTTATGTGGTACAAAAGTGTTATTCCCCCATTTCTACATACATGAGCAACTCTGAATAAATGATGTCATTAGTTTATAGCAAAAACATTTGTTATCAATAATGGATTAAAAATTTTTAATCATGCTGTATTTTTTACTGTTGATTCATTATTATTCGTTGAATACCAATTTTCTTTGATTTCGTGGGAACAGGTGAACCACAAATTTAAATGTTCAACAAATTACAAATTTTCTATAGGCTTGTATGCCGACTTTGGAAAAACCACAAAATTAAATATCCACGAAAATGTAAGTTTTCCTCAATCCACGAAAATTGGTACTCACGAAAATAAATGAATCCATATTGTTTTTGTGAATAGACCCCAAAATTGTTTCAAGCTTGTTTGGGTGCTGGGTTTTTTCTAGATCTTTATTCTTTCAAGATTAAAATATTGTTTTGCATATTTATTTAGAGTTCTCCAAAAAACAAAGACTTTCAAGTAATACAACCTAATTGTTATTAATTTGCAATAACCAAAAATGAATGTTCCTGTAAGCTTTTGTGCATAATGGGAAAGGTATAAACCCTCTTTCAAACATGATTGTTCTATGCAGTCAACAAGTGAGGCAAAATTCTTGTATCAAGAGTTTAAGAGTCCCTGATAATGTTTGTTGTCATTTATATCACTCATATACCATAGTTAAGTCCAATGAAAATATCTACATAGAGGACAACAGACATGTAAAAGAAATCAGGTCAAAGTGAATGTTATCATTTTTTTAGGTAGTTTTCTTGATATTTTTAGGACATTAATAATCATTCCTCTCATTAAAGCATAGATTTGTGATACAACATCTCATTAAAATGTCTGTAGTCATCTTTTGTGTGCGATCTTTTATTTGGTGATTTATACATGCCTTAACTTATTGTCCAAAAATCAACAACAGAGAGTGTGAACTATGGTATGTGTAATATTGTGTCCTTGTTTCCCAGTTTTTGCATGCTTATCAACATTTCAGATGAGACAGGACTTCAGAAAATTGAGAATTTTTTTTTCATATTAGAAGAAGAAAATATACATATCATCCTCATCAAATTTACCTGCCAATGTTGTCATACTTTTTAAATGTAAGCTTTTCATATTTCAATTGGCTGGCTACCATTTTGTCCATTAGAGCCAATCAAAATTGTTCAAAGTAAAATCTTAATTTGAAATTGGTAATGTGATGACAGGGGTATTTTTTTCTGAAAAACAGTACATCATTATTCAAATCTGTCTTCTCGAAGCATGCAAATATTGGGACACACATTATATGTTAAAGACTTTTTCGATTCAGATTTTGTGATACAAGTATTAAGTCTAAGACGCCTTTCTCCAAAACTGAAATAGTCTTTGTAAAAATACTCTTTCTGTAGCAATTTGTAGAGTTGTATTTAATAACAGAGTTGAACAAACTTTGAAAGCTTTTTTTTATAATAAAACAGTTGCAACAACAAATCCTTTTAGTAGCTTATAAGATCACAAAGCTTTAAATATGATATCTTTTCAATAAATATAGTTGACATTTCTTGTTTTATATTTTGTTATGTGTGTTGCTCAAGCTTAATAGAGTAAATACACTTCTTGTTTTATATGTGTGCTTGTTGGTGTGTGGTATGGGAATGGTTAATGGTGTGTGATGTGTAATTGTGTACATGGGAGGTGTGTGAATACATAGGTTGAGTGTACAACTTTGTTAATGTATATTTGTTTGAAATTTGTACACAAATTGTGGAAAAAATGTTGTAAATGATAAAAGATTCAAATAAAATTATATCATAAAATCTTAAATATGTTTTCTGGTTATTCTAGCTGCCTTTACAGATTAAAAACATGCATTATTGTTATGCTGCTTATTTCTTACTATTGACATGAATCTGTCCTATTTTCACTTCAAAACCAATTAACTGAATAAACCCCATTTAGACAAGTTCTTTACTTTCAATGCAAATTACAAGAAAACAGTGGGAAAAAATGACTAAATAAAGTGTATAGAACCTACAGTCTGGGACTGAATCACAAACAGTATTTGTCTTACACAAAGACTTTATACACCAGTATGTTTTCTTCACCCAGAGTTTGACTTACTGAAAGTATATGACCTACAGTTGAAGCTTGACTTATAAGCTAAACATGACATATAATCGAAGTTGTACTTGACAGAACTGTACAGAGACACAACCAAGAGACCTCATCCTACCAGGCTAAGTACACCAAAAGAAACAGCAAATTAACATTATATCTCAATAACAACTGTAAAACAAAATAACCATTTTTAGCCATCTCCTGACTTTTAAGTAATCATTTTGAGACTGATCTCAAACATTTTACAAGTTCCAGTCATTTTTGTTGGTACATCTTGTGCAATGCATAGAGACTATGAAAGCTTATTACACAACATCAATTTACAATAAACGTTTCAGTATATATACCTACTGATATCATGGCGTGGGTGAACATTAAAATGGACGTCCACAAGGCACATTTAATAGTATAATATGTCAAAAGACTTAGGAGAGTAGGTAAGACTGACCAATATTGTTGGGTCAAAAGACTTAGGAGAGTAGGTAAGACTGACCAATATTGTTGGGTCAAAAGACTTAGGAGGGTAGGTAAGACTGACCAATATTGTTGGGTCAAAAGACTTAGGAGAGTAGGTAAGACTGACCAATATTGTTGGTGCAAAAGACTTAGGAGAGTAGGTAAGACTGACCAATATTGTTGGGTCAAAAGACTTAGGAGAGTAGGTAAGACTGACCAATATTGTTGGGTCAAAAGACTTAGGAGGGTAGGTAAGACTGACCAATATTGTTGGGTCAAAAGACTTAGGAGGGTAGGTAAGACTGACCAATATTGTTGGGTCAAAAGACTTAGGAGAGTAGGTAAGACTGACCAATATTGTTGGTGCAGAAAGTTACCAGGTTTACACACCAAATCTTATTATCAAAGGTCTCAAAATCTATCTGACATTTCAGGCAAATTTTTGAGCGGTCAGATAGGCTTTTGCAATGCATCTGACCAAGTCTGACAGAAATTATCACAAAACTGCAAATGAGTATATTATTGTCTGTTTGATTAGATATTCTTAGAGGGCTGTCTGTGAATTTCAATGTGTCTAGATTAAGTTTTCCTTACTGTATGAAGATTAAGTATTCTGATATTTTTCCTTTTCCTTCAATTTATGAACTTCCTTTAACAGTAGTACTGTTAATATGAAATAAATATTTATAGATTTTCTATGGCTTTTCAAATGAGAGGATGTTTTGCAGCTACAATCTCATTGAAAGGTGACAGCCCTGAGATTAGACGTAGCCAGAAACATCTTCAAGTTTGGACCATTGATAATCTGTTTATCATTGTTTTCCTAGGCAACATCAATGACATACGCTAATGACGTCAAACATTCTCTCTCTACAATACTGAGAAAAACCTATATCACTAAAGTAGCATGATATGAAAAATCATAACAAAACAAGAAAGAAAACAAAATTGTAGAAAATAGCGATAAATACAGTTACAAGGAAAAGCTAATGAGATATCTGACAAACAGAACATCAACTGACAATGAAAATGACTATATATTGTATGCTATTTTGTAGGTGTGCATACTTTTTAGCCATATGTAAAAGGCACTGATAAAGATGTGATATAAGTAATTTCTAACTATGGTACATATCTTTATCAACCCTGAATGCTGTTAATTTATTTTCATCTTTGTTATAATCAAAAGTTAAGTTCTAACATGGTTTTATCCTTTATAATCCTAATTTGACTGATTTTTTTTTCTCTCTCACACAGAATCTAGGTTATGCATTGGACACATCTTCATTTGTCTATTACATAATCTATTTAAATTCACAAAACCATTATTTTCCATTAAACTGACAAAATATAAATTCACTGTCAATAACAATTGAATAATTCATTTCTTTCTATACATAAAATGTACTTTATTTCCACAACAAACAGTCTCTCATACATATTTGATATATATATTAAAAATATTTTCTCATTTAAAAGACAAATCATTTCTAAATTTTCCCTACAAAGTAATTTTACTAAATCTCTATGGAGATAACTCCATTAAGTTGTAGAAAAATGTCTTTGTACAAAAATATAAACGTTATTTCTGTTCCCTATAGTCTATTCAATATAAATTCTTCATATTTACACTTTCTGTATAAAACATATTAACTCTGTTTAACTCTCCCTTTTATATAAAAAAAAAAGATTTATTCCATAGACAAATAAATAGACCAGGCCATTGAAACTAAATACTGTGTTTCAAAATACAATTAGTTTTTTTCTTTTTAAGGTACATTTTCAGGGGAAATTTACCATATACCATGTATACTAAATTTTGTTTTACATTTCTCTTACAGGTATTACTGGAAGAATCAAGTTTTGATTGAATCTGAAATATATTTGGTGATAATCTAATGGCCAGGGGGAAAAAACTATAAAAATTACATGTCATCATCATTTGCATTTGATTTATTTGTTTAAATGTAGGACCTTTTACAGTACCACAGGAAAATTACTGGCTGTTATGCATTAATTATAATAAATAAACTGCATAATAGTAACTGATATCTATCCATAAAATAATCAGGAGTTATTCAACATAAAAATACTACTACACTTAAATGTGACATTTTTTTGTTCCATACAGGTGAGAGTCACCTATGGTTGACGTGAGCTAAAAAGATGTTTTAGTTCACCTAAAAAAAAACCAGCCAGACTTTTCTAAAAATAGGTTAGTTAGTGTGTAACACCTATGTTTTAATAGAACATGAACCAATAGATTTAATTTCAGAATAAACCCCGAAAGTGATCTTGCTTTTTCACTTAAAATAGGTTAGTTTTTATCAAAACCAGATACTGTTAGTGTCAAACAGTGTCCTACCTTTTGTCTTGTTAAACTGTTATATAACTTGAGCTGTGGGACTTCTGTGCCCTTTGGAGGGGTCCACTTTGGCTGTGTCTTCTTTACTTTGGCTGTAAAGATATATATGAATATTTCGTACCCTCATCTAGTGACAAGGGAATTCTGAAAATATATCCCTACTTAAATATAATGTTAGTAACACTGTATGCATGCAGACACAACATGAGGATACACAATTACACTTCATAGAAATAAACTTGCACATGTTTTGCTCAAATTCATTCTGTTGTTAAGGAGTTGGAAGTCAACTGTTAAATTTTACAAACAAACAAACAACTGAATAGACCAACAGAGAGATTTGATGTTTACAACATGCCTCCAACTGCCGCAACATTAACCTGAAAAACAACGAACAGACAAAAAAGAGATAACAAAACACTATACACAAAACTCAAGATTAACATGAACTTCACCAAAAACTGGAGGTGAACTCAGGTGTTCCTGATGGGTAAACAGTTTCTGCTCCAGTAATGGCTACCATCATGTTACTCATTGCAAGTAAAACTTCAGTCATGTCACAATAACAGAAAAGAGGACAGGATTGATGCTACATCCATGGTAATCTGTGACAGATATTATAAACAAGAGTGCACACCTGAAATGTCTCGCCTGATTTACTGACCATTGATTTTATGTTGAAAGTCTTAAAGATAAAGGTTTTACTAAAAGCATAACAGATATCTTAACATTTTTAAAGATCTATGACAATGAGGTCAAGGTCAGATAAATGGTGTCAGACAGACATATACACCTTACAATTTTTTATACACCAAATATAGTTGACCTATTGTGTATGCTAATTGAAAAGACCAAAACACAAAAACTTAACATTGACCAATGAACCATGAAAATGAGGTCAAGGTCAGATTATACCTGCCAGACAGACAGGTGCACCTTATAATTATTCCATAAACTAAATATAGCTGACCTATTGCTATTAGTATTTGAAAGACAGACCAAAACACAAAAAAAAATAACATTGACCATTGAACCATAAAAATGAGGTCAAGGTCAGATGATACTTGCCAGACAGACATGTACACCTTACAATTATTCCATACACCAAATATAGTTGACCTATTGCTTATAGTACTTGAAAAACGGACAAAAACACAAAAACTTAACATTGACCAATGAACCATGAAAATGAGGTCAAGGTTAGATGATACCTGCCAGACAGACAAGTACACCTTACAATCATTCCATACACCAAATATAATTGACCTATTGCTTATAGTACTTGAAAAACACACCAAAACACAAACAAACAAAAAAACTTAACATTGACCAATGAACCATGAAAATGAGGTCAAGGTCAGATGAAACCTGCCAGACTGACATGTACCCATTAAAATCATCCATACACCAAATGTAGTTGACCTAATGCGTATAGTATTTGAGAAACTGACCTAGTCACGTAACTTTAACCTTGATCACTGATCCATGAAATGAGGTCGAGGTCAGGTGAACTCTGTCTGATGGACATATAGACGTTGCAAGGAACCCATATACCAAATATAGTTATCTTATTACTCATAATAAGTGAGAAATTGACATGACAAAAAAACTCAATTTTTTTTTCAAGCAGTCACTGAACCATGAAAATGAGGTTAAGGACAATGGACTTATGATTGACGGACACTTTGTAACATAAGGTATCTGCATACAAGATATGAAGCATCCAGGTCTTCTACCTTTGAAATATAAAGCTTTATACAAATAGTTTACGCCGCCGCTGCCGGCTTGTAATACAAAAGTCGCAGCCAAGACAAAAACATCAACTTAATCATGATGGCCTCCATAAAACTTTCAAATCAATGGCTTCAACCTTAGTAATTGGAACCCTTAGTTTCATAGCTTTGATCTAAAAGCAGCAACCTTCTAACAAGGAAATCATGATAGAAAACGCAAGCTTCAGAATATTGGATCAACTAGGAGATATATACTCCATATGCAGGAGCTCTTGGATCAACTTATGAAAGTTATAGTAGGAAACCATTCATTGGTAAGAACTTTGTAGTGCTTCCACAGGACAGTAACTCAAGGACTGGCAGTCAAGTTTATTTGTCTGCACAAAATCAGTGGTCATGCAGGTGTTTGTAAATCCTTTTAAATGTTTCTTTCAAATTGAAGATGAACAAATTAAATTGAGGATTTTACATTCATAACCTGTTGTAAATCAGGACAAACAAGTGTATATGCTGACCTATTGATGTCCAAGTATGATGTTTTGCTTTCTCATTGGTATGCAAAAATCAAAGGGGTTAAGAAGATACCAAAGAATGCACTCAAAAACCATAAGTTGGTGAAAAACAGACAAAATAATGGTCAAAACTAAAAAGTTAAAACAACAGTTCTCAAGACAGTACACAGAAAACTGAAGATTTCATCTCAAGCAACATGAACCCCACCAAAAAACTGGGAGTAAACTCAGGTGTCCCAGAAAAGTAAGCTGTTCCTGCTTTACTAGTATAAAATTGAGAATGGAAATGGGGAATGTGTCAAAGAGACAACAACCCGACCAAAGAGCAGAAAATAGCCCAAGGCCACCAATGGGTCTTCAACACAGCGAGAAAATCCTAGTATGTCTTGAACTAGCAGGATATCATCAGTATACATTACAAGGGATGACAATTTTTTGTTGAATCAATACTTGAGTACTTGGTTCAAATACTGGGAAGTGCTTGATTACTCAGATAATATTGGTAATAAAAGTTTGAAGTGTCAAGTTTCTTTGCTATTGTGTTGTTGCTTTTAATACCGTCAAATCATGTAAAAATTAAATGTGTGCAATATAAAAGACATTTCATTACTTAAGCACTCAAAGGAGTTACAAAGCACTGGTGAACTGACAATTACTATATAAACATCATCAATAGGTCCAGACAGCCAATAATGTTGCGGTATTTCTACTGTAGTTTTAATGTGCCAATAATCGTTCTTTCCATGTTAAGCAGAAAACTTTTTAAAAAATAATTAATTTGAGTATCAAGTTTGAAATTGCACTTGAGAACTGATTGCCATCACTATTCATTATTGTTCCTATTTGTATCTTTAGTTGAATTTTGCTGCAATTCTATATAAATCTATACCTCTCCATTGTAACTTACTAGCCATCATAGATTTCTGTCTATATAAATCTATACCTCTCCATTGTAACTTACTAGCCATCATAGATTTCTGTAATATCTGTACTGTAGTAACTGATTTAAATAATCCAAAAGTCAACTGAAATTCACTTATTACTTTCAGTCCACGTAATGCCATTCAATGGTACAAACTTTGTTATTCTGAAATATAAATTAATAAAGCATGCTTTACTTTTATTTAAGTTATCGTCCCTTATATTTCTAAATGTTCTCATGAAATGCTTTGACATATATATCCATATTAACTCTTATATTTGTGATTCAGTAGGTCTCAAATATTTACGTGCTTAATATTAATTTAAGAGTTCCAAAATTGTGGTTTACCTCTTAGACTTTTTATGCTAACATCGGTGCATTACATTTAGTACTTCAGTAAGACAGACAGATAAAATGTGACATGGCTAAACTAGTGTTGGTGGTACTTAACTGAACTCTTTGGTTTTTTCTTCTTCTTTGCATTAGAATATTTTCTGTGAAAGTTAGATTTTTCATGCACCAAAATGAATTACAATAATCAGAAACACTATCAGACTATCATGATAATAATTTTAACCATGCTCTTTTATAGCTGGCTATGTGGCGTAAGTTTTGTTCATTGTTGAAGACCGTAGGGTGACCTATAATTGCTAAGATCTACGGCATTTGGTCTCTAGATGATAGTTATCTCATTGGCAATCATATCTTATCTTCTTATTTCATATCAGTAAGTAACTCGCATAGGAATATTACAAAGCACATCTCTGACACAGCTAACATGAAGAGAAATTAACATGATGGTGATGTTTTTTACATTTATCATGAATATAAAATGTATAAACAACAAAAAATATTTCATTCTGTAATTGGTGATAGAAAGCTTTGACTTATTACTTATCAATTTTCAAGATTGGCTGCAGAAGTTAACCAATTGTGACCTTGATAAACCATTAACTCAGAATCATGCAGCACATGTATAAATAAAGTGAAATGAAAGAGCAATGTTTATTTGTTTATTTTTTTTATATTTTCCACACATTCTCATTGGTAAATTAAACTTTGCCATAACAGTTCTTAAATGATTTGGTCTATTAAAATTTTTCTTTCAGAATTGGTTAATCCTACATGTATCTTCCTTCCATGTTTGTTTACTTATTCTCCCATCTTTGCACTTGTGCTGTGTGATGTCCAATTTCTAAGGACGTGTCATGGTTAAGGTCACTGCATACAGATAAGATGTCAGCGAGTTTGAGTACAGGAAGACAATAATACATACCTGCCAACCTCTGAAACCTTCAATGAGGGAGATCTCCCTCTCAGCTTTGACAGCTGAGGGGGGATTTTGTGCGAACGACATTTTCAAGGCGGTAAATATATGACCAGTAATGTACAATATATACAAGTACAAAATGCCAATAAGAGTTAATAAATATATACTTTATTTCTTTAATTCAGTGTTGTAATCTATACAAGCTGTTTTTGCCTTTTTCAGTAAATACCTCTGATTTTGGACAAAACTACAAAATAAGTTTCAGCCATAACTAACATTACTAAGTTGACTGTCAAATTTATTGTTTGGTTTCAAGCAGAAAAACCCCATTGATTTTTTTTTTTTTTTTTTTAGCCTCCACTGCCTTATTGTGAGTCTCACACTTAGCATGCTTTTTAACATCGTACAGACCACAAAAAGCTACTGAAAAGTTGACTGAACATAATGTGCAAAATGAAGATTCATTGCTGAGAGAACTTGATCGTGAAAATCTTATATCCAATCTTCTTATATTGCAGTTATATTTCTTCTTTTTTACACTGTTGCTTGGTCCAGACAAATACCTCTTTCTTGTTGGAGTTTACATGGCAGAAATGATTTCTTATAAATCAAACATTAAAGTTTTCAAATGATTGTTGACTGTTTGTTTATTTCTATTGACAGTAATGAAAAATCCCTAGATATACAAACATGGGTCATTCCAGGTTAAAATATCCGAATGCGGGAGATTCTATATTCAGAGCAGACCGATGAGATGAGATTTCTGGAATTTAGTTGTTTGTGCAAGATACTCCCTCTCAAAACCGGAGGGTTGGCATGTATGATAATACAATAGGAGCACATTTCTAAAGAGTTTGATATTATAGGGTGTTTTGTTTTCAAAAGAATATAGTTTTATAGTAAAACATATAAAACATATTCTTTTTTGTTTTTTTTAAATTTAAAGGATCAAATGACTTTAAATTTGAAGTGTGTGTTGTCTCTTAGAAGTCAATTACTGGTAACCAGTTAAAAGTTTGTTAGTGAAGAGATAACAAGTAAAACTGTGAGCTACTGCTCACTGATGATACCCCCGCCGTAATATTTCGGTAAACAAGAAGTTGTTTCTGAAAACGCATCACACGGTATAGCTGACTTATATAAACCCTGAAACCAAATTTCAGAAATCCTTGTCAAGTAGTTCCTGAGAAAAATGTGACGAAAATTTTCAACTTGGCTATCATGTGTAAAATAATACAAGTGTTCGGTTAACAGGAAGTTGTTGAGTGATGAATCTGAAAACGCATCACACGGTGTAACTTACTTATATAAACCCTGAAACCAAATTTCAGAAATCCTTGTCAAGTAGTTCCTGAGAAAAATGCGACGAAAAATATTCATGGGACGGACGGATGGACTGACGGACTGACGGATGGACTGACAGGACAGACAGAGGTAAAACAGTATACCCCCCCCCTTCTTTAAAGCGGGGATATAATTATCTTTCTAATCCAGTAGTTTATAAGTCACAACATGTACATGCTGCAGATTGGGGCTCTGTGCAATAGAAAATATACTGCTTTAGTTATTTATTTCTACAGTAGATCGCTTACATGTTTGTACTTTCAAATACCAATATTGCAGGTTTTAAGCATACTGGTGTTACCTTTAAAGAAATCATACGTGTAAAAAAATCGAGAAATCGTCTGCTAAACAGCAACTTTAAAACTGTCACCAATATTACAAACATAATTCAAAATATAGCAGACCACTGAAATTGTAAATATTGAACCCCAAAGTTCTTACCTTTCATACCAGTCGTAGCTGTCTGTGTGTAAATAGATCACAAACGGAGCTTATATACCGGCAACGAAGCTGCCGAAACGTGATGAAATAGCGGAAGTCGAGTAGACAAACCTAATTGACGCGCCCCTAATTCTATATCAGTTCAACTCGTTCTATGTAGAGAGCAAATGGCTATTTTGAACAGTTTGAATATAAGAATCATTCAATTTTTACTAATAAAGGCATCAACTAAACCAAACACATTTTTTTAATCTATAAAGCATGAAAATATGGACAGATTAGAACCGGAAGCAGCATGTAGGAACCACTTATGTGCAGTATAGTGTTCATTCTAGAGCGGTGCAGGATGACACTGTTGCTGGTATATAGAACTTCTTGTAACGATATTTATTTGAAATTATCTTTTATGTAAATATTCGTGAATAAAGATAATTTTGAATAATTCAAATCCATTGTTAATAAGATTTTCATAACAACAATTTTGCTGGTGTCTCGAAATTTATTAATATCAGAGACATATAATATGTCTCTGTTAATATATGTATACAAAATACAAAAAAAGGCTTTACTGATTTAAAGTCGGACATGTTTATAAAAAAAGATATTGACAAACGTGCCCCTAGAAGTTTAACCTCATCCTAACATTTAATAACATTGTCTTTTATTTTGAAAGATATTTTTTGCATGGGTTTTAGTTATTACTGCTATTGCCTGAAATGTGTTTGGATTTGCTTTCATTTGTTTAAAGGACTGTAAACTGTCATTTCCTTGAAATAAGTTTTTTCTACATATTTGTATATTTATAAAGAGAGCTGCCTTTAGTGAAATATGAGACGTCGTTTATAGAGGTATTAAATAAAAATTTTGACCTAGAATTGAATCATGCCGAAACCCCTTTATAAATTTGTTACAAGATACTCAGAGATGAACCAATCTTAACACAATTTTTCTGTTTGATTGATCTGATAAAATCAAAGATTTTTAGTTAAAATCTAGTTAAGATCATTTGTGTCTGGTTTATCTTGAAGATGTAGACACTTAAAGTGTGTAAAAAGGTTGTAATATTCTTAACTCTGCGATTCTTTCAGCTTTTATTTTTGTTCTGCATGCATCCCAGGATCTTACATATTCATGCACCTCAGTCATTTTATACGAAATTTTTTCGTAAACGTGTCAGTTTCTGTGAGTTCTAGGTAACTCGGCCTCAAAAGCATCATCCGCCCAACACTCGATAAGACATAATGTCTCCATTAAGACATAATGTCTCCATTAACTACCAAGTGTTACCCTTTGTAAATTATTGTCGGACATGTCGGCCTTGTCGGCATATACGTATATGACGTCATGACCACATTGACGAAAACGCATTTCTAATGCGAATTTGATAATGCGAATTATCCAATTCGAATTAAAGTAAGAAAAGTGTGTGAACGCGATTTTCGAATCGAAAATTCAATCGAATTAAATGTACGTGTGAACGAAGCATAAGATGCTTGGGTAGCAATTTGAATGTAGAGTACATAATTATAAAAAAAAAAGATCGTCATATCTTATAAATTTATTTTAATAGGGTATAGCTTGTTTGGATCTAACCAATCTTACACAATGCTCAAACGAGCGCTTACTTTGGAAGTATATTTAAATTCGGCTACATTAACAGGGTTAATTTTTTATTTTCTTCGGTATAACTTCGATTTACTCAATTTTCTTTGTAATATATATATAATTATATGGCCTTCCAAATCCCGTTTCGATTCCTAACATCACTGAAGAGACATTAATTGTCGAAATCCGGATATGGTGTACAAATTTTTGCACCTCATGTTTGTGGTATACCATCTTTTCCACAAGTTTATTGTTTTCTGTTTGGTATTAAATTAATATTAAGATCCATTTTGTTAGATCTGGTGATCATTTTATTTGGCAATCGCAAATGGCAGTCAGCAGGGTTTAAGAACATCAGTTGTTCGACCTGTTAGTCAAATGCGTTTTGTTAAAATAGACTTTTTCACTTTTTTTGGTCTTTTGGAAATTGTTGTTTGTGCTGTATTTAGACCCCTCTACCAAGCAATTTGTTTTACATGCACACGTATAAAAATTGCGGTTTTTATCCAACGCAATCATAGGTTTGAACGTTGTTTTCAATTTAGACTTATATATATATATATATATATTTCAAGCATATTACTCTGCAATAAGTACAAAAGGGTGATAAATTTTAATACATGCAACCACCTCCATTTATAACAGCTGCTTCCCTTGAAACTTAGATAAGAACTAAAATAAAACAAATGTTTGCGTTATTTCGCAAGTGTTTGTGTTATTTTGCAAAGGTTTGCGTTATTTCGCAACAGTTTTCGTTATAACGCAAACATAAGCAGAAATATAAAAAAAAAAACATTGTGTGGTGCTAACTAGGCTTCCGTAGTTTTTCGTCTACCCACTTATTAGTTTAAGCATGTTTAGATTATGAATTAAAAACGATATAATAAAAGACATCGCTGAAGATGGACTGACAACTCTCGAGAAGGACCAATTGTCTTTTGTTCCAACATTGTGTAACTGTTCTCCTGTCCTGACCAGGCGGGTCCAGGGAACTTATAGAGGTAATGGCGCCGCCGCTATTTTTCGGGCAAAACCATCCTGGACCCTTGTTTGAACATCCTGGATTCGCGACTGCTGACATTAGGGATATTTAGATGAGCTGAAATATTTTGTCATTTATTTAGATTAAATCGGAAACACTTGTAGAGTAAATATTTCATAACTATTTGAATTACTCTGAAATATATTGAAAGAACTTGCAAATTAAGAATTAGGTGTACCACGTGTTATTTAGTGTGCATATCAACGATATTTTGAAAGAAATTCATCTATTTGAGGACGATAGTGTCTGTGACAGGTTTATCATTACCATCGAATATTGTTTGTACCTAAAAAACGATATGGACAGACTTGGAGCATTGGCCAGAAGATGGGCTGTTAGATTTCAACTATCAAATATGTGAAATTTGTTCCACCGTTCACAGAACAAGCTAGGGGTCTATAAATAAATCCTACAATTTGAAAAATGCTTAGAGATTAAATGGCCCAAGGAATCTTGAACTCGAATTTAACAATGTAATCCTTGATAGCAAAACTAAATAAATTTTATATTTCTTTTGCAGTGGAAGCTAGTTCAAATTTAGATTAATCCAAACAGCAATTTTAAAAGCTTATAAATGAGTGTGAGATTAAATTACTACATGAGTTCGCTTCCAGGAACTGGAAGCATGTTTTAAAAAAATAAAAATGAAAACAACACTTTAAAAAAATTTCATTCGTCCGAAGAGCTTTTACCTTCATTAGGAACAATCATAGCCGAATATTTGAAAGCCAATGATGTATAAGAACCGAAACAGTTGATGACCTATATAACCAAAAAGGGACCTAACATAATAGCCAAATCCATATAAGGTCAACTTTGCTCGAGGGAGTTGAAACCTTAGTTTTTAATAATTTATATACAATTTAAGAAAGGTTGGTTATAAATCATGTCAGTACCGAGGTACTGACTACTGAGCTAATGATACCCTAGGGGACTGATGGTATTCGACCCAGTGCTGTAAAAAATGATAACAGCACTTTATAAATTTCATGCTTTGAATTAACCTTTATCAGGAACACTCAAAGCCGAATATTTGAAAGCCAAGTATGCATAAGAACCGAAACAGGTGAATATAGTATTTTTCACATTGTGTACTTTTTTTAATCTTCATTTTTTTCGTTTTCAAAACGAGGTCGAGGAGCTCAATAAATAAAGGGGTGACAGTTATAATATTGAGAGATGTCTTACTCTACCCAGTTATAATTAATCAAGAAGACGTTTGAGTACTAACAAAGCTATATAGTTCAGCACTTTCGCATGATTATAGTGTGCCTATAATTGTCTTCTACTTGGTAAGTTGTTAGCAGATCTTGACTGGTATCTTAACTTTTAGTGTAAACAATATTTATTATGAAATGAAAACAATACATATCAGCATTATCCTTTTAACTTCACGTTCCACTATATAGATGATGTGCTCTCACTGAAGAGGTTTGGTGACTATGTTAAGTGTTCATGATACTCTATACGCGGGTGAAGTTGATATATTTGTTGCCAAGGTGAGGAAAATTTATAAATTAGAATTGAAATCGTCTCGTTTGTCATAGATTATGGTACTGAGATGACCGCTGTAGTCAAATTCGAGATATATGTCTAGAAATTAGGCTGGTTGGGCTGTATCTGTGGTTTCTTTAATCTCTAGTCCAGGGGGACCCAATCAGAAAAGTTTGGATTGTTGATGTGAAGAACATCATCAATATATCTGTATGTGAAATAAAATGATCTATCTTCTTTGATCTTATTGTTTTACAAGTGTCTAAAAGAACTTCGACTCATATGAAAATACGAAAAGGTCGACCAGGAGAGGTGCAGTCCATATATGAATATAATAGTCTTAGTTTAAACGACAAGTCTAGGGTTCTTGCTGACAACCTCCTAGAAAATTCTACCTCCAAATTCAACAAATTTGCTGTCAATGAAATGAAATGAGCCAAAATTTTGAAAAATATTTTGAGTAAAATACTTCAAATTTTCTGAATTTTTATTTTTGACTAAAAAAATCCGTATTTTCAACCCAAAAACGAAAAACATTGATAAAATATGTGATAATTAAATTTCCGCGTGTCTTTACTCCCGAAATCAACGAACATTTCTTTCAATTGGTTTTTTATTAATAACAATTTGAAATTGACTAATCCCAGACTTTTTATTTTCAACCTTTTTGGATGAAATCGTAATTTTTGCCACTACTTCGATGTTATATTTGAAATATAGCAGAGTTTTGCAACTTTTTAGCAAAAACACGAGACTGACTGTGAGAAAGAGGTGGTGCGATATTTGTGTTGCTAGTTTTATTTTCTAAACTGAAGACGTCACTAAAGGAGATGGGGCATATTTCCCGCCTTGAATTTGTTTTACGTCAGGCTTCTCATCTTCGTTCTCTTGAATTCGTGTACTATTAAATAAAAGTTTCTCATGAATAACAGTAACATAAGCTATATATATATATTTATTAACGGCCTCATCAAAAAAGCTTTATTGCCCAGTCTGTCACGAGCATGCCACTAGTTTCGATCACCAGACATGTCTTTATTAGCCTCTGTAAGGTGATGTCCTAGGTTCGATCTCATCAAATACATTGGACAGCAAAGATGCATTTTTCGGGCGTATGACATTTGCGCCGATTTTTTAAATTTTCGATATTTCATTTTCGCCGATTTGATTCTTTCATTAGCGCCGATTCTATATTTGCTCCTATTTCTGGGCTGCTGCACCCTTTGAAAACTGTAAGAGGACGAAAACGGTCCAGAATCGTTTCATTCGCATTATAATGAACAGTTCTATTCGCACCACCCTAACATATATGTCTTTATGGATGTCATCAAGAAAATCCAGGCCGTTACTTATGTCAAAATGAGAACTCTTGAAATGCCCGCCTCTGTACGCAAGTCGGAGAAAGAAAAGATGGACTTCGTTGTTGGCAAGTACAACAAGTTCAGAAGAGATGAAATTACAAGAAAGGAATTCATCAGTTGTGTAGCATATAAATACTCGGCAAGAACAGATGTATAATTCATTGCATTCCGTTTTTATGGATTTTAATGTTGTGCTTTTGAATGCTGTAGATAGATTTTTATTCCGTGATTTTAGTGGATGTAAACATAGTGCTTTTATCTTTTCAATTGACTTATCCTGCTCAAAATTCTACTTCCCCCCTCCCCGTGGTTAGCAAGAGACAATAGTTATATACATGTTATAATTGACAATTCATCTATTATTTACCTGTACACAATCGGCGCAAGTGAAATGCAGATCGGCGCAAATACAAAACGCCGGCATTTTTCGAGTGATTTTAATCATTTACTTGAAAACGAGTACATGGCCGTGACCCCTCTTTTTTAAAATGACATTTGACTTAATACTGTATGAAGATTATTCATTCCAATTTTTAAGAAGAAATCACCGATGATTTTTTTATTTAATTTAGATAAATATACATAAAAAATTGCCGTTTTTTTTCTAAAATCATGATTTAATAAAAATGAATTATTTCGAAAGAATTGTTACAAAAATTAAGAGTATACATATACTTTTGTAAAGAAGATATTTCAAATGTTTTTTTTTACAAAAATCCACATGTGTTTATCTTTTAGAAACAAAAACGTCAAGGATGTCTGTCCAAAGGATAGAAATGTCCAAGAACACGAAATTTTAGGTAAATGTCTTAAATTTCGACCCCATTTATCTCTAGATTTAGCACATGAAAGTATATTTTTATCACACATTAGAATTGGCTGGGTGAAAAATAGCTTGTATGCAAATTTACGTAAAAACATCACCGTGGAATCAAAACTGTATCGTATTGGTAGAAGTATGCCTTTTAAATTAAAGGGGCATTAGCTGTCAAATCCATATTTACCGATTTTACCCAAAATCTCATATTTGATTTATAACATACTAAAACGAATACCCAAATTACAAAAAGTTCAAAAAGAAACAATTAACAATGGATAGACGCGTTACAAAACAGCATTGCGTGTTTATTTTAGAGTAGACGCCATCTAAATATCCATCGAGATGTCCTCCGAATACAATACAATACAATAATACAATACAATACAATACAATACAATACAATACAATACAATACAATACAATACAATACAGTACAGTACATGATATGATATGATATGATATGATATGATATGATATGATATGATATGATATGATATGATATGATATGATATGATATGATATGATATGATATGATATGATATGATATGATATGATATGATATGATATGATATGATATAATATGATATGATAAGAATAATAGATAAATAAATAAATAAATAAATAAATAAATAAATAAATAAATAAATAAATAAATAAATAAAAGAGATTTTTTCCAACAAATATACTTCTTCTTCGTTAAATATACAATATTCCATCGACATCCGATGATTACATTCTTACATTCGTACATACTTCGGAGGATATAACAACAAAAAATATAGTGTTGTCCAGTTTTCGTTTTGATTGTAAAATAATCGGTTTCTCACTATGACTATTTTTCCCTGATCACCTGTTATAATGTTGCCACTGATGAACACGTAATGAACACGTTAGTGTGAAATGACAACAAGCCATCAGAAAAAATGAGCATACCGGTATTCATAGATTTACCTATCAATGAGCAGGTAAAAATGCCAGATCTATTACATATGAATAACAGTCAAGTGTTGGGATTTATGATTTCTCTTTGATAGAACCCAGTCGTTCTCTTAATCAAAGCCACGAGTCACACATTTACACCAGCCGTGTAAAACACAAAATGCGTCTAAGTAAAGTACAGTTATCTTTATTTAAAGTCGGGTTTTAATATATACGATCAGCATAGAACATAAGCTCTCTAGAGCTTTTTAACCGACTGATATATATAAAAGCATAACAGTTAGTCTGACACATTTTGGATAGACCATCACAAATGAGTGATGCTGCAATGTGCACGTTGGTTTTGCACACTGCACAGTTCCACGCTGCAATTTCCGAGGCAAAGATACCAAAGGGACATTCAAACTCATAAGTCGAAAATAAACTGACAGCGTCATGGCAAAAAAGAAGGACTGAAAGCCAAACAACAGTATACAAAGACAACATACATACGATGCAGTCCGGTAAATCTGCCCACATAAGGCTTTGACCGTATGTAATTCTGCTTAATTATATACAAATTGTATCAAATTTAATATAAATCGATACACTGACAAATCAATTTTGAGTAGTTTATCTCATTTCCCAAAAAATATCTGAAACAAAACAAGTGGGTCATCTGTGTTTTTATCGGAAATGTGTTTGTCCGATAAATCCGCCCATGGGCAGTAAATATGTATGGAGGGCCTGCAGTTGATCATATATTTATGAAAGGAAAAGGTAATCTATTAATAGACCACTTATGAAGGGATTCCAGACAATCGAAAATAAAAAATAAAATTCAAGGCAGAAACGAGTTTTGTAAGCAATAATAGATTATCGTTATTAGGAACTGTACTATATATATCACTAGATATTTTCGTAATAAAGGATTTTTCTTTAACATTTGACACGCAGTAATGATAAGTACAGTTCCTATGAATAAAATAGCAGAAAAAATATTCACGGAAGTAAATGGGAGTGTTTACCGGACGGACGGAATTACCGAACACTACTATACCTGCCAACTTTCACGATTTAGGCGTATATCAACAGTTGTAATGTCAAATACAAAAGGTACTATTTAAAGGTGCGTGGAATGACTTCTGGTGAAGAGCAGTACTAGCATGTTTGGAGACGTCATTGAGGCCACCATGGTCAATTTTAAAGTTTCCGTTGTAAACTTTACAAAAGGCATGTACATGTGACAACCCTAATGTTGATTTTAACAACCAGCCACTGAACTTTACATCGGTCTCCCATTTCTCCAAGTATGTAGTCTTCATGCCTATCTGATTAAAAAAAACTTTTTCACATCAGGACAATAAAAGATTTTGAGTAGTCAGCTGTTTTCTGGGTAGGAAGGGTTAGGGCAAACAAACATATTCTGTTTTATGGCCTAATCATTTTGATAATTTAATAACAAAAAAGCAACAATATATAATAAAACATCTGACACTTTAATTTCTCTCTGCAGAAAAAAGAAGAAAATACCTACCTACCTACCCACTGTCTCTACCTTTGGGTAGGGTTTGGGCAAACCAAAATATTTTTAAGTGTGGCCTTTTTATGCCCCCGCTGTAGCAGAGGGGGCATTAAGTTTTACCCTTGTCTGTACGTACGTACGTCCGTCCGTACGTACGTCCCAACATTGGTTTCCATTCTCTAACTTTAGTTTGCCTCAACCAAATGTTATGAAACTTATACACAATGCGTATTACCACTAAATACAGATCAAGTTTGCACTTTGGTGGCATCACTTTTACCGTTCTAGAGTTATGCCCCTTTACAAATAGAAAAATTGCTAAATTTTCCGTTTCTGTTCTCTAACTTAAGTTTGCCTCAACCAAATGTTATGAAACTTATACACAATGCTTATTACCACAATATACAGATCAAGTTTGAATTTTGTTGTCGTCACTTTTACTGTTCTAGAGTTATGCCCTTTACAAATGGAAAAATTGCTGAATTTTTCATTTTTTTTTTCTAAATATCAAGTATTTTTAAAATTGGAGTTATCTTTCTTTGTCCATGATTATAGTTGAATCAACTACAATCAATGCTTTATACAATGCAATGTTTAATTTTACCTTCCACTGATAAATTAAAGCAATTTTTTACCCTTCATTTCTAAAAATATTTTAAAGTCTTCTTTGAAAATTGGAGTTATCTTTCTTTGTGCATAATGGTAGTTAAATCAACTACAACCAATGCTTTATACAATGCAATATTCAATTTTACGTCCTACTGATAAAGTAAAGCAATCTTTACCATTCAGTGCTTACAAGTACTTTGATTACTGTTCTAGAGTTATGCCCATTTACAAATGAAAAAATTGCTGAATTTTTCGTTTCTGTTCTCTAACTTGAGTTTGTCTTAAATTAATGTAATGAAATGTATATAAATTTCCGTTTGAATGGTTTTACACTAGTAATTTTTTGGGGCCCTTTATAGCTTGCTGTTCGGTGTGAGCCAATGCTCCGTGTTGAAGGCCGTACCTTGACCTATAATGGTTTACTTTTATAAATTGTAACTTGGATGGAGAGTTGTCTCATTGGCACTCATACCACATCTTCCTATATCTATATATAATGCTTTTTACCACAAAACTCAGTTTAATTTGTTTCCGTTCTCTAACTTTAGTTTGCCTCAACCAAATGTTATGAGACTTATACACAATGCTTATTACCACATAATACAGATCAAGTTTGAAATTGCATTGGGTGGTGTCACTTTTACCGTTCTTTAATTATGCCCCTTTATAAACATAAAAATTGCTGAATTTTCCGTTTCCGTTCTCTAACTTTAGTTTGCCTCAACCAAATGTTATGAAACTTACACACAATGCTTATTACATGTACCTTTTAACACAGATCTAGTTAGAAATTGGGTGGTGTCACTTTTACTGTTCTTGAGTAAATATTGCCCGTTTGGAAGAAGTTATTGTATATTCATTGAAATTGAAATTACAAAATCACAGGAACAATATCCATGATATTAATTAGAATCATACTTGTAAGTACAGTGAAATATACACTTTTTTAATTTTTTTTTTATTGTAAACGAATGGCCCACTCATTTGACAACATGGCCCATTAATTCTAAAAATGGCCCATTGAATTTATTTTTGGGGGGCCCTGGGCCCATAGAGAAAAAATCCTTCCAGATCACTGATAAATAGAGTACAACAATCATAAAAATAAAAAAGAAGGGTTATAACCTCATCTTCCATCATCACCCCAAAAAAAAAAAGTATGCCACTATTTCTTGAGCAAATCAACACACACCAAAAAATGCCACAAACAAATTTGACCCTTAAAAATGGTGTCGTGCACAAAAACCCCCATGGGCATTTTCAAAAGTTGGCAGGTATGAACATAGAAACCTAAAGACTGAGCAACATGAACCCCACCAAAAACAAAGGGTGCTCTGGAAGGGTAAGCAGATGCTGCTCCACATGTGTGTTGAAGTTATACCATTCATATTGATTTTGTGACCAATTGATATTTATATAGGAAGAAAAAACCTACCTTTGGTTTGGACGTATCCCGGTCTGATTTTGAAATGAAATTACGTCCTCCATGGATACATGCATACACAAGTCCACTGCTGTCAAACTTTGCTTTTGATGTGTCAGTTATTCCCAAACTTCATTTATATACCTGTTTAAAATTAGATTTTTTTTTATGCCCCCGCCGTAGCGTATGTATAAGTTTCATAACATTTGGTTGAGGCAAACTAAAGTTAGAGAACGGAAACCAACTTTGGGACGGACGGACGGTAGCGGAGGGGGCATTAAGTTTTACCCTTGTCCGTCTGTACATACGTCATAGCGGAGGGGGCATTAAGTTTTACCCTTGTCCGTCTGTACATGCGTCATAGCGGAGGGGGCATTAAGTTTTACCATTGTCCGTCTGTAAGTACGTCATAGCGGAGGGGGCATTAAGTTTTACCCTTGCCTGTACGTACGTCCGTCCGTACGTCCCAAAGTTGGTTTACGTTCTTTAACTTTAGTTTGCCTCAACCAAATGTTATGAAACTTATACAAAATACAGATCAAGTTTGAATAATGGTGGTGTCACTTTAACCGTTCTAGAGTTATGCCCCTTTTACAAATGGAAAAATTGCCGCATTTTTCGTTTCCATTCTCTAACTTAAGTTTGCCTCAACCAAATTTTATGAAACTTATACACAATACTTATTACCACAAAACTCAGATCAAGTTCAGATTTGGGTAGGGTCACTTTTACCGTTCTTCAGTTATGTCCGTTTTATAATTATATGATATGCAAGCGAGGGCCATCATCTGTGTCCCATGGACACTTTCCACATTTTTTTTTATTCAAATGCATCTAAAGTTTTTAATTTTTCACCCAAAGAAAATTTGGTAATGTCCATTGTTCAAAGTACATGTATAATGACAGTTATAAGGATTTAAGTGTGCAGTTAAATACATAGAAGTGAATACTTTTCTTCTAAACATCGCAACATTGAACTATATTCTTCACCTTTGACACTTCTAAACTGTTACAGTAGTATTATCTTGAAGAACATTTATACAATTAACACTTAAAAACTATTTAAATATTATTTGTTGAATAATAATCAAGCATATCTGAGATTCCAGCAACAAAATTAAAGTCAATTAAAAGTTTAATAAATTTAATGTAACAATAACGCAATGAACCGTAGACACAAATATTATTGTTATTTTGCGGTCTTATATTGGTATGACGTTGGCGTCGTCCGAAGACACATAGGTTTTCGCACAATAACTTTAGTTTAAATGAATGGATCTCTATGAAATTTTACCATAAGGTTCAATACCACAAAAGGAAGGTTGGGATTGATTTTGGGGGTTATGGTCCTAACAGTATAGGAATTAGGGGTAAAAAAGAGGCCCAAAAAGGCATTTTTTTAGTTTCCAGACAATAACTTGTGTTTAAAAAGTAAAATCACAAAAATTGTGTTTAAGTGTATTGATCTCTCTGAAATTATACCACAAGTTTCCATACCACAAAGGGATGTATAGGATTGGCTTTGGGGGGTTATGGCTCAAACCGTTTAGGAATTAGGGGCAAAAAAGGGGAAAAAACAAGGGTTTCCTGGTTAATGGACAATTTAAAAGCAGTGTAAGGGAGGTAATCCAAAAACAAAATTGTACAATGTTGTACAATGTTGGATTACCTGGGGGGGGCAATTTTTTCTCATTTCAGATTTCAGAAATTAAACAAAATTTCTTCACATATTTGGGGTTTTTTTGGGGGGGGTTGGGGTTGGGGGGTTCAATACGCAACAGCATAGTGTATTGCACAAAAGCAAACAAAAAAGGGGGTTAATTTTTATTTTTATTTTTTTGGGAGGGGGGGTGTCAATTCGCACAGGCACAATGTATTGCACAAAAGCAAAAAATTGAATATAAATTCAAATCATATAACCAATTCTAAGTTCTTTGACTACAGTTATTCTGTGTCAGAAACCTATTATGTGTCAAATATTTAATTACAATCCAAATTCAGACCTGTATCAAGCGCGAATATTGTGTCCATTTTTGCCCCAACTGTTCAGGGTTGGACCTCTGCGGTCGTATCTAGCTGCGCTCAGCGAAGCATTTTATTTGTTATTGTTATGTTTCATCGTAATCGTAGCCAGTTCCTACATTTCCTACAATCAATTCAAGTAGCATGTATGAATAAATAAAGAACACATGCAACATATATATAAAACACACACAGGCATTAAAAGCATAATATATCAATACAGACAAAGCACATGCAATGTAAAGAGCAGATAAGCATATTCACATAAAACACATACAAGCAAGAAGACATATGATATAAACACATATCACGCATGCAAAAACAATAAAATAAAGCATTAGTAGAAGCACAAGTATATGAATGTAAGCAACAACAACAACAACAACAATACTTATTTTATGAGGGTTACACAGTTAGCTATATAACTATTCTTCCCTGAGGCCCTCGTCATTGAAAAAGCATAAACAAAAATGCAAACATATACATGGCATACATTAGTATAAAAGTCAAGTATAATGATAATGTTCAACACAACTGAGTAAAATGTGAAGCAATGCTGATAGGTCTTAAAACCTTTCCATTTACATAGAAGTGTCATCATTCAGCAAAAAGTTCAGATTTTGGCAATTAAACCAGAAAAAGATCAGATAGTACAGCAATTCATATTGCAATACAAAAGCAGTGATAAGGTATCAATATGATGACAGAAAAATAGACACAATTAAGATTTGATTCAAAATCCATTACTACAAAACATCATCTGAAAGTGTAACTGTGTTACTGCATCTGGATAATTTGAGATAATGACACGTTTCCTGTTTTATCAAAACTAATTTCTCTTTAAAGAACAAGAGAAAGAATAAAATACTTATTTATTACTTCTATGTAAATCAGATATGAGAGGCTTACATCTAATACATACACAGTTTTATCAGAAGACTGGGTAAAAATTTTGGTGTTTACAGAGCCATTTAGGTCAAATAGATATGATCAGCCTTACATAGTTGTTGATAAATTGAAGGTGTTAATTAAATCATTTACCTATAAAACAGTTTTAATCAACACTTAAAACTTTAATGTCATTTAACCTTAATTGACATGTGAGCAACCCAGATAATTAGGACATTAGGGGTCATTAAATGAGGTTATTTTTTTTGTAACCTGGACAAATGTCGCTGAATGCAATACAGTTGTGCTAATCTTTCGGCAACAGCAACTATTTTTAAAGCTTTATATTTCAGAAGGTAGTAAAAATTGATACCTATGGTATACATGTATCTTGTATACAGATATTTATTTTCTTAAGGGCACACAATACAGTTACAGGGAAGGTAATTCAGTCAGTTGATTAAACTACCTTTCCAAAGGGGGAGGTGGTATCCTGAATTGCCTCTTTATATCTATCTATAACACATTTCTGTTGCAGTTTTCTCAGCAACTACAAGTCATAGCTTCTCTTGAAAGATGGCATCAAGCTTCAACCTGCTATGTCATATGTTGGTTTTTAGTTCCTTTTATATTCTTATTACTGTTAGCTAAAAACTTAGCTCACAGAACATCTTCATTTATTTGTCTTTTATTTTTAGGTCCTCGAGCTGAGGGGCTACCTCAAGGAAGTGGGAGCAGATATATCTGCTGAGGCTCTTGAAGGGAATAGCTTGGGAGATTTACGTCAGATCATAGAAGCCAGCAAATATTTGTGGGAAAATCTAAATAATGATGCAGGTAACTAACTATCTACTTCATAGACAATGCACATAAGTTCTCTTTCTGGTTTTAAAAAAAACCCATGTGTGATAATTAGTACTGACTGCTGCTTTAAGTAATTATTCCATCTTTCAATTTTTATTTAGTTGCACAACAACTCATGTTTGCTTGTACATATTTTCATGATTTTATGGACAATGTTAGAAGTGCATAAATGAAATGTATATTAGAGTTATTGGAAATTTAAAATAGAAAAAGCTTAAAAATCTGTCTACTTTATATATTAGTTCAAGTTTGCTTTTATGGATTTTTATGATTTTAAATAGAATGGGATATTGGACTATCATAATAAACATGTTAAAGGCACATAATGGGAGCTAATCATAAACTCTTCACATGAAATTGGGCCTTTAAGAGGTTGTGCATGAGTTGATATAAAGAAGACTTTTGTTTCTCAGTGGCACTCTAAAGTGTCTACAATTCTCCCTGTCCATCCATTTTTCACATTCAATGTATACATGTCAATTGATCATTCTTATCATGCATGAAACATTCACTGGTGTTAAACTGATCATGGTAACTGCAATTACCACAATCCCAACATGGCGGAGAATAAGGAAGATAATCATAACTCCAAAAGAAGATACTTGTAACTTGTGGACATATAACTGGGAAGATAATCGTAACTGTAGAATATTTTAATGATAATAGTAACTGATTTTTATCAGTAACCTCTGCAAATATTAAAATTTAACAATAATAACTGTTATCCAAACGTATCTAATTACATTTTATAAAATGCATAGTCATGGACATTTGTTCAAGTGAACCTTGTACAAAAGGGAATGAGCCGATTAATAGTCCAAAGAAAAATAAGATACCGTGAACTAATTTGTATATTTACTTGAAAACGAACGTAATTTTATACATTATAGTTCCCTATAACAATGTTTGAACATGATAAATTTTTGCCTTGCCTTATCATCATGATGAAAATTTTAATTTGTAAAATATATATATCCACAAAGCATAACAAAACTCCTTAACAAAATCAACCCTCATAAAGCCATTGGCCCAGACAATATCAGTGGCCATATCTTAAAAGAAATGCAAGAAACATATAGCAACAATTTTAACAATAATATTTAAGAAATCACTTGAAATTGGACAAACACCACAGGACTGGAAGCATGCTAATGTTGTACCAGTCTTCTAAATGGGTGACAAACATAAAGCTGTCAACTACAGGACAGTTTCATTGACTTGCATCTGCTGCAAGTTAGTGGAACATATTGTCACAAAACACATCATTAACCGTATTGAGAATAATAGCATCCTGTACCATCTCCAACATGGCTTTAGACATTCACGATCATGCAAACCACAACTACTATTTTTATGCCCCCGCCGTAGCGGTGGGGGCATTAAGTTTTACCCTTGTCCGTCTGTACGTACGTACGTACGTCCCAAAATTTGTTTCTGTTCTCTAACTTGAGTTTGCCTCAACCAAATATTATGAAACTTATACACAATGCTTATTACCACAAAACACAGATCAAGTTTGAATTTTGGCGGCGTCACTTTAACCGTTCTAGAGTTATGCCCCTTTATAAATGGAAAAATTGCAAAATGTTTAGTTTCCGTTCTCTAACTTAAGTTTGCCTCAACCAAATGTTATGAAACTTATACACAAGGCTTATTGCCACAAAACACAGATGAAGTTTGAATTTTGGTGGCGTCACTTTAACCGTTCTAGAGTTATGCCCCTTTATAAATGGAAAAATTGCAAAATTTTTAGTTTCCGTCCTCTAACTTCAGTTTGCCTCAACCAAATGTTATGAAACTTATATACAATGCTTATTATCACAAAACACAGATCAAGTTTGAATTTTGGTGGCGTCACTTCAACCGTTCTAGAGTTATGCCCCTTTATAAATGGAAAAATTGCAAAATTTTTAGTTTCTGTTCTCTAACTTAAGTTTGTCTCAACCAAATGTTATGAAACTTATACACAATGCTTATTACCACAAAACACAGATCAAGTTTGAATTTTGGTGGCGTCACTTCAACCGTTCTAGAGTTATGCCCCTTTATAAATGGAAAAAATTGCAAAATTTTTATTTTCTTCTAAATATCAAGTTATTTTTTTTTAAATTGGAGTTATCTTCCTTTGTCCATGATTATAGTTGAATCAACTACAATCAATGCTTTATACAATGCAATGTTTAATTTTGACTTCCACTGATAAAACACAGATCAAGTTGAATTTGGGTAGTGTCACTTTAACCATTATTGAGTTATGCCCCTTTAAAAATAGAAAAATTGCTGAATTTTTAGTTTCTGTTCTCTACTTAAGTTAGCCTCAACCAAATGTTATGAGACTTACACACAAAACTCAGATCAAGTTCAAATTTGGGTAGCGTCACTTTTACTGTTCTTCAGTTATGTCCCTTTATAACTATATGATATGCAAGCGGGGGCATCATCTGTGTCCACATGTGGACACTATCCACATTTATTTATTAAAGAACTATCTGTTACAAACAACCACACAACCTGATCACATTATAAGGGACTTTACTAAAGCATTCAATAAGGTACCAGATCAAAGACTTTTATACAAATTAAATTATTATGGCATTTCTGGACTCACATTAAATTGGATCGCTGCATTCCTTTCAAATCACACGCAAACAGTTGTCATGGATGGAAAGTCATCAAACACCACCCCAGTCACATCATAGGTGCCTCAAGTTACTGTCTTAGGCCAAGTCTTATTTTTGGTCAATATGAATGACCTTCCAGACTACCTAAATCATAGCAAACTTAGATTATTTGCAGACAACAGTATTATATACAGGCCGATCTGAGCTGAACCCAAAGTGACTGTAACAAACTTTAGGGCTGATCTTGATGCAGCAGCAAAGTGGGAACATGACTGGTTGGTGGCTTTTCGTCCCGATAAATGCACAGTCCTATCTGTCACACAGAAATATCAACTATTTAAACATAAGTACACCCTTCATACTTATACATTAGAATCTGTATCATCTGCTAAATACCTTGGTATTACACTTCACTTAAATCAAATCTAAAGTGGGACAAACACTTAAATGATATAACATCTTAAAGTAACAAAACTCTTGGCTTCCTAAAACGTAACCTCAAAACATCAAACCAACATATCAAGAGTCTGGAATACCAAGTACTTATCCACCCTAAACTTGTGTAGTCTTGCTCAGTCTGGGATCCACACACCACAGAATCAATTTCATAGATTGAGATGGTCCAAAGGCAAGCTGCCCGGTATGTATGCAATAGGTACCACAATACAATTAGTGTATCTGAGATGCTGAACACAATTAATTGGCCACCACTATCAGTCCATAGTCTGTGCACTATACTTTTCATATGATCTCACACCATCCTTATACCTGCAGATCCTAGAACTAGAAAATTTTATCAACTCTCTTTTAGGCACATATATATACATCTTATAAGATACATACAGGCACTCATTCTTTCCGTTTACAATACTGCAATGGAACACATTACCAATATCATTAGTTCAGTCTCAGTCAGTAGACAGCTTTAGAGAACAGCTCTACTGCTATTCTATATACTCTCATTTAGATATTAAACCTTTTGTACATAATTTTAAACCACTTAAGTTCGTCCATCTGCACTACCAAACAATTTGAATAATATAGCACTGAATTTCCTTATTTATTTTGTTGATTAATTTTTGTAAATGCAACAGTTAATAATCATAAGCCTGCTTGATGGTTTATTGTATACTCAAAAAAGAAGAAAGCAAAAAATAAATTAGTTTTAGATATTTAAACCAATTATTTATGAATTCTTATCACACTATCTTTTTTTTTCAAATTGAAAAAAAAAAATATATATATATCGTAGTCGCTGTCCCCATCAACATATACAGTTAAGATTATCACTGATAAGTTATCATTATAATTTCCAAATTACGACTATCCAGTTTCGATTATCCTATCAAATAAATTTCATGGAGTTACGATTATCTTCCTTAAATTTTCTATGGCTATTTTTTATTTTGGTAAAGAAGCCATTTTTATACGACAGCAAAAAAAATTTTTGGGATCGTATAATGGTATGATGTCGTCGTATACGTCGTCGTCCGAAGACACATTGGTTTCCGGACAATAACTTTAGTTTAAGTGAATGGATCTCTATGAAATTTTTAAGAAGGTTCAATACCACAAAAGGAAGGTTGGGATTGATTTTGGGGATGATGGTTCCAACCGTTTAGGAATTAGCGGCCCAAAAAGGGGTCCAAAAAGGGGCCCAAAACAAGCATTTTTCTAGTTTCAGGATAATAACTTGTGTATAAGTATTTCGATTGCTCTGAAATTGTACCACAATGTTTAATACCACAAGTAGAAGGTTGGGATTCATTATAGGGGTAATGGGGGCCAACAGTTTAGGAATTAAGGGCCAAAAACAAGCATTTTTCTTGTTTCCAGACAATGACTTGTGTGTAAGTGTATGGATCTCTCTGACATTGTACCACAAGGTTCCATATAACAAAGGGAAGGCTGGGATTGAGTTTGGGGTTAATTGCCCCAAACATGTAGGAATTAGGGGCCAAAAAAGGGCCAAAAACAAGCATTTTTCTAGTTTCCAGACAATAACTTGTGTGTAAGTGTATGGATCTCTTGAATTCATGGTACTACAAGGTTCCATACTACAAAGGAAAGGTTCGGATTGAGTTTTGGGGTTATTGCTCCAAGGGGGTTTCAAAAAGTTGAGAAGTTGAGGGGGGGGGGGTTTTCCCAAGTTTTTTAAGGGATTCATATTTCTTTTTCAAAATTTTGAAAATTATGAATTTTTGAAAAATAATTGACCATGACATTGCATGTGTTCTGGTGACAAAACAACAACACGATCATTATCATTAATCTGAAATGTTTTCAAGTTCTTAAAATATGCCGTATAATGATAAAGAAAGGCAGATTTATAAACTTGGAAGAAATGAAAAATAGTTTGACAGTGTACCACTGTTAAAAAACGAGTAGAAATTGAATACTGAAAGTAAGTTCCAACTTCCAGTTTGTAAAAGTTCCAAATTTGACCCCACTGTCACTATATATCTTTCTCTGCTACTGTAGCTTAACTGCTCAGTTTATATGTGTTTTCAAATGTAAAGAGAATATATTTTTATTAAACATAAACATGAAAGGTCAGAGAGCCAGAATTTACATCTTGGGAAGAAAGAAATACACCTTATCGCTATTTGTCCACCATTACTGGACATCACAAAAGTTCCCATAAAATTTTGACGTCAAAATAGAAAATATCTGACGCCACAATGGAAAAGTGATTGTTGTATGATTTCAAAAGTTAAAGCGGGACAGATTCTCGGGTCAAGCGGGAATAGGGATAAGGTGTATTAAAAATTGTCAAAAACAGTGTACCACTGAAAAACGATCACAATTTGAATGTTAAAAGTCTCAAAGTAATTTACAGTTTTTTATAATTTCCCATGGTTATAAACCAGATCGTTTTTTAATTCACCATGGTTCAGGTTGTCTGAAGTTGACCATGGTCACAAAGGCAGTAAACCGTGGTTGTCAAATTGACCATGGTCAACCACGGTTGATGAGAGCATGTGAACTTTAGTCAGACACTTCAGACAGATAAATTGTTTACAAGTTTGACAATACAAACAACAGACCTGTCCAGCATGTTCTTGGCACTTAATCTCACTGAGTTTGAAATGTTCCTTTGATTCTTGACAGAAAGAAGATGACGTTTGTAATAATTATTTACTCTGATGTTTTGATGTTTGAAATATGTTAATTGTCATTCAAAAGAGAATAAATTATTACTACACAGCATTTTAAAAAAGGACATGAAATAAACAAATCTTTATATCATGCATTATTTTTATTGCTTTAATTGTGTACTCCAAGATATATTTTATATATTCATGGATTAAAGAAGAAAAATACACAAAATTCAGGTTTTTCACAGTACTTTATATCCAGGATATATTTTATGTTTCCAGGATTATTTTTTTTAAAAATTCCACACAAAATTCTGGTTTATGTTTTCCCGTTTCAACTAGAATGGGATCCTGGCTTCAGACAGTATTCCTGAATGGGATCCCAGTTTCAGATATTTATCCTGAATGGGATCCCGACTTCAGATGCTTATCCCGGCTTATCCCGCCAATTTCACCGGGGTTTCATTTTCTCTTGGGACAGTATTGCGCAATGGATTTATAAGATCTTTGATCACATTTATTTTGTGTCAGAAACCTATATTATGTCAAAAATTTGATCAGAATCCAAATTCAGACAGTATAAAGCTTGAATATTGTGTCCAAATTTGCCCCAACTGTTCAGGGTTCGACCTCTGCGGTCGTATCAGGCTGTGCTCAGCGAAGCATTTTATTGATATTAAGAACACACACACATACAACAAAAACCATACAGATCAACCGGGCGGCTGAGTAATTTTTGAAAACAACATGTTTACACGGAGAAATTAGCAGAAAACAATTTTAACTATTTCTACCTCCGCCATGTTGGGATCTTGGTAATTGCAGTTACCACGATCAGTTTAACACCAGTGAACATTTGTTTAACAATCAATAAATCTTTATTTTACATTGTTTAATGTCATGTTTTGTTATTATTTAATCCTAGTGTTCCAAAAAGATATCTCAGTGAATATATCGATCTCAAATTGACCTTATCTCTTATCGTGATTCTGTGACACTTATCCAAGTGTTTGAGACAAGTCTTGCTTGCAAACACGTCTTTTTAATGCCATTACCCTTGTACAATTTTGTTAATTAACCAGTTTTATCATTAAAATCCAGAGTACTTTAATTCATAAAGTTTAGCTTTGTTTTCCTGACTCCCATCTGATGTATAATTCCCTATATAAAAATGTCCTGGTGTAGATAGAGCAAGAGAATATAGTCCTCGTATTCCTATATGATTAACCCTGTAGTAAGTTATGATTTGTCCATCACTCTGTAAGATATGTAGTGCATGGTTCTTGCTATCAGCCACAATAACATTATCTAAGGGTGTTGTAAGTATATCAGAAGGTTTAAATGGTCTATCTTCAGTGTTTACATCAGGATGACCAGTGTATATTTGTACCACTTGTCCTGATTGTCCCAGTATTATCACTCTACCTCTGCGTGTTTCATCTAACTTATCCACCACACATATATTACCGTGACTGGTAGTGGTAATCCTATAAGGATAAGTAAACAATGGTTTGTTGGTCTTGTCGTATTCAAATTCGGTCAGATGATTTCCTCTTAAATCCATCATTATGACTACACGTTTTCCTTTAGCAGGGAATATTTTCCCTGAAGGTATAGCTCCAATAATGACTCTATCATCTCTGGTTATATGTATTCTGCATGTTGTTAGTGGTGCAATGTCGTATATTGTGTGAGTTATCTGTCCAGTTCCTGCATTCATCATCTTCAGCAGTGTTCCTCCGTCTGATATAAGGATATCATTAGTAGAAGTAATTGCCATGTCCCATACAATCATATTAAATCGTGATATAACGTCAATTTTGTTTTGTTCAATTTTGATATGTTGAACTGTATTTCTGTTGTCTGCTATCCAAACTGAATCATCCTGGCAGTAAACCAGAGAATAAATACGACTAAGATCTGTAACAAATTTTGTGTCAACTTTAATTTTGATATTAGCTTTATCAGTTTTCCTTACTTGAGGTTTACTTAAGACAGTTAGCTTGCTTAGTTCCTGTCTGATCATTTCTGAATTATACTCCTCTTCTTCCAATACTTCATGACCCCTGTGAAATTTAGTCAGACACTTCAGACAGATAAATTGTTTACAAGTTTGACAATACAAACAACAGACCTGTCCAGCATGTTCTTGGCACTTAATCTCACTGAGTTTGAAATGTTCCTTTGATTCTTGACAGAAAGAAGATGACGTTTGTAATAATTATTTACTCTGATGTTTTGATGTTTGAAATATGTTAATTGTCATTCAAAAGAGAATAAATTATTACTACACAGCATTTTAAAAAAGGACATGAAATAAACAAATCTTTATATCATGCATTATTTTTATTGCTTTAATTGTGTACTCCAAGATATATTTTATATATTCATGGATTAAAGAAGAAAAATACACAAAATTCAGGTTTTTCACAGTACTTTATATCCAGGATATATTTTATGTTTCCAGGATTATTTTTTTTAAAAATTCCACACAAAATTCTGGTTTATGTTTTCCCGTTTCAACTAGAATGGGATCCTGGCTTCAGACAGTATTCCTGAATGGGATCCCAGTTTCAGATATTTATCCTGAATGGGATCCCGACTTCAGATGCTTATCCCGGCTTATCCCGCCAATTTCACCGGGGTTTCATTTTCTCTTGGGACAGTATTGCGCAATGGATTTATAAGATCTTTGATCACATTTATTTTGTGTCAGAAACCTATATTATGTCAAAAATTTGATCAGAATCCAAATTCAGACAGTATAAAGCTTGAATATTGTGTCCAAATTTGCCCCAACTGTTCAGGGTTCGACCTCTGCGGTCGTATCAGGCTGTGCTCAGCGAAGCATTTTATTGATATTAAGAACACACACACATACAACAAAAACCATACAGATCAACCGGGCGGCTGAGTAATTTTTGAAAACAACATGTTTACACGGAGAAATTAGCAGAAAACAATTTTAACTATTTCTACCTCCGCCATGTTGGGATCTTGGTAATTGCAGTTACCACGATCAGTTTAACACCAGTGAACATTTGTTTAACAATCAATAAATCTTTATTTTACATTGTTTAATGTCATGTTTTGTTATTATTTAATCCTAGTGTTCCAAAAAGATATCTCAGTGAATATATCGATCTCAAATTGACCTTATCTCTTATCGTGATTCTGTGACACTTATCCAAGTGTTTGAGACAAGTCTTGCTTGCAAACACGTCTTTTTAATGCCATTACCCTTGTACAATTTTGTTAATTAACCAGTTTTATCATTAAAATCCAGAGTACTTTAATTCATAAAGTTTAGCTTTGTTTTCCTGACTCCCATCTGATGTATAATTCCCTATATAAAAATGTCCTGGTGTAGATAGAGCAAGAGAATATAGTCCTCGTATTCCTATATGATTAACCCTGTAGTAAGTTATGATTTGTCCATCACTCTGTAAGATATGTAGTGCATGGTTCTTGCTATCAGCCACAATAACATTATCTAAGGGTGTTGTAAGTATATCAGAAGGTTTAAATGGTCTATCTTCAGTGTTTACATCAGGATGACCAGTGTATATTTGTACCACTTGTCCTGATTGTCCCAGTATTATCACTCTACCTCTGCGTGTTTCATCTAACTTATCCACCACACATATATTACCGTGACTGGTAGTGGTAATCCTATAAGGATAAGTAAACAATGGTTTGTTGGTCTTGTCGTATTCAAATTCGGTCAGATGATTTCCTCTTAAATCCATCATTATGACTACACGTTTTCCTTTAGCAGGGAATATTTTCCCTGAAGGTATAGCTCCAATAATGACTCTATCATCTCTGGTTATATGTATTCTGCATGTTGTTAGTGGTGCAATGTCGTATATTGTGTGAGTTATCTGTCCAGTTCCTGCATTCATCATCTTCAGCAGTGTTCCTCCGTCTGATATAAGGATATCATTAGTAGAAGTAATTGCCATGTCCCATACAATCATATTAAATCGTGATATAACGTCAATTTTGTTTTGTTCAATTTTGATATGTTGAACTGTATTTCTGTTGTCTGCTATCCAAACTGAATCATCCTGGCAGTAAACCAGAGAATAAATACGACTAAGATCTGTAACAAATTTTGTGTCAACTTTAATTTTGATATTAGCTTTATCAGTTTTCATTACTTGAGGTTTACTTAAGACAGTTAGCTTGCTTAGTTCCTGTCTGATCATTTCTGAATTATACTCCTCTTCTTCCAATACTTCATGACCCCTGTGAAATTTAGTCAGACACTTCAGACAGATAAATTGTTTACAAGTTTGACAAAACAAACAACAGACCTGTCCAGCATGTTCTTGACATTTAATGTCACTGAGTTTGAAATGTTCCTTTGATTCTTGACAAAACCCTACATCTTTTATATTTATAATTCTGTGATCACTGGCACTTTTAATTTTTAGATGGACTTTTTCTTTACATCTAGTACACATCAATAATGAACAATCCAGACATTTCCATTCGATCTTCGTTTCTCCTTCACAAAACTGACATCCTATAGGTATCTGGGCCTTTAATGTAGACTGTTTGAATGCCATTATTGAAAAGCAAAATGTCTGAGCTCATAATACCATCTTTTGTGACTATTTATAGTTTACCTGTGTTACTTAAAAAAGATTTAAATTTTTGTACCGTCTTCTTATGTATATAGTTATTTAATCATGAAATTTTGTATGAATAAAGGTAAAATAAAATTTATCAAAAGATAAGTCACAGAAACTTAAATATCAAAGCATTGAATATACAATTCAACTGTGGTACATCTAACTATAATGAATTACTGGTAGTTTATTTGTAACTGTAAAATACACTTCAAAATTTAAAATAACATTTAACGAAAGCATGTAATAAATAATGGTATTGTTTGACTTCTTCAAGTCAGAGAAGGTATTTGCAAATAAAGGTTTTCACCTGTTTGTTTTCATGAAGTTTTACAAAGAAATGTTTTCACCTGTTTGGTTTTTTTCATGAAGTTTTATAATTACAGTATACATTAGAAAAATTGGAGATTGTAGTGTAATTTATGATACTCTTTTAATATTGAAAAATGATTATCTTGTGTATCCCAAATTTCTAATTCATTCTATTGAAAGTTCAATTTTATGGAAATTCTGGCCTATTCCATGATTTCAAAGACTAAGAGTAAATACTGCATGCCTGAGAACCAACATAAATTTTAAACTTTGTATGACTCTTTTATTAACAGTAGACAAGTGGCAATGTCTAATCCCCTCTTATTAAGCAAAGTTGTAAATAAATTGTCATAACAATCAGTGATGAACACCAGTTTTGAAAAAGAACAAAACACATTAAGATTTTGTCAATAATCAGCATAATATCTATGGTAACCGTTACTAATGAGCTGTTTCTTTCCTTTATTCGACAAAGGAGATGACTTTAAGCAGTTATCTCCCTTATATAAGTGCTGTCCCTTACTCCACAGTTATCTCCCTTTTATTTCCTTATATGTGCTGCAAGGTCCTCAAATGTTATCTCCCTTTATTTTATAGATTTGGAGATGACTTTGAACAGTATTATCTCCCTTGTATTAGTGCTGCCACCTGATCAGATACAAGAACCAGTACTCCAGTTTTGTGAAGCAGTTGCTAAATCAAGCAGTGGAGACAAAAGAGCTAGTTTGAGAATAAAATTGTAAGTTAGCAGTAACTGAACTTAGGGGTTTTGTTTTGTCAGCAAAGATTCACAGGATGCCATCGATAGAATTTTTAACCGGATTTTCGAAAATCGGTTATTGATTTGGGGATATTCTTTTTTTGGTGTCGTCATCAACAATTAAGCTTCTCAGAACTCAATGACTAGCCTGGGTTCCTGGTTCACTACTAGAGAGTAGAACCAGATGGAATACAATATGTTTACATTGAGGGGATGTAAGACTGATACATTATGTGATAGCAATAATGTGGCAGGAATTATTAAGCCTGCCACAATTTTTTTGAAATAACTTTATAAGAAAATACTGTAAGTTAAAAGTCTTTGACATGATAGCCAGACCTTGTTGAGTTTCATCATTGATCAACTTGCAATTATAATATACTTGTTGTTTACATTTTCACATGTGCATTTATTCAGTCCTGATCAGCATTTAATAATCTTCCACAACTTGCCATAGTAATTAGAAGCAGTTATTTGGTCAAATTTTCCAATGACAAGAATGTCTCTGAATATTAGGCAACATACACAGAGTTGTGCTTCATTGACTTGATTTTTCATTATTCAAATTTTTTCTGATCTAATTTTCTTCTGATAACACAATGTTTTATCTTTCTGACAGATTATCAAACTTGTTTTCTGGTTTGGATGAGAAGAGTTCCTCAAGAGCTGATGTATACTTATGTTTAGTCAAATTAGCCCACCAAACAGATCTCCTGTATTTAGTAAACACAAATCTATCCAGTGTAAGTATACATTATTAAGGGAATTAAAGTTTAAGTCATAACTCAGACTTACCCTGTATTACTATATTGCATGTAGTTACACAAGATCTCGACAATGAAAAATAAGAGATGTCCTGGAATTTAGTTCCTTTAGTAAATATTTTAATGATAATAGCTTGAATATCACAAAAATATTAATATAATTAATATAAAGTGAAACCTGTCTGTAACGAACCCAGTAAGGACTGAAGAATTTGTTTCTGTTCAGACTAGGGTTCTGTTTATATTAGAGTGTTATTAATTGGGTGTTTTCATATTAATTCTGTGTTATGTCCAAGTACAGTCATATTGGGATGAGGTAAACTGTAGACAGGTTACCCTGAAGTGTGTCTAAGGAGACTAATGAGAGTTTGGAATATTTCAGCTTACTGACTGTGGTTCTTCAATTTGTAGGTAAAGAAATGGGCCAAACAGTGGGATATATCGTCTACAAAGTACCAGAATATACTGAGAAGTTTACACGATGCTTTGTTAGATACTAAAACAAGGTAATCACTTTACAAAGTACAGAATATACTGAGAAGTTTACACGATGCTTTGTTAGATACTAAAACAATGTAATCACTTTACAAAGTACAGAATATACTGAGAAGTTTACACGATGCTTTGTTAGATACTAAAACAAGGTAATCACTTTACAGAGGTTATATATATGGAAACTTCAGTGTAAAACAAAAATGAAGTATTGAGATTGTAAGAGAATACATGATGTGATAAGGGCCTTATTTTCCTAGATTTAAAGTTCAGATGACGTGGATATAAGCAATAATAGGTCACTGTATAGCCTTCTGACAACAATGGGAAAAAACCCATACTGTATAGATTGCTATAAAAGGCCCCGACATGAATAACAATGTTCAGTAGCAAAGGTGTCACAATAAGTGTAGTTGTGATGTCATTGAAAGGCACTCTTATATATGATACAGTTACAGGAGATGATGACGTTGTTAACGGAAAATGTTATTTTTCACATCAAACTAACATATCGGGAAAGGATGCATTTTTCGACTGGTTTTAATAATAAGCTTGAAAACCAGTACTTTTGCCTCTTTTTTTTTTTAAATGACATTTAGTTTGATTATGTAAATGATGTATGAAGATAATTTGTACCAATTTTTATGAACAAATCGCTGATGAAATTTTTTTTAAAATAGGTACATATACAGCAAAAAAATGCCATTTTTTCTAAAATCATGAAGCTTTGATAAAAAATGAATTATTTTCATGGAATTGTTATACAAATTTAGAGCATTTTTATGTAAAGAAGATTTTCCAAATGTTTTTACAAAAATACTCTTATGTTTATCTTTTGAATCAAATAAGTCAGGTATGTCTCTGTCCATAGGATAGAAATGTCCAAGAAACCGAAATTTAGAGTAAATGACCCCATTTATCTGTAAAAGTAGCAAATGAAGATATGTTTTTTTACTACATATTTGAATTGACAAGGTGAAAAATAGCTTGTATGCACATTGTTGTCAAAAATTCACCGTGGGATCAAAACTATTGTATGCCCTTAAGTAATTTTGGTGAAGATATACTAGTATATATTTTTCAGTGTTCTAGCAAGGATATGAGAACAAAGAGGCACAATTTTATTGTTAACACAGTTTCTTGTCTGAAAAGGGACAACCTTTTCATGTTTATAGATAAAGAAATGAATCACTTAATGTATTTTTGCTGGATGTATAGTATTTTTGGGTTGTATTGAACTATTTAATGCATTTTTTCAGTGAAGCAGCAACAAAAGTAATGATAGACCTTCTTGGTACATACACAGAAGACAATGCTTCACAGGCTAAAAATGATGCTCACAGGTATGAATGTTTTATCCTTTATAAAGCTAACAAGTTTAGGAATTGTCCTGTAAATCTTTTTTTTTTACATGTAGACTTAAAAGTATTGATATGGGTTATAATTACCCTGTCGTTTTTCAATCACTGTCACTTGTCCTTTTTGGTATAAACATCAATTCCCTCATTGAAGTAAAACTAAAATGCTTCTATTGTTTTGCTAAATTGATATTCTATAGTTTGTTATAGGCATTGCAGAAGGATGTGTCATTGTGTACTTTAAAAACTATGCTAAATGAAATCTACTATGAAGTAGAACCACAGATATTAGAGATGTAGGCCAGCATGATTTCATATCCACAGGTTCTGATCTACACACAGCAGCGACTCATTTCTAAAAAATCTTGAAATTCATGAACCTTCCAGTATAACTAATGATCATCTTCTATCGTAAGATTTTTTGTGAAGAGCCCCAGACTCTTTAATACGGTTTACTGACAGTTTCTTTTTACACACTCATTAACACAGACAACAACACATTCGTCATCTTATTATAGAATATTAAATGTAGAACAAATGAAATAATTATATTGTATTATTATAGATGTATAGTAACACATTTAGCAGACCCAAACACATTTCTCATGGACCACCTGTTGTTACTGAAGCCTGTAAAATTCCTGGAAGGAGAACTGATACATGATGTAAGTATATAGGGTAATAGAAGGGTGATATATATACATGTATAAGGAAACATTCAACTTTATGGTAAGTGATTTTAGTTCTCTACCAAATGCAAATTGTCTCTCTTTTATGTCAAAGTTGTTGGTTTATGAGCTTTATATACAACACATGAAATAAATTAACAGGATTTGGCAACAAGCTGTGTCCCCTGTGAATGGTTTTACAAAACCATCTATTGAAACTTTGTATTTTATTGAACACTGAAATAAGTCGTTCACCTTTACCTACTAAATCCACAAAATTTATATTAAACAAATAATAATAAATACACAGTAATATAATGCCTGATGCACGCTTTATCCTTGATAATGCTAATATAATGCCTGATGCACGCTTTATCCTTGATAATGCTAATATAATGTCTGATGCATGCCTTATCCTTGATAATGCTAATATAATGCCTGATGCATGAGTTATCCTTGATAAAGCTAATATGATGTTGATGCACGTTTTATCCTTGATAATGCTAATATAATGCCTGATGCTTGAGTTATCCTTGATAAAGCTAATATGATGCCTGATGCACGTTTTATCCTTGATAATGCTAATATAATGCCTGATGCATGAGTTATCCTTGATAAAGCTAATATGATGCCTGATGCACGTTTTATACCTGATAATGCTAATATAATGCCTGATGCATGCTTTATCCTTGATAATGCTAATATGATGCCTGATGCACACTTTATCCTTGATAATGCTAATATAATGCCTGATGCATGAGTTATCCTTGATAAAGCTAATATGATGTTGATGCACGTTTTATCCTTGATAATGCTTATATAATGCCTGATGCATGCTTTATCCTTGATAATGCTAATATAATGCCTGATGCAGGTTTAATCCTTTATAATGATAATATAATGCCTGATGCACGCTTTATCCTTGATAATGCTAATATAATGCCTGATGCATGCTTTATCCTTGATAATGATAATATAATGCCTGATGCATGCGTTATCTTTGTTAATGCTAATATAATGCCTGATGCACACTTTATCCTTGATAATGATAATATAATGCCTGATGCATGCATTATCCTTGATAATGCTAATATAATGTCTGATGCATGCTTTATCCTTGATAATGATAATATAATGCCTGATGCATGCTTTATCCTTGATAATGATAATATAATGCCTGATGCATGTGTTATCCTTGATAATGATGATATAATGCCTGATGCACGCTTTATCCTTGATAATGATAATATAATGCCTGATGCATGCGTTATCCTTGATAATGCTAATATAATGCCTGATGCATGCTTCATCCTTGATAATGATAATATAATGCCTGATGCATGTGTTATCCTTGATAATGCTAATATAATGCCTGATGCATGCTTTATCCTTGATAATGATAATATAATACCTGATGCATGTGTTATCCTTGATAATGCTAAAATAATGCTTGATGCATGTGTTATCCTTGATAATGCTAATATAATGCCTGATGCAAGTGTTATCCTTGATAATGCTAATATAATGCTTGATGCATGATTTATCCTTGATAATGATAATATAATGCCTGATGCATGTGTTATCCTTGATAATGCTAATATAATGCCTGATGCATGCTTTATCCTTGATAATGATAATATAATGCCTGATGCATGTGCTATTCTTGATAATGCTAATCTAATGCCTGATGCACGCTTTATCCTTGATAATGATAATATAATGCCTGATGCATGCGTTATCCTTGATAATGCTAATATAATGCCTGATGCATGCTTTATCCTTGATAATGATAATATAATGCCTGTTGCATGCCTTATCCTTGATAATGCTATGAAATCATATAGTTATCATAAAGTCAGGTATTTACCATTAAACTGGGTTTTTATAGCGTTATCATTTTGTCAGCTGTTCACAAACTTTTGTCTTTTTTTTCAGTTATTATCCATTTTTGTGTCAGGGACAATAACACAGTACCAACAGTTTTATAAGACTAATACTGACTTTGTCAAGTCATTAGGTAAATATAACTGATATAGTACCAACAGTTTCTTAAAAACAAATACTGACTTTGTCCAATCTTTAAGTAAATATAACTGATATAGTACCAACAGTTTCTTAAAGACAAATACTGACTTTGTCCAATCTTTAAGTAAATATAACTGATATAGCACCAACAGTTCTATAAAACTAGTTCTAAGTTGTTCAAATATATAGATAAATATAATTGATATAGTACCAACATTTCTATAAAACTAGTACCTACTTTCAAATATGTAGGTAAATATTACTAATATAGTACCATTAGTTCTAGAAAACAAATCTCACTTTGTCAAATATAACTGATGTTTCAAGTACAAGCAAATGAAATGATAGAGTATCCACAGACCATAAAACTGATCTGTAGCTCAAAATAAAGTTGGTCATTGATAAATAGGAATGTAAAAATTTATTAAACTTAAAGCTTCAATGTTTTTGTAAGCACATTACAGGAATATTTATGCAATATCACTTGCACTTCTGATGAAACATTGGACCAAATGTCAGGTCTCATCATCAAGTAGCAACATTTCGTACAAATCCATGAACATTATGGAGTTTTTGTAAATTTGTAATATGAACAACAATTATGACTTTTGCATAATAACTGAAGTAAGATATCTGTATTTGAAGTGTTTATCTCATAATTAGAATCATAGAATTTGTCAGCATTGCAGTTTTTGCAAATTATAGCCTTGACATGTGTTTACAGCAGTTGACTTGCACCATGTTATCTGAACTTGCTAATGCTTTTCTTGACTAATTATTTGCAGGCTTATCACATGACCAGAATTTACGGAAGATGAGAATGTTGACGTTTATGCAGATGTCAGAAAATAAAAAGGAGTTAGATTATAGTGTCATCCAACAAGAGTTAGAACTTCAGGAGTCAGATATTGAAGAGTTTATTATTGATAGTAAGTTCTCAATAACATTTCATAAGATTATATTTCCCATTATATATTTAGAAAAGTTCTTACAGTTTCATGTTCTATATAATACACTGAATTATATAGAACATGAATTCAATAAACACTGATTACTGAATGTATCTATTGTTGTCTTCATCTAAGTCTGTTTTCAAAATTTTAAATTACTTACCAGGAGCAATGTTTAAACACAAGAAAAATATACATGGAAAATGACATTTTTATAGAACTACAACATAACTAAACTATGGAATTCTTCATCCGGGAAGACTGGTGTAACTTAATATACTAATAGTCATTTGCAAAAAATCATATGCATTGGAACTTTTAACATAAGGATCCCAGGTTTTGATTACAGTAAACCAACTTATTTTTGCGAATACTTTATTTGGCTTTTAGCCTTTTCTAGCCCATTTCAATTTTGAGTTTCTAAAAATTTACTTGATGTCAATAAATAAGAAAACATCCAAGTTTTACATATTCGCGACAATTTATGTTCACGTTCTTTTTCTACTTGCAAAAGTCACGAAAATAAATGGCTAGTGAAAATTGGTTGGTTTACAGTATCATTTTTCATTAAACATTTTAGTTTTTCACTTTTATGAACTAATTTTTTTTCAACCATCTGGTATTTTTTTATCTTTGTAGTTTTAAGAACTAAGTCAGTGAGAGTGAAGATCGATCAGATGCAGAAGAAGGTAGTGATCCATTCATCGATCCATCGACAGTTTGGCAGACAACACTGGCAGATGATTCAACAAAGTCTGTTGCACTGGAGGGACAACTTGGATCTAGTTCAAACCAGTTTGAAGCAGCTGGATATGCTGCATGCTCAACAGGTTGGGGCTCAGTAAGGAGAACTGTTTGAGAAACATAAGAATACCATCTGATGTGCTTATTATTTAAAAAAGACAAATATGATATTGTTGTCAAATATTGAAAGAATAAATAAATACAGACATTGGAATTTTATTTTACTGTTATATTTTAAGCTAATATGAATAAATGGAGATGTGGGATACAAGTCATTGAGGCAGCAACCCAACTACACAAAAACCAGGACATCCATGTACACTTCATATGATGGATATATCTTGTAATACAATAGTACTATGAAACCTACCATAATAAAAAAACGTTTTTGATATACTGGTGTATAATTTCTAACAAAGCACCTTTTACTGTACAATATTTCTATTTTAGAGACACACAGAGGTAGTAGGGTCAATTCTGTGTTTGTTTGACTCGCATGGTCAAAATGATAATGCTTGAATTTGAATATTGAAGAGTGTATATATTACTTAAAGATAAAAACAAATGCTAAATTTAGTCTGGCCTGTGACACAAGTCACAGATTGAACACATAGGGTTTACTATCTGGCGGTGTTAACTTTTTGTTAAAAGCTTTATATTTTAGAAGGTAGAAGACCTGGATGCTTCAAAAATTGTATGCAGATGCCTTATGTTCTGAAGTTTTCATCTGTCATAATGTCTGTAATCCTTGACCTCATTTTCATGGCTCAGTATAAAAATAAGGAGATGTGGTACGATTGCCAATGAGACAACTATCCACAAAAGTTCAAATGAAGTGTTTGTAAGCAATTATAGGCAACCATAAGAAAAACCCATACCTAATATTCAGCTATAAAAGGCCCCGACATGAAAAATATGAAACAATTCAGTTGAGAAAACTAAAGGCCTTATTTATAAAAAAACAATTTACGAAATCAAATATGATAGCCATGAACCCAGTGACAACTACAGAACTACAGGCTCTTAACTTGGGACAGGCACATAAGAATGAGGCAGGGTTAAACAGGTTTGAAAGCGCCAAACTTCTTGTGTCTAGCGACTACTTGAAAATAAACTGTTGACATAGATATGTCTTGCCTATCCACATCAAATTCAAAAAAATAAATCTGATAGACAGCAACATAGCTTATTAATTCAAAGTCGCTGGACCATGATCTTGTGGGCAGGGCCTAGAAATGGTCAACAAACTGAGATGTACTGATAGCAATGCAACTTTATACAAAATATCATTGATATGTCACAAGTAGTTCTTATGAAACTGACTTAAGCAGAAAACTTAACATTGAAAATTGCTTATTAATTCAAAGTCACTGGACCATGTCCTAGGTGCCAGGGCCTCAAAATAGTCGTCAAACTGATATGTACTGATAGTAATGCAACTTCTTATTAAATATCAATGATTTATCACAAGTAGTTCCTAACAAACTAACTTAAGCAGAAAACTTAACCATTGTTGATGCCACTGCTGTCGCTGGAAAAGCAATCCCTATGTCTCGCTTTGTGCAACTTTCATCGCAGGCGAGACAAAAATTAGTTTTTTTTTTCATGTAAAAATACTCACTTATTATGAGTATTAAGATAACTATATTTGGTACATGGGGTCCTTTCAAGGTCTACATGTCTGTCAGATGGGGTTCATCTGTCCATGACCTCATTTCATGGATCAGTGATCAAGGTTTATTTTCGTGGTCAAGTCTGTATCTCAAATACTGTATGCTATGGGTCGACTATATTTGGTGTATGAAATGATTGTAAGGTGAACATGTCTGTCTGGCATGTTTCATATGACCTTGACCTCATTTTCATGGTTCATTGATCAATGTTAAGTTTTCGTGGTTTTGTCAGATACTTTAAGCAATTGGTCAACTATAATCGCTGTATGAAATGATTGTAAGGTGTAGAACTCATAGATGTTATGAAGGTGTATGGAATGATTGTATGGTGTACATGTTGTTGGCAGGGTTTATCTGACCGTGACCTCATTTTTATGATTCATTTGTCAATGTTCAGTTTTCATAATTAGTAGATATAAGAAGATGTGGTATGAGTGCCAATGAGACAACTCTCCATCCAAGTCACAATTTGTAAAAGTAAACCATTAAAAGTCAAAGTACGGCCTTATAATTGTAAAATATAAGGGCATACACCACAAGCACGGGGACATATTCTACTGCATCCACACAGCACGAGCAAACAAACCTTGCAGTAAATAGATATAAGATGTGGTATGAATGCCAATGAGACAACTCTCCATCCAAGTCACAATTTGAAAAAGTAAACCATTACAGGTCAAAGTATGGCCTTATAATTGTAAAATATAAGGGCATACACCATAAGCACGGGCATGGGAAACTAGGTCTGTTTCGCAGATGCTTTTAGCAATAGGCTAACTATATTTGGTGTATGGTATGATTGTATGGTGTAAAACTAAATCAATAATATTTTATGTTTATTCATTATTTATCTAGGTAACTGATAATGACACTAACAACACTTAATATCAATACATGTATAACATGTATCACCATAATTCAATTATGAAATACAAATTTAACAATTTTAAGACGAAAACAAAATTAAAAGAAAATTCTATTTAAAATCATTGATTTTGTTACTTAAGGATGTACTTAGGTGAGGGTAAGGAATTTTTGTCAAATGTTCTTGAAACTCCTTGGTTTTTTCCTACGATACAGGATAAAATATTTTGCCCCATAACACAAATTTTTCTTTTCATAAAGACTTCAATAGCTCATAAAAGGTCATTTACCAAAATTTAAGCAGATTCTATATTATTTGTCTTTCGATTTGAGACCCAAATAATACCAATGCAAATATAAGGTAAAAGTCTGATTCAGCCTTTTCACACCATTTTTTAATAATTGAATATCTCAAAAAGGAGCTCCATAACCTATCAATATTTTTAGCTTATTTTGTTTCTCAACTAATGCTTGTCTGACTTATAGTATCAATTTCAAATTCTAGTTTTTTTTATTTCACCTAAGTACATCCTTAACTATCAACTGCATAGAAATTATTAAAACAACATAAAAAATTACATAGAGAAATCTTAAAAGATAACAATCCATATATCTATATAATTGATATCAATTAGAATAAACTGGTAAGCATCTCTAATGTCACAATTTCATTCCTCTTATTCTAAGTCACGGTACTAGTTACTGTATACAGGATGAAAAAATACAAAAAAAATCAAAATAAAGGGAGAAATCCTAAATGGTAATCATTCATGTTTACAAGGATATAAGCTTCCCTTATGAACAAATTCCTTTCATTTTAAATAGCAGCTAGTAAATACAGGAATTTTGAAATAGCTGACTTTGGTATATATATTTTGTATATTAGGTAGTTATAGATTAGGTTTCCATTACATTCTAGCATGTAGGATAATGCCAGGATATTCAAGAGAGATTTTAAATGTATATGTTTGAGCAATATGAATACAGGATAACGAAGCTCAAGTGGTTACAATTCTGTGTGGTGATTATTTACAGGGGCGTAGCTACCTTCTTAATGAAGTGGAATCACAAACTATAGGGCGAGGGGTCTGGGGCTGCCTAAGGCCCCCAGTATGTCCAGGGCAAAGCCCTGGTAGGGAGGCCAGGGGGGCAAAGCCCCCCGGAAGCTCCGCATATATAGCGTTTCAAAACAATCACAACCGAAATAAAACTTGGACATTTTTGTTGTGGTTTTTTGGTCAACTATTTGTTTAACTTCGAGTCGAATGAAGACTTTACATTGTCGCTTGCGTTTTTGTACGTGAAAGCTTTTAGAATCACAGAGATTTGTTCCATATGCTAGTATTTGTATTGAGCAAAGTAGATTTAAAAAAACAAACAATAAACATAAACACAATACTATATGTGGAGTTTCTGTTAGCAAAACATCATGGATACCAAATACTTGGTGCACACATTCTCATATATTTTGCTTAACATATGTATTTAGATGTTTAAAAATTTTGTGGGTAAACTCTACAAGAGAGAGATGGATTTCCAATTTTACGTAGTTAGGAATATTCGAAGTTGAATTAATGAACTTTTTCAGAGTAAATGGTACTTTGATCACGATCTTTTTCATGATCTGCGTTTTTAATTAGCCAGCTAATTAACAAATGCATATGCATTCGACCAGTTGTATGGCAATATCTAGATAACAGTGAAGATACGTGTAATAAAAGTTTGGTGTATCTTTCAAACACTGAAGAATCAGTAGTTTAGTGTCCTACTCTGACAGACAGTTCTTTTTAAAATTGAATGACCTAATAGTCCAGTAAAACGAGTTAGAATTAACAATTTATTTAAATGGTTTTACAATCAACCATTCGTATAGCCGGCCCATATAGAAACGACTTCGAATTATCGAATCTATATAAAAGATTTTTTTTTGTAAAATAAATAAAAACGTAAAACATGTACTGGAAAATGTGTACTTTTTTTTTATAATAACAGTTCCAACTTCTCATCTACTAGTATACGGAAACTACTGATTGATTGAATGGTTATTAATGTTCGGTAGCAAATATTACATGCACACAGGACAAGATACGTTGACGTGATGTGAAAATGAACTATTCGTGTTGTCAAGACCTCCATTCTTAGTCAATATTGAACTAGTTCACAAGGTTACAGTCATTATTCCCGGATCGATACGAGTTTAAGAGTCTTCATTCTAGTAAGAAGTGTGCTTTGGGGCAAAGCGGAAAATAATAATTTTCAAGTTTTTTTGTTAACCCTAGAGGGATTATGTTTTTTTTTACACTCAAAGCGAGTATACGGTATGGTTGTGGTACCAACAACTATGTAGCTGGTATTTTCTAAACAATGCCCGTAATATAAAAAGTTCCCCCAAGTTTACACCAGTTGTATGTATTTATCGTACACATACATGTCTTACAGGATTAAAAATTCCGCTGCACGTGTATTCCTCTTGCTTTTATTCTTTGTTTAGTTTTTAAAATGCATACATAGAAAGACCAATTCCTATATGTTCCCTCTCTCTCTCTCTCTCTCAGTTTTTTTTTTTTTTTTTTTTTTGTGAAAACGACGTGGATGCACGTGCTGCCGTGCCTCCGGAAGCTACGCCCCTGATTTAAGATTCTTCTTTTAAGTGTTAAATTTATAAATGCTTTATTTTCAATACATTGCTTTTTCTATATGCCAAAGCTTTCATCAATATTCCAAACTTTTTTGAAAGTAATAGCAGTTAAAAAATCTCAATGCTTAATGTAATAATAATTTAGATATAACATCATCTCTTTCCTTTCCTTGTTCCTTTGTCTTCATGTTCAATGTATTTCTCATCAACATCAGTGGTCACAAATTCATTGTCAATACTAACATCTGGTGATGACCTTGAATTGTCATTGTCAAGATCATTGTCTTGATTTACCGTGACCACCTGATACATAGATTTGTCTGAAACATTCTGTTCTGTAGCCTCTAAATTCTTCCCTGGTGTTGGAATTTTACTGGCATTTATGTCAATAACATTTATATAATCATCATGTTCATGTTGTGATAGTTGTTCCCGGTTCATTCCTGGAGGTAGAAGTAATGATTGTGGGTTATCTTCCCCTGTAGCAATTATAAAGGGAAGATTGTCACCAGTCTCTAGTTCTTCCATTGGCTCATCTGTTTGTGCCTGAATACAAAATGACTTGCCATTGGCTGAGCTAGTTCCAGCAGTTGACTGCAGATTGCTTGGCAATTCTACAATATTTGATGCTCCCTCTAATGGAATTTGTAAATTTCCGATTGGTTGATTCTGAAGTTGGTACACATGAATTACAGTCTCTCCTTTGCCATCCTCAGGTGTGTGATAAACAAGAACCAAAGGTGAATTATTTGCATCATGGGTAATCTGCACATTGGCATTTGGTGGGAATTCAGCAGGATTAATAGCTATCGATCCCTCCATCTCAGAGTTGATTTTGGAAGCAAATGTAGCAGGATTAATACCAACAGATCTCTCCATTTGAGAACTGGCCTCTGACCTTGTTTGTTTCTGTGGTGACAAGATTTCTGAATCGCTCATATTGACCTGTAGTTCCATGATGTCACTGTCATCATCTTCATCTTGTGATAAACAAAATGGTGGAACAAAGGGAGCATTTTCATATCGCTTGAATGGAATTCTGCAAAGAGAAAAAAAATGTCTGTAACATTTATTGTAATTAGGATAAACAATATGTCTCCTTTTGTTGATAGTAATAGGGAGACATAATACATATATAAGCTACTCATAACCACATGATATGCCAGTCTCCTGCAAAGGTTAAGATAAAAATTGAAATTCAATTTCTTCTATATTGACTTTTTAAGCAAATCAAGTCCCAAAAATAAGCATCTACAATAGTTATTACATATACAATGATTCTTCCTAATAAGCTGACATTTTATAAAATATATTTTACAGTATCAAAAGTAATACAATCCAGCAATGACAAAATTCTAAATCATTACAATCTGTGATGACCCTTAGACAGGCCATCATTCCCAACAGTCTTAGCTAGAGTTTCTGTGTGACATTTGAAAACACATATTAAAGGGAGGCATTAAATCTGATATAATGCTGGTAAAAATTGTAGATGTATACAGTACCTCAACCACTTATCTAAAATTTTATCATGTAGGTCATGCACAATATGCAGTAAAATTATATATGTAAAACATTTGACCCAAAAAAAATATGCATTACCGTAAAATAACAAGCATTAAAAAATGGAGAAAAAAATCCAATATAAGCAGATGTGGTATGATCCCCAATGCAATAACTGCTATTGGCAGAACAGAGGAAACCCAGAATGAAATTTGAGACTTAAAAACCAAGCATATTTTCTATTTCTTAAAAATTTGGCTGCAGGTAATATAAGATAGAAACCATGTTTTGACAATAATCCAAATTAACATGTGTACCCCTGACATCTATTTGTTAAATATTATAGTCCTGTGTTTATAGTACAAGAACCCACTTTTCTACTTTAAATTTAAACACCCTGACTTTCAACCCTCTGGACCTTGAAATTTCTTCTTGCGGCTTGCCACTTAAACAATTCTAAAGTGTCAACAACCAATCATTGGGTTCATGTATATAGTTTCCATACTTTCTGATCTTCTGGTTTTGCTATTTACATATTTTCTACTTATCCTGTGGGTATTCAGATAATGATGTTAAACTAAAGGTGTCTTTACATGTAGGTCAAGTGGTTGTTGTATTTTTGACACAAGACTGATGTTCAGGTAAACTATACCTACCGTATAGGTGTCTTTACAGGTGTGGGTGGTGTTGATTCTATTTCTGACACATCCCCCTCTGTAGCATCATCGTCATCATAGAAAACATTTTTTCTTGGTCTTGTACTTTTCCTTGTTGCTTGTTTTTCTGGAAATTTATATTTTCAGGTTATAACATGAATGAAGGAGATTATTATTATTTTAATGAAACATTTCTACTAAATAAATGGAGAATGTGTCAATGGGACACAGATGATGCCCCCGCTTGCATATAATGTTATAAAGGGACATAACTCAAGAACTGTAAAAGTGGCACAACTCAAATTCGAACTTGATCTGTGTTTATGGCAATAAGCACTGCGTATAAGTTTCATAACATTTGGTTGAGGCAAACTAAAGTTAGAGAAGGGAAACTAATTTTGGGACGTACATACGGATGGACAAGGGCAACACTTAATGCCCCCTCCGCCACGGTATAAGTTTCATAACATTTGGTTGAGGCAAACTAAAGTTAGAGAACTGAAACTAATTTTAGGATGTATGGTCGGACATACATAAAAGGGTAACACTTAAAGCCCTCTCTGCCGCGGCAGGGGCATAAAAATGTGAGGTGTATAAATTGGTAAGTATGTATAAGAGAAGAATGTTAAGAATAATAACAAATGAAATATAAAATGTTAAGATAGAAATGAAAAGCAATCCCTCAAAGATAAATCTTTAAACATGAAATACACATACCATTGCTAATAGCCTAATAAAGCGACATATTCTCTTATGTTTACCAGAAAAAGCTCTAAAATCTTTACAACTTTAACATCCTGGAGAAAATCAGTATGTTTGGATGCTTTTAAAGACTCTGTATGACATTTTCCGTAATATGTTTCTTTCTAAGATTTCTTTTGTTTTGCATTTTATTTATCCTTTAAATTCAATTAATATAAATGTACAGTTCTTTCAGCACAAAAACTCCTCGTAATTTTACCTTCTTTCTCTTTATGTTTCTCTTTCTGTGCATTTTTCTCTCTCTTCTTCTCCTGTCTCATTTCTTTAGTTTTCTTCAATTTTTCTTCATCTTCTTTCTTCTTCCTTTCTGTTTCTATCGCCTCAAGTTTTTCTTCTTTTACAAAGAATGACATATCGAATGGTTTTTTGTTCTCTGTCAAATAAATTAAAACATATGTGCTGACTTTTGTTCTCTGTCAAATAAATTAAAAAATATGTGCTAACAAAAGCTAATATAGCTGATTTCTGGGTCAAACTCAATAAAATCACTTAATTCATTTCCTAAACAGAAATCCCTGTAATTAAGAGTGAACTTTTGTTACCATGGCTACTTCACCCCATCCTCAACTTATAACTGTAATTTAGACATTTTTGTGCACATTTATTATTGCAATTGTTGCCCAACGGACAATTTCAAGAAATGCTGTCAAAATTAAAAATGCAAGCTTTATAGTTTTCGAAACCTTTCTTGTGAAAGGAGATAAAAAAAAATAAATACTGTTAAGAGTTCTGAGAAAATTTGGTTAACTTTGAGCACAGAAACTAAGTTAAATTGAAATTTATTACGAAAACTATATCGATGGCAAAACCACAACTGTCACATTCCTCCTCCCTTAAAAAAAATGTTTTTAAACTTTTTTCACAAATCCAAAACACATACAAATTTCTTTTTAAATTCTGCATTTAAAGAAATTACAATAAAGAGTCACTGAAAATTAATCAAAATGTTAATGAATTCTGATAAATTATTCTAACAATTTATCGTCCTGAACCATGGTTTCCAAAACAGTTATATTTTCTGGTCATGACTTATAAAATTTATTTTTGTCCAACTGGTGTACAGCTGAAGCAGACATCAAATGTAGATTTGTCACTTAATCTAATTCAGAGAAAAAAATTTGAGATTTAGGCCATTACTTGACATTTTCCCTATCACAAATTTACTTTTCCAGTCATAAAAATGACACAAAGTCAAAGAATCATTACTATGAAAACATGCCCTAATTGAATACCACCTTACCAAAATAGTTATATTACGAAGGTTTATTGGTTGATTGACAGGTAAGATTAACTTGTTGACCTGACAGGTAAACTATAAAGTACCAATCATCAATCCACCTTTCTGAAATTGTTTCTCATACTTAACTGGTTTGCATCTAAATAATTTTATCAATGAATAATTCATTTTATCAAAACATTATTTAAAGTGATTGAATAATAAAATTTAAAAGGTTAAGAATGCAAGTGGAAAAAAAAATCATGTCTACACAAGTACAAGTCTCACATGTGCACAGGTGTGAAATTTAATTTTGCGTTCGAAAGCTTTCAAAATGATGATAAATATAATTTTAGATATTTCATACAATGTATTTTATGTTCACTTCAAGTATTTACTTGAAGAAATAACGTTGAGAACGACTTAAACTTGATGATGCTTGACAAAATTAACACAGATTTAGGTTTTTTGTCTCTGTTCCGATCTTTACTGCTGTCAAGTCAACATCTGGTTTTAGAAAACATTTGTTAAAACATTAGAATCTTTCAGTATGTTATTGCGATAATAAAGAGTAAAGCACAAATGAAAATCCACTGATGTTCAACACTTCAAACGATGCACTGTCAATTGACAGAACAATCAATGTACGCACTAGTGTCAGTTTACGGAATCCATATCGGAAGTACAAAGTAATTGTCTGAAAGTCCTTGATTCCCCAATGATTACCCTGACTGTCGTTAGAGATTAACTAGAGGCTCTAAAGAGCCTGTGTCGCTCACCTTGGTCTATGTGCATATTAAACAAAGGACATAGATGGATTCATGACAAAATTGTGTTTTGGTGATGGTGATGTGTTTGTAGATCTTACTTTACTGAACATTCTTGCTGCTTACAATTATCTCTATCTATAATGAACTTGGCCCAGTAGTTACAGTGGAAAATATTTTGTAAAAATTTACAAAAATTTATGAAAATTGTAAAAAACTGACTATAAAGGGCAATAACTCCTTAAGGGGTCAATTGACAATTTTCGTCATGTTGACTTATTTGTAGATCTTACTTTGCTGTACATTATTGCTTTTTACAGTTTATCTCTATCTATAATAATATTCAAGATAATAAACAAAAGCTGCAAAATTTTCTTAAAATTACCAATTCAGGGGCAGCAACCCAACAACGTGTTGCCTGATTGGTATGAAAATTTCAGGGCAGATAGATCTTGACCTAATGAACAATTTTATCTCGTCAGATTTGCTCTAAATGATTTGGTTTCAGAGATATGAGCCAAAAACTGCATTTTACCCTATGTACTATTTTTTAGCCATGTCGTCCATCTTGGTTCGCGGGCGGGGTCATCGGACACATTTTTTAAACTAGATACCCTAATGATGATTGTGGACAACGTTTGGTTAAATTTGTGTTAGTAGTTTCAGAGGAGAAGATTTTTGTAAAAGATTACAAAAATTTACGAAAAATGGTTGAAAAATTGACAATAAAGGGCAATAACTCCTTAAGGGGTCAATTGACTTATTTGTAGATCTTACTTTGCTGAACATTATTGCTGTTTACAGTTTATCTCTATCTATAATAATATTCAAGATAATAACCAAAAACGGCAAAATTTCCTTAAAATTACCAATTCAAGGGCAGCAACCCAACAACGGGTTGTCCGATTCATCTGAAAATTTCAGGGCAGATAGATCTTGACTTGATAAACAATTTTACCTCTTTAAGATTTGCTCTAAATGCTTTGGTTTCAGAGATATAAGCCAAAATCTACATTTTACCCCTATGTTCTATTTTTAGCCATGGCAGCCATCTTGGTTGGTTGGCTGGGTCATCGGACATATTTTTTAAACTACATAACCCAATGATGATTGTGGCCAAGTTTGGTTAAATTTGGCCAAGTAGTTTCAGAGTAGAAGATTTTTGTAAAAGATTACAAAAATTTATGAAAAATGGTTAGAAATTGACTATAAAAGGCAATAACTCCTTAAGGGGTCAACTGACCATTTTGGTCAAGTTGACTTATTTGTAGATCTTACTTTGCTGAACATTATTGCTGTTTACAGTTTATCTCTATCTATAATAATATTCAAGATAATAACCAGAAAAGGCAAAATTTCCTTTAAATTACCAATTCAGGGGCAGCAACCCAACAAAGGGTTTTCCGATTCATCTGAAAATTTCAGGGCAGATAGATCTTGACTTGATAAACAATTTTACCTCTTTAACATTTGCTCTAAATGCTTTGGTTTCAGAGATATAAGCCAAAATCTACATTTTACCCCTATGTTCTATTTTTAGCCATGGCAGCCATCTTGGTTGGTTGGCTGGGTCATCGGACATATTTTTTAAACTACATAACCCAATGATGATTGTGGCCAAGTTTGGTTAAATTTGGCCAAGTAGTTTCAGAGTAGAAGATTTTTGTAAAAGATTACAAAAATTTATGAAAAATGGTTAAAAATTGACTATAAAAGGCAATAACTCCTTAAGGGGTCAACTGACCATTTTGGTCAAGTTGACTTATTTGTAGATCTTACTTTGCTGAACATTATTGCTGTTTACAGTTTATCTCTATCTATAATAATATTCAAGATAATAACCAGAAAAGGCAAAATTTCCTTTAAATTACCAATTCAGGGGCAGCAACCCAACAAAGGGTTTTCCGATTCATCTGAAAATTTCAGGGCAGATAGATCTTGACCTGATAAACCATTTTACCCCATGTCAGATTTGCTCTAAATGCTTTGGTTTCAGAGATATAAGCCAAAATCTACATTTTACCCCTATGTTCTATTTTTAGCCATGGCGACCATCTTGGTTGATTGGCCGAGTCACCGGACACATTTTTTAAACTAGATACCCCAATAATGATTGTGGCCAAGTTTGGTTAAATTTGGCCAAGTAGTTTCAGAGCAGAAGATTTTTGTAAAAGTTAACGGACGACGACGGACGACAACGGACGCCAAGTGATGAGAAAAGCTCACTTGGCCCTTTGGGCCAGGTGAGCTAAAAATGGGATTGAAAAAAAAGTCCTACTGGCTCAAATTTTGTTTGGAAGCCCTGTTCTGAACATGCATGAAATATTTGCCACTGGACATTCAGCAAACAACAATCAATCATCTAACAATTTACTATAATTTCTACTTACTGAGAGCCATTTCCACTTTGTTTCTGTTTAGCTTATCTTCTCTTTTAAACTTGGTCTGTAACATAGGGAACAGTAACAAAAGGTTAGTTTGAAGGAGCAGTTTCAATCACAAACTAAACAAAGTACATTATGTTAAGTATGTAAGTGAAAGGCTGAGTTGACATATCAAAACATTCTTTAAATATAACTTTTATTACTTATGTTATTAATGAAATAAACTAAAATAAATTAAATGGAATTACTTTCCAGTGGCGTTAAGTAGATGGCTGTATAATTTGGAACTACACTATATCTCTTATTTATGTAGACATGTTTTGAATGGTAAAGCATTGACTGTGTATGGTTATGTAATAAAGATTTTCATTATTATCATTCTCAGAATTAACATATAAGTCACCTTGATGTCATATCTTGTTCTTCTTTTGAAAAGTTTGACCATCAATGAGAAATCTGTCCCTATATAACTCAATGCTCTATAAAACTTCTCTGTCTCTGTTAAACAAATCAATAGTTGCATAAAACATAAATAATTATTGTTACTTGACTTTAAATATGGAAGGCTCTTAATACATCAAATAATATAATATAAACTGTTATCACAGAGATATGTCTCGCCTATTTGTTATTTTGTAAAGCACAAATAATATAATAAAACCCTAAATGAAGAAATGGAGCAGTTATAAATGACAGCTATCAAAAGATTATTCCTCTATGATGTGTAATTGCTTAGATCTAGTTCAAAACATAACCAAAGCAATTCCACAAACTGGTTCTCTCAAGTTGAAGTTTGTCTCACATCTTAGCTTTCCTTTAAAAATACATTGTAGTCCGTCTCAATGTTCCAGAAGTAAAAGATGTACATATAAATATGTTACTGTACGCTAATAAGACCAAACAATTCAACTACATGATTTTCCAAAGTTATCAAATGTAGCTTTACAAATAAACAAGTTAAACATTGCCAATTAAGGAGCCACTTGAGTAGTTTTCTCAAGCTACAAAATTCAGTTTGACAGATAGGTAAGTAATGATCGTAAGAATGAAACTTATCACCAATTGAGCAATATGACAGGTGCCATATGTGGAGCTGGATCTGCTTACCCTCCTGGAGCATCTGAGATCACACCCAGTTTTTTTATGAAGTGGTTCGTGATGTAGTGTTTTATGAAGTCAGTTATGTTTTTCTTATTTTTGAAATTGTATTGTCAATTTCTTTTTAACTTTTGAATGTCTCCTTGCTATCTTCCAACTTTTTGTTTTTTTTTATCAAAGTCAGACGACAATACTACTGAGTGGCTTTTCCAGAAGCAATAATAACTGTACATACATGTATAAATACATTATTGTACCCTTATAAGACCAAGGAGTTATACAAAGGGTTTTCTGAAGCTACCATATGTAGATGTAGAGATAATTTAGACATACCCCATTCAGACCAGGCAATTCTGCTGAGCGGTTTTCTGAAGCTACGATATGTAGCTGTACTCCCAGTTTCTTCAATCACTTCAGACACAGGTGATTCATCTTTTTTCTTTATAATTAAACTGAAAGTAATACAACATTAATTGTGTGTAATTTCTGTATTGTTTTTAAATTGTGTTACTATTGCTATTCCATTTAAAAACATCCCCTTAGAAAAAGGGATATTGTATTTATGGGTATTTTATTTATAGCATCATTTTACATATGCATGGTATTTTTATTAATAGCATCATTTTACATATGCATGGTATTTTTATTAATAGCATCATTTTACATATATGTATGGCTTTATTAGTAATAACATCATTATACCAGTGCCCTATTACTATCACTATTGGCATAGACTTTCAAGGACTATTTCTTATTTCTAATTAGTGCTGGCATTGCACTAAATGGTATCTGTCATACTTTACTTTTATTTTTTTAATTAAATTTGAGTCAGATTTTTTTTAAACAGGCTTATTGTCCTCCTCTTTTGAATGTAGCACGGGCAACATGTAGGTCAGGTCAGTGTTCTAATTGTCAAATTCACTATTTCTCTGTCACTCTCCTAAACTAGCACAATTATTTAAACATTCTACATAACAAATTAAGACATAAAGAATTTAGTTCTTAGAATATCTTTTCTAAAAATCTATTATTTTCTTTGAATATATTTTCTTAAGAATATGTTTCTCATGGAAAATATTGTACTTTAGTTATGCTGTTCCTAATTTGTAAGAGTCAATTACCTGATGGTACTGTTATATTATTGGGTGTTTTTCAATCTTATCACAAAACTGTACAAAAAGTCAAATTGATTGATACCTTTCTTCATTTATTATAATGCTGCCATCAGGTCCTATCTTCACTTGAGGTACAGGCATATCAGGGTCTTTACTATCTGTGACATCAGTTTCTTGTAATTCTTGAGTTTCTTCTTCTTCAATATTGACATTTTCTTTCTCTATTATTACTTTTGCTTTCTTCTTTGGTGTTTCAATAATGGTTCTATGAAGAAAATAAACACTTGATAGTATATACAATTTTATATGTTTTAAAGTCAATTATACCGAGACATATTGTATTGAGTAAGGGTCAATTAACTTGAGAAAACTGACTTGACATACAATCATGCATGGAAATCCAACAGTAAGACAAAACTACTGATATAAATTTTGAATACTTGCCTGAATGGAATTTAGAAGTAAGAGGAACTTCTATTATTCAAACTTTTCTTTAGATCTAGTATACCCGTGTTATGAGGAACTTCTATTATTCAAACTTTTCTTTAGATCTAGTATACCCATGTTATGAGGAACTTCTATTATTCAAACTTTTCTTTAGATCTAGTATCCCCATGTTATGAGGAACTTCTATTATTCAAACCTTTCTTTAGATCTAGTATACCCATGTTATGAGGAACTTCTATTATTCAAACTTTTCTTTTGATCTAGTATCCCCATGTTATGAGGAACTTCTATTATTCAAACCTTTCTTTAGATCTAGTATCCCCATGTTATGAGGAACTTCTATTATTCAAACCTTTCTTTAGATCTAGTATCCCCATGTTATGAGGAACTTCTATTATTCAAACTTTTCTTTAGATCTAGTATACCCATGTTATGAGGAACTTCTATTATTCAAACCTTTCTTTAGATCTAGTATACCCATGTTATGAGGAACTTCTATTACTCAAACTTTTCTTTAGATCTAGTATCCCCATGTTATGAGGAACTTCTATTATTCAAACTTTTCTTTAGATCTAGTATACCCATGTTATGAGGAACTTCTATTATTCAAACCTTTCTTTAGATCTAGTATACCCATGTTATGAGGAACTTCTATTATTCAAACCTTTCTTTAGATCTAGTATACCCATGTTATGAGGAACTTCTATTATTCAAACCTTTCTTTAGATCTAGTATACCCATGTTATGAGGAACTTCTATTATTCAAACTTTTCTTTAGATCTAGTATCCCCATGTTATGAGGAACTTCTATTATTCAAACCTTTCTTTAGATCTAGTATCCCCATGTTATGAGGAACTTCTATTATTCAAACTTTTCTTTAGATCTAGTATCCCCATGTTATGAGGAACTTCTATTATTCAAACTTTTCTTTAGATCTAGTATCCCCATGTTATGAGAAACTTCTATTATTCAAACTTTTCTTTAGATCTAGTATACCCATGTTATGAGGAACTTCTATTATTCAAACCTTTCTTTAGATCTAGTATACCCATGTTATGAGGAACTTCTATTATTCAAGTTATGAGGAACTTCTATTATTCAAACCTTTCTTTAGATCTAGTATCCCCATGTTATGAGGAACTTCTATTATTCAAACTTTTCTTTAGATCTAGTATCCCCATGTTATGAGGAACTTCTATTATTCAAACCTTTCTTTAGATCTAGTATACCCATGTTATGAGGAACTTCTATTATTCAAACCTTTCTTTAGATCTAGTATCCCCATGTTATGAGGAACTTCTATTATTCAAACTTTTGTTTAGATCTAGTATACCCATGTTATGAGGAACTTCTATTATTCAAACCTTTCTTTAGATCTAGTATACCCATGTTATGAGGAACTTCTATTATTCAAACTTTTCTTTAGATCTAGTATCCCCATGTTATGAGGAACTTCTATTATTCAAACTTTTCTTTAGATCTAGTATATCCATGTTATGAGGAACTTCTATTATTCAAACCTTTCTTTAGATCTAGTATACCCATGTTATGAGGAACTTCTATTATTCAAACTTTTCTTTAGATCTAGTATACCCATGTTATGAGGAACTTCTATTATTCAAACCTTTCTTTAGATCTAGTATACCCATGTTATGAGGAACTTCTATTATTCAAACTTTTCTTTAGATCTAGTATCCCCATGTTATGAGGAACTTCTATTATTCAAACTCTTCTTTAGATCTAGTATACCCATGTTATGAGGAACTTCTATTATTCAAACCTTTCTCTAGATCTAGTATCCCCATGTTATGAGGAACTTCTATTATTCAAACTTTTCTTTAGATCTAGTATCCCCATGTTATAATTCTTTAGATCTAGTATACCCATGTTATAATTCTTTAGATCTAGTATCACCATGTTAAGAGGAACTTCTATTATTCAAACTTTTCTTTAGATCTAGTATACCCATGTTATGAGGAACTTCTATTATTCAAACCTTTCTTTAGATCTAGTATCACCATGTTAAGAGGAACTTCTCTTATTCAAACTTTTCTTTAGATCTAGTATCCCCATGTTATGAGGAACTTCTATTATTCAAACCTTTCTTTAGATCTAGTATACCCATGTTATGAGGAACTTCTATTATTCAAACTTTTCTTTAGATCTAGTATCCCCATGTTATGAGGAACTTCTATTATTCAAACTTTTCTTTAGATCTAGTATCCCCATGTTATGAGGGACTTCTATTATTCAAACTTTTCTTTAGATCTAGTATACCCATGTTATGAGGAACTTCTATTATTCAAACTTTTCTTTAGATCTAGTATCCCCATGTTATGAGGAACTTCTATTATTCAAACCTTTCTTTAGATCTAGTATACCCATGTTATGAGGAACTTCTATTATTCAAACCTTTCTTTAGATCTAGTATCCCCATGTTATGAGGAACTTCTATTATTCAAACTTTTGTTTAGATCTAGTATACCCATGTTATGAAGAACTTCTATTATTCAAACCTTTCTTTAGATCTAGTATACCCATGTTATGAGGAACTTCTATTATTCAAACTTTTCTTTAGATCTAGTATCCCCATGTTATGAGGAACTTCTATTATTCAAACTTTTCTTTAGATCTAGTATACCCATGTTATGAGGAACTTCTATTATTCAAACCTTTCTTTAGATCTAGTATACCCATGTTATGAGGACTTTCTATTATTCAAACTTTTCTTTAGATCTAGTATACCCATGTTATGAGGAACTTCTATTATTCAAACCTTTCTTTAGATCTAGTATACCCATGTTATGAGAAACTTCTATTATTCAAACTTTTCTTTAGATCTAGTATCCCCATGTTATGAGGAACTTCTATTATTCAAACTTTTCTTTAGATCTAGTATACCCATGTTATGAGGAACTTCTATTATTCAAACTTTTCTTTAGATCTAGTATACCCATGTTATGAGGAACTTCTATTATTCAAACTTTTCTTTAGATCTAGTATACCCATGTTATGAGGAACTTCTATTATTCAAACCTTTCTTTAGATCTAGTATCCCCATGTTATGAGGAACTTCTATTATTCAAACTTTTCTTTAGATCTAATATCCCCATGTTATAATTCTTTAGATCTAGTATACCCATGTTATAATTCTTTAGATCTAGTATCACCATGTTAAGAGGAACTTCTATTATTCAAACTTTTCTTTAGATCTAGTATACCCATGTTATGAGGAACTTCTATTATTCAAACCTTTCTTTAGATCTAGTATCACCATGTTAAGAGGAACTTCTATTATTCAAACTTTTCTTTAGATCTAGTATCCCCATGTTATAATTCTTTAAAAGAAATAACTGATAAAAGCATGAACTGTTAACACAGAGGTATGTCTCACCTTTTGTATGTCTCACCTTTTTTGTTATTTTGATAGTAAAATGCAAATGTTGAAATCAAAATAGCAATACTTTAACATGTAATTTATGCAAAATATCCAAAGTCAATGAACCATGACTGAAGGTACAGGGCCAAACAATCTCCATGGAAATGAAATGTGCCAATGCTAATACAGTCGACTCTCGTTATCTCGAAGTCATCCGGACCAGAGAAATATTTCGAGAAACCCATAGTTCGACTCAAACGAAAACCGGAAGTTTGACAGTCCAAAGGACATAACTCTTGCTTAGCTTGGTAAGGCTAAAATAAATCCAGATGGGAAGGGGATCGATATTCTGGACTCAGATCGATGTTTTTGTATGTTATGGTCTTTTATTATTGTAATAACATTTTATGTCTCTTATTTATTTCTTTGTACAGTTACAATTTGTTCCTGTGGCTTTTAGCCGAGAGTCATTTCCAATCGATCTTAGCGTTATTTAAAGTTGACAAAATTGTTCATTCTTGTATACAAGAGATTTTAGAAAATTTAGATTTCTTTTAATTTTCTTTCATTGAAATATTTTTCTGCAAGAGAAAATACAAAAAAAAAATAAAGATGCCGATTGAGTAGTTTTTAGTTGATCACCAACGGAAGTCTTAATCCCCACTTTATACACAGCCAAGCTCATTAGTGTATGATTACGATTAATTGTTTTTAAAACATTAAAAATAATTTTTCATAAACTATAACAATGTATCACTAATTATTTATCATGGTGATCAAAGAATGTTAGGTAAACACTTGTGGAAAAAGCATGCCATAAATCGTGTATTGTCAGATTAACTCTTCAATCCATTTAAATCCCCGAGGTCATGTTTAGACATATGTGTTTTGGTTCGAGATAAATAATGAATTTTGAATGGTTTTGTTAACCTTGGGATCATAAATTTAGTTCGAGTCAACCGAAATTGCGACTCATCCAATTTCGACTCATCAGGAGTCGAAATACATATATTTATATGGAACAAAGTTTGGGACCACGGGAAAACTTTGACTCATCCTAAATTTCGAGTCAACCGAGTTCGAGACAACGAGAGTTAACTGTACAACTGCATACCAAATATCATTGACCTACCAGTAGTGGTTGTCCTTGAACTGAACTAATCACAAACTTATACATGTATACTTAGCAAAAGTTTCAAAGTCAATAGACCATGACTGGGTGGAAAAGGGGGGCAAATAATTTTCATGGTATTGAGATGTGCCAATGCTAATACAACTGCATACCAAATATCATTGACCTACCAAGTGGTTCCCCTTAAACTGACATAATCCCAAACTTATACATGTAAAATCAGCAAAAGTTTCAAAGTCAATAGACCATGACTGGGTGGAGAAGGGGGGAAAATAATTTCCATGGAAATGAGATGTGCCAATGCTAATACAACTGCATACCAAATATCATTGACCTACCACTAGCGGTTTCCCATAAACTGACCTAATCACAAACTAATACATTGTTCCTGCCACTGCTTTGTCAAGGAGAGACAAAAACTTGAGAAAAAAACTATACGACATAAGAGATGTTTTTAGCTTCCCGATTGCGAACTTTCTATTTCTATGTAGCAACATTCCAGCATCACCTGCATATGGAGTATATATCTCCCTGTTAATACAATATTCCAGGGCCAGAGCTTGCATTTCCTATCATGATTTCCTTGATAGAGGGTTTTTCTGCTCACAAGGAAGTTGTGAAGTTGAAATTATCCCTATGAATATTTTACGAACACCATCATGAGTTGGTTGACAGTGTATTGTAATATCTGTGTCACAGATGATGACGAATATGTTTCAATTGTCGCAACCACAATCTGTCTTCGTTTCCTCAAATGAGACATACCACCAGCTTTGTAATAACTTGAGCAACACGATAGGTGCCACATGTGAAGCAGTATCTGCTTACCTTTCCAGAGCACCTGAGACCTCCCCTTTTTTTTTGTGGCTCTCATGTTGCTCACTCTTTAGTTTTCTATGTTGTGAATTGTATACTATTGTTACTCTTTTGGTTGTTTTTCGTTTTTTGTCTTGGCGTTTCAGTTTGTTTTTGACTTATGAGTTTGAATGTCCCTTTGGTATCTTTCGCCTCTCTTTTACTGCTGAAATAATTCTGTGATATCCTTGCATAAAAATGGCATACTAAAATAATCATTTTAATTTAAAGCACACAGATACAGTTTTTTTAAATAACTTAAAAAGATGTTATCAGATTTACGTGTTCTTGATCCCCTGTTTTTTTCTCCTGCAATGTTTTTGATTGGATAATGTTAATAAAGCTCAGTCAGTCTTGTTACTTACCCCATAGGACTTTTGGCAGGAGTACAGTATATGAGATCCCCCAGTCGTAGCATTTTTTATAACTTTTACTTACGCCATAGGATTTTTGGCAGGATTCCAGTATATCAGATCTCCCATAGTCATAGTATTTTTATTTATTGGTGCATCCTCATCAGTATATCCATTCTTCTGTTTGTTATTCTTCAATGATCCCTGTCAGATAAATTGGATTAAAATTTAAGTGAATGGTTAAGTTAACTATAAATTGGGGGATAAAATCATTCTTTCTTTATTTTCTCTATAGAATCTGCTAAATCTTCAATGTAATTGTAGATAAATGATGTTAGAATCCATTGAAATTGAATGATTATTTTTCTTTAATGTGATTTTTGAAAACTTGAAAATTTATAAAATTAGATAATATTGACAAATCATCCTGTCAGATGTGATGTTTCATGACACCTTACTATACTTTCTAGTAGAGCATTCATTTGGTGATTGTGGCTAGTATTTTACTGAGTATAAAACCTGATGATCTATACTAACAAACCTGTTGGTCACTGTGTACAGTACTGATAGAACTGTTACTATAATGTCTTTTCCTAGCCTCTGTAGCTCCATCTGAATGAACACTGGTTTCTGGACTGGTATCCTGAGATCTGTCTACTTCAACAGGACTGACTGGTTTCTGAGCATGGTGATTTATAAACTTAATCTGAGGCATACTGAAATAAAATCATTACATTAATGCTCATATTTACATTATGATGTGCTTTTCTCAGACTGTTTATGATGATTTTACACTAAATCTGTTGGATATGTACTGACTGATAATTTAGTCTGGGAGAACATGAATTTTTCATTGGTTGTTATTGGATCTGAACTTGCTTTAAGTAATTACTTTGTGTTTTTTGTCTTTATGCTAGGTGTTTTTGTGCTTTGTGTTAATCTGACAAGTCAAGCCATTTCTAACTAATTTTTACAGTTTGTTCTTATGTTGCGCTGTGACACCACTGTCCTCTGTTAGAGGCTGAGCGTAGAGGGAGGGTTGACACACACTAATATGTTTTAACCTTTCACATTCTTTATGAGTCTGTCCCAAGTCAGGAGCCTGTCATTCAGTAGTTCTTGTTGGTTCAATAGTTGCTTTTAGTCTTCCATAGGTACCATGCATATAATGTCTTCACTCAATTTAGTGTAAAATTTCTGATACTGCCTGGCTAATCAATTACTTTTTTAAACAAGTAAAGAAGCTTTGTACATCAAATTTGATATTTATGGTATTGAATAAATCATATTAACGACCCTTATTTTTTTACACTTCTTTCATCTCAACTCTCTTCTTAAATCTGCTCTTTTATTTTTGTTTTAACTTTTATAATAATGATTTTTGCACATACTAATTAACTATTTATAAAACCAAAATTAAGCTTTGAGATTGGGGCAGCATAACAATTTTTTCCTGTGAAAGCATCTCATTAGTTCAAGTTCGGCAATAGATCCCAAGGGAATAGAAAAAAAAATGAAATGACTATAATAGCATTGGTGCATGTATCAACAGGTTTCCAACCTCAACTCTTGTGATATTTAAATATAAAAAAATATATATTCATATTAATTCTTGGCATTCTAAATTAGAACAAACACATAAATAATATCTACCAATATTCAAGTTTACAAATGTGTTAACTTACCCTTTTCCCAGTCTTGGTGATTTAAGTGGTGATGAGGGTCTAGTTGAGATATCTTCTTTACTTCCAGACAGATTTATATTTTTACTGAAACAAATATAGATTTCAATAATATCATTTGTCTAATTTAACTTGCAAGTGAATAACTGAGTTTGATTTTTTCTATTTCAATAGATGGTTAGTGGGGTTATTGGTAATAGAAGTTAGATGTTAAATTGATGATTGTGAAAATCAAACATGAATATGGCAAATTAAATTTAGAAGACATCAAGGCTCACTAGAAATAAAAAATCTCCAAGCTGTCATGAAAATAAAGAAAATAAAGGGAAAATATCTTGAGAAGTCTTTCTTTTTTATGCATTATTTTCAAAAACTAATATTCCTGAAAGTTGGAGTATTATCATATATCATATTCTGTAAATTCAGAAATTATTGCAAGATTTTTATTAATGTGAGAAATGCGACTGGGTGAGAATCCCAATAATAGGAACTCGCATTTTGATATCTGATACATTTTTCAACATGCAAATTTCATGAAATCACAATATTAATCTCGCATTTTTGTTCATTCTTTAAAAAAATCGCAATAATAAATTCACGTAATAATTTCTGAATTTACAGTATCTTGATCATTTATAATATTTTACATTCGAATATTCATGTAATAAACTCTCATAATTCTACACAAACGCTGCAGTCATTTAAATGAAATCGATATGTATTTCTACAATATTTACAAATATACATGTATCAATGCTGAATTATTCAACCTATCTGTGAAACATTCCTAGCATTAACTTCCAATGACACTAATATTGCAATAGCAAATTATTCTGAACCGTTGGATCATCTTATCATAATAATGAAGTAAGTCGAACAAGGTATATCTAAGCCATTGCTTAACATGTCTATATATGATAAACAGATGGACAATGAGACATAAGAATGGACAGATGCACATGCCAATCCTGTCCAGTCAAAAGGTGGATAAAAAATGTCATAGTATACTTACTTTCTAAGTTTGAGAGCTTCAATGTTTGGTTTTGCTTTAGGAAATCTTGATCTAAAAGGCAGGCGTTGTATGACTGAAGGTTTTGGACTAGATTCTAAACCATCTTGGATATGGTTGTTAACATTTTCTATATTTTTCTCTGGCTCCTGAGGATCAACTATCTTTTTCTCAACAATTTTATCTTGAACTGATGTTTCTATGTGTGAGGAAAGGATCAAACTTTTATTGTGATTTATGTTCTGTACAGGAGGACTAGAACATGGTAATTGTGTTTTAGGTCTAGGGACATTACTGTTCTTTGTAAAAGTACCAGGTTTACTTAGTACAGAGCTTTGTGAACTTTTAATACTTGCACTTTTATCCTTATTTTGCTCAGAAATATTTATGACTTGATTGGTTGAAGGACTGTTTACAACTATCTTTGGCCTAACATCTGTACTTTCAGCTGAGCTGTCATTTGCATCCTCTTTAGATTCACGCCTGTGTACAATATCACGTGATCCTACATTCAATCCTAGAGTTTTCAGTCTTGTAAAGGCTGCTTTTGTCACACCAGAAGTTGTTCTTTGTGCAGAGTTTTTGTTATCCTCTTGATTTGTGTTTCCTTTGTTATCTCCCTTTCTACTTGGAGATGATACCACTATACCAACTTTGCCTGTTGAACTTCGAGGAACTTCTGTTAACCTTTCTAGGTCTTTTGTTGGACTGATACTTTTTTTTAAACCAACAGCTGTTGCAGCTCCTGCTGCAAGCTCAGCACTTATTTGAACACTGGTTCCCTTCTCTTCATTAGCCTGTCCACGTTTTAAACCAGAAGAGGTTTTGCCACCAATATTTGGTTTAATCTGAATTCTAGATCTTCTGGTTGCCATTTATCTCTTAAAATCTGAAAATATGTACATTATCATCTGTAAATAAAATGCTCCGCTGGGGCGCAGCTTGATACGACCGCAGAGGTCGAACCCTGAACAGTTGGGGCAAGTATGGACACAACATTCAAGCTTGATACAGCACTGAATTTGGATTGTAATTAAATATTTGACACAGCATAGGTTTCTCACACAGAATGAAAGTGGTCTAAGAACTTAAAAAATTTTAATTTACCTATTCAAACCATATCATTATTATTTGCTTTTATATATAAATCAGAAATAACCAATTTAAAATGGAAAATTTTAAAGAAAAAAAAGGAAAAAAAAATCCCCCCCAATTTTTTTAACCCCCTTATGATTCATCACCCCCAAACTCAATCCCAGCTTTCCCTTTGTGGTAATGTACCTTGCAGTACAATTTCAGAGATATCCATACACTTGAACACAAGTTATTGTCTGGAAACTAGAAAAATGCTTGTTTTTTGGCCCCTTTTTGGCCCCTAATTCCTAAACATTTAGGGCAATTACCCCCTAACTCAAACCCAGCTTTCCCTTTGTGATATGGAACCTTGCAGTACAATTTCATAAAGATCCATACACTTACACACAAGTTATTGTCCTGAAACTAGGAAAACGCTTGTTTTTTTGCCCTTTTATGGCCCTTAATTACTAAAATTTTGAAGGAATTACCCCCAAAATCAATCCCAGCCTTCCCTTTGTGGTATGGTACCTTGCAGTACAATTTCAGAGAGATCCATACATTTGAACACAAGTTATTGTCTGGAAACTAGAAAAATGCTTGTTTTTTTCCCCTTTTTGGCCCCTAATTCCTAAAATTTGGAGGCAATTACCCCCAAAATCAATCCCAGCATTCCCTTTATGATATGGAACCTTGTGATACAATGTCAGAGAGATCCATACACTTACACACAAGTTATTGTCATGAAACTAGAAAAACGCTTGTTTTTTGCCCCTTTTTGGCCCCTTATTCCTTAAGTTTGGAGGCAATTACCCCCAAAATCAATCCCAGCATTCCCTTTGTGATATGGAACCTTGTGGTACAATGTCAGAGAGATCCATACACTTACACACAAGTTATGTCTGGAAGTTACAAAAATGCTTATTTTTGGCCCCTTTTTGGCCCCTAATTCTTTAACTGTGGGTACCATAACCGCCAAAATCAATCCCCACCTTCCTTTTGAGGTATTGAACCTTATGGTAAAATTTCATTGAGATCCATTCACTTAAACTAAAGTTAGAGTGCGAAAACTAATGTGTCTTCAGACGACGACAACGACGCCAACGTCATACCAATATATGACCACAAAAATTTTTTTGCGGTCGTATAAAAATCATCTCATGCACTTATAAATTAAATAACAATACCTGGTCATTATTGTGAATTAATTCATGTCACACAGATGATGCCCCCACTTGCATATAACGTTTTGAAGGGACATAACACATGTAACTAGAGAAGTGTAAAAGTGACAACACCCAAATTCGAACTTGATCAGTGTTTTATGGCAATAAGCATTGTGAATAAGTTTCATAACATTTGGTTGAGGCAAACTAAAGTAAGAGAAGGGAAACTAATTTTGCGACGTACATACAAAGGTAACACTTAATGCCACCTCCACCACAGTGTGGCATAAAAATTTCTTTAAATTTTATGCCTAAAATAGTAAGTAGGGGGATGAAATTACATGTAAATAAATGGGGAATGTGTCCATGGGACACAGATGATGCCCCAGCTAGCATAAAATGTTATAAAGGGACATAACTCAAGAACTGTAAAAGTGACGCTACCGAATTTGTACTTGATCTGAGTTTTGTGGTAATAAGCATTGTGTATACTTTTCATAACATTTAGTTGAGGTAAACTGAAGTTAGAGAATGGAAACGAAAAATTCAGCAATTTTTCCATTTGTAAAGGGGCAAAACTCTAGAACGGTTCAAGTGACGCAAGAAAAAATCAAACCTGATCTGTGTTTTGTGGTAATAAGCATTGTGTATAAGTTTTATAACATTTGGTTGCGGCAAACTAAAGTTAGAGAACGGAAATGAAAAATTCAGCAATTTTTCGATCTGTTAAGGGGCATAACTCTAGAATGGTAAAAGAGACGCCACCAAAATTCAAACTTGATCTGTTTTGTGGTAATAAGCATTGTGTATAAGTTTCATAAAGTTTGGTGGAGGCAAACTAAAGTTAGAGAACGGAAACGAAAAATTCAGCAATTTTTCCATTTGTAAAAGTCATAACTCTAGAACGGTAAAAGTGACGCAACCCGAATTAAAACTTGATCTGTGTTTTGTGGTAATAAGCATTGTGTATAGGTTTCATATCATTTGGTTGAGGCAAACTAAAGTTAGAGAATGGAAACCAATTTTTTGGACGTACGGACGGACAAGGGTAAAACTTTCAAAATGCCTCCTCCGCTACGGCGGGGCATAAAAAACATTTGGGGCATGAATTTTTAGGTAAACTAGTGATTTGTTCCAGTTTGAAAAGATCAAAAATTAGTATGTCTGAAGCTGTCAAACTGAATTACAGACCTCCTTAACATAAAATTATCCATATTTTGAGTTAGAACAGATAGACTTTTCTATAATTTTGATATAATTTGTCCCAAAAGTAGTACACAACACTGTAAAAATCTTTTTTTTATTAAAATTTCAAAAACTTTGACCACAGAGTGAATATTTGTGGATGCCGCCACCGACGATGACAGAATGTAGGATTGCTATGTCTAGCTTTTGCGACAAAAGTCGCAGGCTCGACAAAAATGTGCAAAATGTGTTGTAGTTATGGTCCTGGTCTAACGGCCTGTTTGAAGGAAGTGAAATGTAATGAGCTATGTACATAAAAGTTGAAGTCCATTATAAAGAGTTCACTAAACCTGTATAAAAATTTGTAAGGGTTCCACGAAACCCAGTGTCTTGCCTACTTTTGCTGCTTTCTATGTTTTCTGTGTGATAGGGGAATGCACATAATAGATTTACAGTTAATGAAATAAAATGTTTGAAATGTATGAAAAAATACTACTCAAAATTGACAACAACACTTCAAATGGTCTGCAATTTTATTTGCTATGGTCTACATGTTTCACCTGCAGGGCAGGCGTCATCAGGACAATTTTCATACAGAAATTAATTACTGAAGTACTCAAAGTGGTACATTGAATTTGACGTTGTCATGGTGAGAGAAACAATGAAAAGTGAAATCTATCGAAATGATTCACACAGGCGTTGGTTCACCAAACGGAGTTTAATGTATGAAAAAAGTTATGCTTGTAAAAAATGAATACAGTATGCAATCAAATCTATAGATTTATAAAAGAGTTGAAACATAAATTTATTGAATGGGGGAAAAGTTATCAAAAATGTTCCTCTAGATACTATCTTTTGATTGTAAGAAGCTTCTGTCCAAGATTGGTAAAAATCCAGGATGGTTTATGAATCTAATAAATGTTTTAAAAACTTTAACTGCAGATTGTATGTAATGTTAACTGGAAGAAAAACTAAGTCCATTTATATTAATATAAGTAATATACGGAAAAACAGGAAATAAATTTTTACAAAATTTCCTTCTAGATACTAGCTTTTGATCATAAACAAGCTTCTGTCCAAGTTTGGTACAAATCCAGGATAGTTTAAGAAAGTTATCAAAATTTTTAAAACTTTAACCACAGAGTGAATGTAATGTTAACTGGCAGAAAAAACTAAGTCCATTTATAAGTAAAATACGGATAAACATGATTTTTTTTTTACAAAATTTACTTCTGGATACTATCTTATGATCATAAACAAGCTTCTGTCCAAGTTTGGTACAAATCGACGATAGTTTAAGAAAGTTATTAAAATTTCAAAAACTTTAACCACAGAGTGAATATATTTGTGGAAGCCGCCGCCGACAACGACAAAAGGAAGGATCGCTATGTCTTGTTTTTGTGACAAAAGTCGCAGGCTTGACAAAAAGCACTTTACAATAATTGTTGTACCTGTTTCCTTGCATATGACACCTTTTTTTCTTCAGTTCTGTACGATAGTAAGTGGTTCAAATAAAAAGTCTGGTGTGTATTGGTTTGTTTCTTCAACTTTTTTAATTATGAAATCTTAATTAATAATTAAACGAAAGAAATCTATCATCTCTGGATTTTTTCAAACATCAGAATTTAATATCTTTTCAGCATCAAAAGCAAGACCACATGTATCCAGGTTTCCACGTATCTTAAACACTAAAACAGCCCTAATTATTCAATCATTTTCTAGATCACCCTCATCAAAACCTAAAAATTCTTCATCCGATTTATCATTTAGAAATATTTCTCTGAGAAAATCATGATTTTCAGGTCTACTTGCTATAAAAACGTGTCCCTGTCTGCTACTTCTTCAACCACTTCCATTGTTTCAAACTCGAATATAAACAAACTACTACTATATATAACAAAATCAACTTTTTCATGTAACTGTAATGATTTGCTTTGGTTATGCAGTTCTCAGGTGTTTTACATAATAGCTGCTTTGTTTAAGCATGCTTGTTTTAAAGGTTTAGTTTGTAATATTAAAGACGAAATGTACTGCTAAATGTACGAACTTTGGATCAGTATTTTAAACTGATTCAAAGATTTAACGCTGATGATGTTTTGTGGAAGTGAATTCCACAGTACAACTGTGAAAGGGAAAAAAGCTGTACGTAAAGTAATCTGTTGTGGTGCTGATGTTTGATATTGTAGTGAATTGGTGAAATTATATCTGGTGTTTTTCGCTGGCCGAATCGAGCACAACAGAAATTATCCCTACGTGTTTGAAGTAGATTCATTATTCTTCTTTTAATATATTCATACCGTGAAATAAAGTTATCAATTTTCGTTCATTTGATGTTGTAAACCATGAAAAGGGTGCGAATACATTCAAATCACTTTTCCACTAGTCAAAACGTTCACATATATTTAACAACTTCCGGTCACAGGGATTGTCTAGAGTTCTCCATACGTATAGTAAAACAAACGAAGATGTACCGAATGTAAAATTTCTATCCGATTACCGACTCATTCCTCGTATAAAGCAGATTACTGAAACGGACAACTATTTCGTGTGATTGCATCACCATAGTCTGGAAGGGGAAACCAATGCATAAAAGAATTATAAATAAAATCTGGTACCTAATATATTGAAGTATAATAATCCCAGATAAAATTAAGCAAAAAAAGGTACAAAATGACTTCTTTTATCAACGTTCATCAAACTTACGATCCGTCTCTAATAACGATCTATTTGTTCCGAGACCAAATTATACTAATTTTTATAAGAAATCTTTTCATTATTTTGCAATCAAGGTATGTAATGATTAACTATTAACAATAAAAAAAACATTGTCGTAATGTAGAATTCAGTTTACAAATATTTTTTGGAAATACTATGTAGGTCAAATAATGATCAGGGACTTTCTATAACTAAGTCCCTGTAATGATCAAATGATACTAAATTACTTTTTTGGTTAGGATATAAAAACTTGAATTATTGTTGCTATTTTGATGTATGAATGACTTATCTGTATGTATGTTGTATTTTGATGTATGAATTTACTTTATATGTATGTTGTATTTTGCTGTTAAAGACCTTAATGGAAATTATTATTATTATTATTATTATTATTATTTTTATTATTATTATTATTATTATTATTATTATTATTATTATTATTATTATTATTATTATTATTAATTGTGCCATAAAAGCTTTGTTCCAGTAATCATGTGACATCCAGAATAGTCGTTGGTCGTCTTTGTTTTATAATCATTGTATTTATAACTTAATAGTGAATTTAGATTAGTTTTGTTCTAATCTAATTAGCTTGTATGATTGAGCTGATTGGCAGCTATTGAAATCATAAGCTGAAGAGTGAACTGTTTTGATAAGGATAGTTTTGACTCGTTACGAGTAATCACGATAAGAAAGTATAAAGCTTCCAGATGGAAAAATTAGCTCATTGTCACATTGTCTTCAAACAACTAAACTACTAGCCCAACTGCGATGGAAATTACCCAGCAAAACGCACAAACTAAGATGTCCTTTAGCATCGAAGAACTAGCCAAGAGTAGCAGGTTACCCGAATCTCTCCATACCAATGCCATTGTCAGCCACATTCACGAAGTGGTTCTACCATACAACAGCCAATCACCGACAGAAGATATAACTCTCCGACTATCAATGCCAAAATATACTGTTGGCCAACGTACACAGAATAAGAGAAAATGGCTCGACGACTCAGTTTTCTCGGATGAGAGCATAAGCTCTTCTAACTCAACATCTAGAGACTGTAATTCATCGGGTTCGTGCTCCGATGATTCCGAGACGTCTATTAACCCGCCAAAGAAGAAAGCCAGAACTACCTTTACAAACTCGCAACTGTTGGAATTAGAACGATACTATAGTAACAGTAAATACCTCCAGATTGAACATCGTCCAATGCTTGCCAAGAAACTGAAACTCAGCCAACATAAAGTTAAATGGTGGTTCCAGAATCGAAGAATGAAAGAAAAGCGTCACATCAAGAGTACAAGCTATAACAGTTCGTCTGACTTGACACAGTTTGTTGGTGTAGGTAAACCTTGTCCAAGAACAACCACAACAGGATTCCAACACCAGAAGTACTCCTTCTCAGTGGTCCCGTCGCCAACATTGGGTTACAGTAATCAGCTCTACAGTCAGTAGTACTCGACATTCTCAATGTTCCCGTCTTTTTCGTCACCAACAGTGGTATACAAGTCAGTATTATATAACGGATACCATTCTGTTCATAGACAATTTATTGTCCTTAAAAAGTTATTAAGTTTAAAGTATTGAAACCTTTGTTATTTTGTTTGTTTGTTAATGATATTTAATGTAAATAAATAAACAGTTAAACATTTCTTTTGTTATTCTTTTTCTCATATCAAATATATATACCACAGATGACAGAACATAAGAAAATAAAGAAATGTTAGAGAAATGCCCGTAATCTGAGATATATAACAACGTGTATGTATACCAAGATAAAAACAACAGAGTACTAACGGAACAACTCTTAAAATGATGAAACCTCAATCAAAGATAAAAAGGTCGGATGAAAAAACTATCAAAGAGTTTTCATCAAAATAATGACAGTTCAATTTAGAAAATATAAGTTTAATCATATATTATTGTCTTCTATTTGTCTTTGTAAATTATTAACCTTTACTGTTTAGTCCATTTTTTTGGTAATATCCTTTTGGATAAATGAACAAAACTAAAACAAAAATTTGAAAAAGAAGTAAAACTATTGGGCAGCACCTTTTACATTTTCAAAGAGCTTATAAGATTTTGTTAGAAGGTTTGGCTGTACAGTTGAATTCGTATTTAAAACGGAATAACGGGATATCACATCCTAATGTTTACGGTGATGATAATAAAGTGACTATACGGTATGGGGATTTCTCATTGTTCAAGGTCGTACGGTGGTTAGTAATTGCTTACTGCCTCTTTATTTCAACTCTGGTGGATAGTTGTCTCATTGGCAATCATACCATATCTCCTCGTTTTATATGTTATTGTTGTGTGACATGCCTCTCCGAACAACAAGAAAATTCCAAGAGGAAACTGTCCTACCTCTCTGTACTACAAAAAAATATTCAGAGAGGAAACTGTCCTACCTCTCTGAAGCACAACAAAACTATTCATTTTAGACACAAGAAGGCATCGAATTGATATCTCTCTTTACCACTACAAGGAATCGGTACGGATACACTAAAATATAATATTTGATTTAATTAAAACACGTAATAACTGAACACTGATTAATTACTCCCTTTTTGTCTCGCTAGCGACGAAAGTCGCGGGAGGCGAGACACATGGGTTGGTTTTCTGGCGGCGGCGTCAACAATTGTTAAGTTTTCTGCTTAAGTTAGTTTGATAGGAACTACTTGTGATGGATCTATAATATTTTATATAGAGTTGCCTTACTATCAGTACATATAAGTTTGACGACTCTTTTCGAGGCCCTGTCCCCTAGGTCATAGTCCAGTGACTTTCAATTAATTACCAATTTTCAATGTTAAATTTTCTGCTTTTAAAAGTTAGTTTGATAGGAACTACTTACAATAGACAATTCTATTTTCTACAAAGTTGTATTACTGTCAGTACACCTCAGCTTGTCATGATGATTCTACATATTCTTTGTAAAGGTAATTCCTGTTACTAATAGACTTTCATAGTTTCAGATTCACTTAACATTTCAGCAATTTACTAGTAATTATCAATATTGCTGTCCATCGGATTGTCTTTTTCTGACTGTTCTGGCGACAGGCAAGACATATCTTTGTATCAATAGTTGATTTACATTATTCTCCGAATAAACAAAACAAAAACTGCATGGGCAAGACACACGTAAATGCAGTATTAAAATATACATTGTTTTTTTTTTATATTTCTAATTACATCAATAACTAAACAAACAAGGAAAGAATTCAAAAACAAACAACTTTTAGCAAAGTTGAAGCACATGCATATATTGTCAAAATCTTATTTCAAGTCCTGACATTTTGTGTTACACTGTCTAAGATGATACACTGCCGAAGAACTGCTGGTTAAAACTAGGATACACAAACAGCGAACATTTTTGAGTATAGCTGCTGATGATATTGCCAATGAATTACTTTGTTTTAAATATTCGGGTACCAGGTCTACCTACACCAACGAATGTTGTAGCTTTGACTGTTGTTGATGTAACGCTTATCTTTCATTCACTTATTCTGGAACCATTATTTAATCTCATGTTGACTGAGTTTGAGTTTCTTGGCGAGCAATTAACGATTTTCAAGCTCGGGGTATTGGCTGCAACTGTAGTATCGTTCTAATTCCAGCAGTTGTGAGCTAGTTTTATGACTCTGAATTGGTTGATCGGGCGTGACCGAGTCGTCGGAGCAGGAACGAGGTGAAGTACAATCTCTTCGGAGCCGGAACGAGGTGAAGTACAATTTCTTGATGTAGAGTCTGTAGAGCTGAAGCTGTTGTCATCAGAATGCAATGAGTCGTCTAACCGTTTCCTTGGTACGTTGAGCTGAGTTGGTCAGTGATTACATAATATCTGTTGCACACGACTGGCTGCTATTTGGTAGATATATGTCGTGGATGTGGTAGACAACTGCGTCAATACAGATGGACTCTGCAATTCTGCTGCTCTTTGACAGTTCTTCGGTGCTGTAGGACATCTTGGTTGGTGAGTTCTGTTGATAAGCTATTTGATACAGTATATCAGTAGTGTACTGTTTGAAACTCGTTGACAATAAGCTGCTCTTGTCATGATGTCTGTTTTACAGTATCTCAAGTGGATTACTAATGATAAAACCCTTGCTGTGCTCGTATTGGTATAATTCAATTCTTTATTACTTTTATATATTTGTCCACTAACAGTTCATTCCTATGATTAAGTGCGTTATATGAGAATTTTCACAAATTACGCAAATCTTTAACATTTTCAGTGCCGATAAAATGAACAATTTGAACGACGATTGACGCCTATAATAATAAGTTTTAATAAACTGACTCCTTTAATCTCTATAGCATTTACATTGTAATACAGAATGAAATTCATCTTCAATGGTATTCAAAGTACATAAAACACATTTTCTGTCAAATCTTTTTACTCCATGATAACGTCCTACTTCAACAAACAAATTATGAGAGGACAAGCTCAGACGAGATAAATACACTCTGAAATTCATATGTTTAGTGAGATAATTCTGTAAGCTTACATATTGACAATATATTTATATAAATTACACTTAGATGAACTGTTCTTTTGATCATTTAAAGTTTGCATGTTTTGCTTGATCATATATTCTTGTTTTTACAATCAATAATACATTTCTATCAATAAAATTGAGAATGGAAATGGGGAATGTGTCAAAGAGACAAAAACCCGACAAAAGAGCAGAAAAC